ATAGTTCTATAGTAGCTATATTATAAATTATATTATTATATATTATAGTTATATAGATTACCCTACTTTTCCTAACTAATTACTAATAGATTATTAGGATTTTATAATAATCCTAATAATCTAGAATAATAGATTATTACTAAGTATTAATAATTCCCTAATATATATATATATTTATTTTACTAGATAAAATACTCTTTTAGATAGTTATTAATATAATTATCTATATATCTATTATTACTAGCTCTATAATACTTATATATTAATAGTAACTTATATTATATAGCTAAAGATAATCTAATTATACTATTTAGAATAATACTCTAATTAGTTTAATTCTAATCTACTCTAAACCCTATTTAATATAAATTAATCTAATTATTATATATTAATAACTCTTATTTAGCTAATTATCTTATTTTAATTACTATATAATATTAAAAGATAAAATAGCTTTTATTAAATTACTAAATAATACTCTATAAGCTCTAATAGCTTAGAAGATTATATAGTAGTTTATAATCTGAATTAAATAACTTAAGAAGAAGGAAATAAAGAATAAAGAGAAGATAATATAACTAATCTTCTTAGAACTCTTCTTAGATAATACTAATAAACTAGAAGAATTTAAGATCTAACTTTAAATATATTTTAAATTTTTCTAATTAAACTAGCTATAGATAAAGATAAAGTTAGATTTATAAGAATATATCTTAATAATACTATAGAATAATAGTTCTAGATCTATCTTAGAAATTAGTATAATAATAAAGTTATATTAAGCTTATAAAATTAGAAGATAATTAATATTCTTACTAGTTATAAGAACTTCTAGATCTTATTTATTTTAGTATTTAGTTAAGTAGATAAAGAATAATAAACTATTAAAGATCTTAAGAATCTATATTAGATAGAATTAATATTAAGATATACTATTAAATTTAGAGAAATCTTAATTTAATTAGATTAGAATAATAGCTCTCTTAAAACTATATTCTATAATAAACTTAAAGAAAAAGTTAAAGATTAACTTTTTAAAATAGATAAATCTAAAGATCTATTTAAATATATAGTAAATACTATATAAATTAATAACTATCTATATAAAAGATAATAATAAAAGAGAAATAAATATACTAATTAGAATTATATTAAAAATAAATCTAATTAGAAAATATAATAAAATCTATTATTATTTATAAAATCTAGAATATATATAGATTCTATAGAGCTAAAAGCTATAGAAAAATATAAGTATTATAATTATAATAAAATTAAATATATTTTATCTTAATATTTAAAATCTAAAAAATAGAAAAATTAAAAATCTATTAGTAAGAGTATATATAATTTCTATAGTTAGTTAGGGCAATTTACTATATACTACTTAAGCAGTAAATTATTTACTGCTCTAAAAATAAAAAACTGTTTTTTACTCTTAAATTATTCTTTATTTTTAAAATTATAATCTTTAACTTATTATTCTGCAGCTAGTTTAGCTTATATAATAACCTAGATAGTCTTATTTAATTAATTAAATATAGGAGTCTCTAACTAAATACTAAATATATATATAATTAATTATAGTTATTAGCTTTAACTATATAGCTTAGTTATAATTCCTCTCCTTTAACTGATATTAATATTATAACTATAGATCTACCCGGTCTTTGGTTATAGTATTATTAGTTGGAAAATTCCACCGGCACTTAATAGCTCTTTCTAATAGTATATTTTAGAACTATATATACCAGCTATTAGTATTAATAACTACTTATAACTACTTAACTATTATACAGATTAGCTTATTTAAGACTCTATCTTCTATTTCCTCCTATACTTTAATAGCTACCTTATAGAGCTATTAAAAAGTCTTATTATTCTTTAGAAGGTTAATAAGCTCTGGATAAGCTTTTATAATACTCTCTTTTAAAATAGCTTATAAGTTCTTAATTAGGTTAAGATCCAGGCTATAAGATAGCTAGTTAACTAGCTTAATCCTATACTCTTAAGCCTAGCTATATAGCTAATTTTATATAATATAGGCTATATATATAGATATATTATCTTAGATAAAAATACTTCTTAGAAATACTATTATTAGAAGGTTTTTCTAAGTAATTTTAAATAATATAAGTAGTTATACTACTCTTTATACTCTCTAGATCTCTAAGAAGTAGTATTAAAAATATATAAATATTCTAACTAAATATACCTTAGAATATTTAAGAATAATATATAAGCTTACTATATAGCTAAATATACTTTTTATCTAATTTACTTACTATCTAGACTATTAGTTATAAAGTTATTTATAGTTAAAGTTAATATATAATTAGATAGAATATTTATTTCTATCTCTTTTCCTAACTATATATAATTATAATCTTATCTAAGAAAATAATCTATTTCTACTATAATAAGAGCTTTTATATATAAAGTCTTATAAATTAGAGTCTTTTTATAGTAATAATAGATATTAATTTCAGTCTATAGAGAGCTATTATATATTAAATAGCCTCCTTCTTAAGGAAGCTTATTAATATAGCTATATAATAAGATAAGCTAGCCTGATAAAGTAATTTACTATTCTAAATAAAAGAGTTAATCTTAATTAGTTAGAATAAATATCTTTTATCCCTCTCTATAAGAATATATAGCTAATCTAAATATAGCTAACTTTTTATACTTTACTATTACTTATAGTAATAGTAGATATTATATACTATACTAGGTATTAGATTAAATTTAGCTATAATAGCCTTTATAAATATACTAGAAAGAAACTAATATACTATCTTTATTCTCTTATAAGGAGAATAGTATAATTTTCTTTTAATTTAGAGTATTATTTATAAAGTTATAACCTTTTAAAGTTAAGGGGATATTAGATATATTTATATTAAAGGGGGGGTAGAGAAAAATTTCGCAGAACTTTTTGAACCTACTGTAGCAGTGGGGAAGCGGCTGCCCCTCCCCCTCCTGTAGATTACCCGGGAAACAGCGTTGCTCCTAGAACGCGAGGGATCCCGTCCGCTCTCGCCTAGTTAAACGGATGAGGGGTGGATTAGTAGTTAGGTCGGTGACGACCAGCGAATACCCGCTGTTGTATGTTCTTTTTGTCATTTTGTGTGGAGTCTAGAGTAGCGTATATGGTCCGCACGATGGCTTCACCTGTCACATACGACCATACCCACTCGAAAACACGCGATCCCGTCCGCTCTCGCCTAGTTAAACGGGTGAGGGGCGGAGTAGTAGTTGGGTCGGTGACGACCAGCGAATACCTGCTGTTGTATGTTCTCTTTTGCCATTTTTTACTACGTATAACTACTTTTATACCAGAGTGACAGTCGCCGTACCGTAGTCACTGCCTTGTAGTGTTGTCTTTATTTCCAGACTACCGAGCATGCTCTTTGCCATCTAAAGGCTTTGCTGTTCGTGTGCCCCTGTAAGCGCTGCAAATCAGACGTATTTTAGATATAGGTATATAACATAGCCATTAACAACATTGCTGCTAAGTAGTTTTGATCTGAAGATGTGATCTCCTCTCAAAAGCCGGACTTAGGAGAAAAAGGCTAACTCTAGCAGTACCAAGGGCATCACTCTCGCCTTCTAGATTTTCCAAGGGTACATTCAAAACCCTTCAGGAAAGCAATACCTAAGCAAGGGACAAAGACAATATACTACCAGCCACTGTCATCCCAACAATCCTTCGCCCGCGCCATACCATCCGCATTTATACTAGAAGCACAACCCAGAAATCTTAAGGCTCTTACAGACGCTACTGTTATGGCCGCTCAGCCCGAAGTTTATCAGGGCGTGAATATTTAGCTAGGCCAGCCTACAATAAGCTCACTAGCTACATCATCCCATTAATAATACTAGACAAGCCGTTAGCAGAAGTCAAAGGCCCAGATAGTAATACAATATAGATGGCTTAGGCAGATTTATAACCGCATCATTTGAGACGCAATAGTTCATATATTTTCTTGCGGTATGTAATCGGGGGGACTTTCGATAACTGGGCACCTTTTTCTATAGGGATAAATTATCAACAATGTTCCGAATGAGCTGGGTCGTTCTCTGAGATGGTTTCTAGAGCACCAACTCCCTGGAAATCAATTGAAGGAGCCCAAAAGTCACCCGTCGAAGCGTTGGAAGAGTATCCCGAATCTGAATCTTTACTCTGTTTATCGCTATTCCCTTGCAGCTGAGACAAGGGAACCGCAGAGTGGCCACTTCCCAACCCGATGTTGAACTCCCCAGAGAAGAAAATAGAGTTATGCTGTTCAGGGTTTTGGAAAGACGTGTCGGAGTAGTCTGCGTCATCTAAGTTGGGAATAGGACTCCACATTGATTCTAAAAAGAGTCCAATATCGGGCTCGCGCGGCGTCTGTTCAATGTTTTGAGGTAGTTGTCTATGACATTCTTCTAGAGACTGCTCTGTATTATCATGCGCCACGAGCGGCTGCGCCTGTGGGATGTGGGCAGCGGATTTTAAACGCTTTGCATCCGGAGATGTTGATTGTGAAGCATTCCTATGCTCGATCATGTCTCGGAATTCACGAATTGCGTCTTGAATAACTGGTTGAATACAATCACTTGCTATAGCTGGCAAATGACTTAGGGGGCGATTAGGATATTGTCCCAGCTGCCGGCAGACGGACTGCTGTAACCGTTGGGGGATGGTTCGCATGAGGTAAGTCTCACACTCTGTCAAGAGACACCCGTTCAGGCTTTCAGTTGAGTGACGGACTATCCGAATGAAATCTGCTAATAGTTAGAGCAAGAATACATCAAGGACTTACGCTTATATGATGCTGACTGACATGGGGATGGAATCTCACTCTCCGGAATGTGAGGAAAGAGTATCTTATAAACGATTCTCCACTTCTCCGACTCTGTGGGCTTTGGCTTTGATCTCTTTCGCGACTTCAAAAGCCTTTCCTGAGCTTCGTCAAATCCTTCGACATATTCTGGATTTTTCCGTTCACACGGAGTCATGCTTTGCTGATGAAGAAGGAGGTCCTCATCATTTGTATAGATATGCTGGCATCGTCGGCAGCGGTATTTAGGTTGCCTATGGCACCGGTAGAGATGTTCTCTATAGCTGAACAATTAGTAGAAGGTTGATACGACAGAATAGGCTCATCAAATGTACTTTAAACGATGCATACTTGGCCAGCTGTGTTCCGAGCACGCGTTGTTGTGGTTGTATCTTTCTGGGTTGTACTTGAAGAATGGACATGCTAGCTTCAAGATCTCGGGTTTAGCCGGATCCTTACCTTTGCCCGGAGGTCCTCTTTCGTGATCCTTCTTGTCGCGGTCCTCACTTTCCGAATCCTCTTGATTTTCTTCGTTTGATTTCCGAGTTCGTTGTGGAGCTCCTTCTGCAGAGGACCCATTCACGCGCGCTTGATTAATACTCGAATCTGTTCTTGAAGTTGGCTCCTCGGTGCATTGGGTGATTCGCTTTGAGAGAGCAAGTTTGAACTTTGTACATCGAAAATCATTCCCAGTATCAACCAAGTGGTTCTCAGAGGATTTGGTACGATCTACCAAAACAAAAGAGCTGTCTTTGATCTCTGTGGATGGAGGGAGAATGTCACTAGCCTGTGGTTCTGTGCTGGTAACAGAAACTCCTTTCTTGGTATGTGATTTGATGTTTGTAGTCATGCTCTGATCCTCCATGGGCGGAAGAGATGGTAAAAGGGAGGCAACATTTTCAAGAGAACTTGTTAAGCTCCCTTTGTTGACACTCCTACCACTGCCGCTGGGACATGTTTTGGTGTCACCCACAACCGGCTTTATTGATTCTGGACGGAATTTGGACTCGAAATCTCGTATATTTTTGTCAGCCCTGTCAATATAATGATAATTCCGATCTGTACTCTGGTAGCCACTGTCAGTCGACCACGACATTGCAAAGCATACTATTGAAGTAAAAACAACGTTTGACTTCCGCGGTATTTCTTCGCGAGGCAAGTTGGTGATGGATTTTGACTACTTTTGAAACATAAAGATATATAATGAATATGACAGCTGATGCCGGAGCTCGCTCAGCATCCCTAAATATTGGTCTGTTTGATGACGTGGCAGCTGAAATAAGAACTAGTTTTGCGCCGATGCGCACAACGCCAACATGCAGCAATGGCACGGTGCAACGCTCCAATGATAAACCCAGCCCTACCTCCATACTATAACCAAACGCTAGCTGGATTTTTTACTTACTCAAGAAGGTAGGGAATCACTGACGCGGCCACTGAAGGAGACATACAAACGACTAGCGGGAATTATCAAATTGCGAAGTCAGAGGGTAACCGTAGCTCAGATGAAAGCAGGAAGAAGATGGGTACTATGTATGGTCGTGGATTTACCAATATGAAGCACATTGGCCGAGATGCCACTTTTCCTTGTCGTCTTTGACATGTTTCAAGCTCTAGATTCAGGTGGCGAACGCCACTGGAACGCCACCTGATCCTTGATCTAATCACGTCGGTGGCCGCTCGAAAGTCTCGAAAAAACCCAGACGAGGAATCTCTTAGTTCCACAGCTAAGGCGTCGATGTCTAAAATATGTTGAATTGTAAGATATCATCGATATATAGGATGTAGCTGGATACTGAAAATGAGCGCTCTCGTCGTGATCTAATACAGGTAGCTATGGCAGATGTGCGCATTAACAGAATGTTTCAACTAATTGGTTATACATGTAGCTGAATTGGAAACATATGGTTGCATTGGAAACATGATCATATTTTGGCGAACGTGAATCATTGCTAAAATTATATTAACTATTATATCATCCCTTATGGCTTCATTAATCAAATAAAATCATGCAAGACCTTGCCACAGCAACATTGCCAGGCCCAGTGCCAAAGAATTCTTCAGTGAGACGACATTGGCTGCCGAGTTTTCTTTGTCGGTGGCAGAGTCCTGAGTAGCACTTGCGGCTCCAGTGCCGCTGGGAGTACTGCTGGCAGTTGCACTACCGCTAGCGGATGCCGTAGCAGATGATGAGGCCGAAGATGAGGAAGAAGGTGGTGGCTTAGGGCATGGGTTCGTGTATACATACTGCTCGGGCGCGCCACTGCAAGTGGTTGCGTTCCCGGCATCGTATGTGCCACTGGTGTAGATCCAGCAAGTGCCCGGCAGATACGGCGAGTTCTTTGAGTTGTGAGGGTTGAAGACGGCATAGGTGCAGGCATCGGCCTCTGCGCAAGCGCTCAAGCAGTGGGTTGCACCCGAGCTCGCAACGCAAGTGCTGAAGCAAGTATCCGGTGGCGAGTACCCGCAGATCGATGCGACGGCAGAGGGACTCGCAGTGGCCGCGCAGGCGCCGGCAGTCGATGTGGGTGTGCCCGCGCACACTGGCTTGTCGTAGACGGAGAGGTAAGGGTTGCTACAGCCAGTGCTGGTGCCGGCACTCGCGTCGTAACTTTCGCCTGGGTAGATCCAGCAGGTGCCAGTGCCGGTGTACGGGTTGCCAGCGGCAAATATGGCAAAGCTACAGGGCTGATGGCTATCGCAGTAGGCCAAGCAAGAGTCTTTGCTCTCGATGGCAGCAGCAATAACAGGATCCTTGTAGTCGCAGAGCTTGGTGATGAGGGAAGCTGTACAGCTTGGCGCAGCGGAGGTGGTACTGCTCGAGGCAGCAGATATAACAGTCGATTGGGCAAAGGCGGCTGGGATCAGCGATAGGGCGGCAGAGGCCCAGAAAGAGTGAGTGATCTTCATCGTAGCAAGTGTAAGCGGTAGCGAGCGGTGGGTTTGAGGGAACAACGAAAGTCAAGATTGCTGGGGGAATGGTGAGATTATTTAAATACACTGTGGGCGTAAGTCAATTTGCTGGGTATAATGGGTAACGTTACGGGGCTGCTTATTTCTAACGCCAAGGATCCTGGTTAATTTTCCTCGGACCTACGCTTACATGACTCATTCAGATGCTGGCGAAGGCCGGCCCTTTTATTGTGATTGCTGTGAGTAGCAACGAATGTACTAGATACCTCTGCCGGGGATATTGGTTTCGATGAGGCTAAGAGGTCTATACGACACGGTAGGAGGAGGCACTGCAACAATCAAGGCCACAAAGTCAGCTCAGTGGTAAGGCACAATTGAATTGGATTCGATCGGGCTAGCCTCGCTTGCTCACCCCAGGAGAACCTTTGTGCTGCAAGGGTCTGCTGATCCTTAAGGCATAGCCGGCTCGCTAAGAGGTTTGGGAAGCTCCGGGAATGCTTCGGGAGTAAGGCAACTCGTCTACGTGAATTGCCCAGAGACCAAAACCAGGGAAATAAATACCAAGCCCTCAGAGACCAAGAGGGATTTCAATGTTCCGGTCTAGATACAAAATTGCTGCGTGACGAGTTGGTCATCTGCTGATTGAAATCAAGCCTGTTCTTGGTGGATATGGAATGTCGTCGCAGTCACCATTTGCTGCTGTTGAAATGGGAGTCATTTTGGGGTAGCCGCACACAGAGGCACAGTTTCTTGGCGTGCTTCCAAACTTTAAACACGATACGATATCCCGTATTCATAGGCCAGCTTCCCATATAGCGGGGGTCAATGGATCACTAAGTCCTGAGGCAGGCTGATTTAATGTCTGGAGGACATGTTTGTTTCCTGCAGCTTTTGATATATCATACTTAAAATTCATTTCAAGTAACTAACTTTAATCATTTTTTCTTCTAAACATAAAATTTCTCTCATTCTACCTTTTCTTCTACGTAAAGATGAGAGGATTTACCCCTCAACTAGTATTAGGTATTGGTAAAACACGTCTACCACCTGTAGAGCCTGCAACAGGAAAAGCATAACAAGCACGGTAGACATATGAAAGAAAAGATATCTTTTTCTGCTCAATGTCACGTCGAGACTATCTAATTCGTTCTCTTACTCGGGTAGTAGCTGACTTCGCTTCGCTGCATGCGTGAAACGACATGAAACTAACAAGAGAATGTATTTGTACTCAAGGCACGTCGACCATTAATAAAGCGGGATCTTGTTAAGCGTAGTTCAAAACACCACCCGCTCTCCTAGTGAGCCAACCATTGGTCCCTAACTCTCGATGTGGTGGTACTTCAATATTTTTCCGGTTGCATGAGGCATTGGGCTTGGCCTACATAGGTAGGTTTGATTTCCAGAGCCAGGGTATCAGATGGCCCCTCGCACCGTGGCATTGCCCCTTCTTCTGATTCCCAGCCTATGGATCACCTTTATATGAGTTCCGTACTATAAACCAGAAAGTACAAAAACCGCCGATGTGCCGGGGGTCCCAAACTATACAGGATTAAGTAATGCACAAACCATACTGGAAACGCTAGGTGGCGACCCGTTGATTATAACACGGATCAACACGTCTTCGACATCGCTCCAGTTAGTGCCCGGTATATTCACTTGGACGGATGACTAATTTCAGTTTTACTCTCCCTGCCTAGATATCGTGTATCTTCTTGCTCAATTTATGGGAAAGACAGACAAGCTATCAGTGTGAAGATTTCATTGGCGGATTCGCCGCCTGCTGTTGAATTCGTGTCCCAGTTGACCCTTGGGTTTCCGAGTTGATACCCTAGCACGGGCTCTCTGTGTGGCTGCTCACATTTCTCATGGGGATTGTTACAGTTTCCACCATCGCACATCGGCAGTGCCTCTCCCGTGATTACCACTACTACTGGCCTGGCAGAACCCAACGCTTTTGCTACGGCCACATCTTCCCCAAGGCATCTGGATGGGTGACTAAAATTCCTCGCAAGTATGTGCAGCCAAGGAATGTTCGATTAGATCGGTAGCGGCTGAGTATTCATCCATGCCCAGTCATATTATATAGTGTTCGCTCACTCGGTTTCAAGAGCAGATCAGACTTTGCTGTGATAGTCTTTAGCGACAGTGTTTGCCTGCTTGAATAGATTTATATTTATAGTACGAATGATGATGTTCTCTTTTGCATTTACTTGTTTATTTACATTTTCTCACGTGCATATTTCCCCTCACGCGTGTTGGGTTCTGGTTGGTCAACGCCTCTTGGGCTGACCAAGGCTTTTCAGCTGGACCTCCCAGCCGATCTTCATCACCAGCATTTTTATTCATTTTATCGCTTCACTTTTGGTGCCAGATCTCGCTCAACCCCGTAAGCGGTCTGCGATTGAGGTTATATCAGATCGAATTAGCAGCATGGATGCAAACACGCCAACTGAGAACAGATGGAGACGCTGGGCCCGACAAGCTGGTTGCTGCCTTGGTGATGACAACCAAACGCAAGAGCCCAACAAGCCAGTCAGTCACGGGGTCACCTTTCCAAAATCTATGATGAGTATATTTTACATCTTGCTGACATAGAATAAGCATCCAGATTCCTCTTGTAACCGTCGCCGATGCGCAAAACATGCCCGGAATCCCTGCAACCTCGACGAGCAGCACTGGTTATGCCAACCCGCTCCCGACTTCTCCTTCGCCCCCCGAGAGGGCGACTACGATATACAGTAACACTACACAAGGGAACACGACACAAGTAGATGGCGAATCACCCCCGATCGCAAGCCGTATTAATTCGGGGACTTCAGGCGCCATGGCAATTGAGGGCTCTGATGCAGGTCCTGAAGATGCGACCGTGCTTGGGTCCCCAGGGCCCAACAAGATAGACTTATGGGGCAAGGCCTTAGGTCAGATTCAGCAGTCACAGGATAAAGAAAGTGCCGAGATGGCGGAGAAATTTGTGCAGACTTTAAACGGCCGGGTTCAGTCAGATCCGTCGGGGTCAGATCCGTTCAAGTCGGCAAAGAATATCCAGATACAAATGCAAGAATCGATTGCGGGCAAGGAAGCAAAGACCGAAAGCGACGGATGGATCATCACAATTGGGCAGAAAGAATATCGCGTGCAGGAATTCGTTGAAAAGACAACAGTGATTCTGGAGAAATTCGCCGGTACCGTCAGTAGATTTATGGGTAATGTTGACGTGGCTGTTACCTATAATCCAGCCCATGCAGCTCTGCCCTGGGCAGCTGTGCGACTGGCTCTCACGGTATGTTGTCTCAATACGTATGATATACATTAGTCAGTTGAAATTAACTGATTACAGGTTGTAATTGCGGCCCACGAATTCAAGGGTAGAGTAGCTGTTGGCCTTGCCAAAGTCGCTGTCCTTATCTCCCAGTGTCAGATCTATCAAAGGTTTTACGTGACTTCAGATATATCAACAGAGTTGGACAGAAGGGAGGTCGACAGCCTCGAAGAGGCTATCATTACTGTCTACACACAATCGCTTTTATTTCTTGCCTTCGCGCATAAGAAAAGCAAAATGCGGGCGCTCAATGCCTCCTGGAAACTTTCCGACCTGGACGGATATTTCGAAAACCTCAAGGACGCGGGCAACGACCTTGTTCAAGCTGCAGATAACTGCCAAAAAGTGTTTGAAAAGCGGACTGGAGCCAAAGTTATAGAAGTTGTTGAATTGTTGAAAGACTTTGGGGCGACCATCTACGAACAAAGGTATGCCAAACTGATCTGTTGTGACGTAAATTTACCACTGACAATATTCAGAGAACTCATTGTTGATATTGGCCAACGAGCGCTACTTTCCGAGTTGAAATGTGCCGATGGTGCTAATTATAACTCTGCGGAAGACCAAGCTGAGCCCAGATGCCATAAGAAGACAAGAATCGAACTGCTTAAAGCTGTTGAAACGTGGATGGATACCTCCGAGGAGAAGCCAATCTACTGGCTCCAGGGAAACGCAGGGACTGGCAAGTCTACCATTTCACGCACCGTGGCCGAGATTTATGACGCCAAAAGCAAACTTGGTGCGAGCTTTTTCTTCAAAAGAGGCCGTGGCGATCGGGCCAGTGGCGGTCGCTTCTTTACAACCATCAGTTCACAACTCTGCCGTAATCGCCCACGGTTTGCCCAAAGTGTCGCCAAAGCGATTTCCGAGGACCGTAGTATTGTCACGGCCAATTACACAGACCAGCTCAAGAAGCTCATCTTGGAGCCCATCAAGGCATTGGCCAGGGACCCGAATAATTGTGCGAGCATCTTGATCGTTGTTGATGCCTTGGATGAGTGCGAGGAAGATACTCATATGCAGATCATGATACAATCATTGGGCCAAATAAAGAAGTTGAAAGAGTGTGGAGTTGACTTGAGACTTTTCATTACTAGTAGACCGGAAGCTCACATTCGGCGCGGATTCCAGGAGATTCTCGATTGTCAAAAGGAAGTGGTTCTTCACGACATATCAGGCGATGTGATCCAACAAGACATAACCATCTACTTGAAAGACGAGCTAGCACAGATCAGAAATCGGCACAACAAGGCTATAAGTCAATTTGGGCAGCCGATAGAAGAAGACTGGCCCGGGGACGAGCGTATCAAGAGGTTGGCTCAGATAGCGACACCATTATTTATTTTCGCCGCAACCGTTTGCCGACTTCTGGATTGTGACAACCCGCGCGAAGAGATTGATCGTATTGTTTCTCCGGGACAAAAGCCACACGATCAAACACTGGACGGGGCATATGAAGCGGCTCTCGGACGTATTCTCAAAGGAAAAGAAAACAGCTCTACAGAGTGCAGAATAGTAGGAAATTTTCGCGTTGTTGTGGGCTCGATAGTTCTTCTCGAAGAACCCCTGTCCGTATCAGCTCTGGCACAGCTTCTGAGCACTTCGCCAGAGACCGTTTTGAGCATGGTCACCTCCGTCAGCTCTGTTTTGAATGTCCCGCGGGATGAGAAGACTCCTGTCAAGACTTTTCACTTATCCTTCAGTGAATTCCTCGTCAACAAGCAAAGAAATAAAAGTCCGAAATTGCAGATTGACAAAGAAGAGACACACAGAGACCTAGCGGACAAATGTCTTAAACTCCTCTTGAAATCTGGTATCTTGAAGAATGATATTTGCGAGCTAGGTAAGCTCGATACACGGAATCAAGATGTAACACAAAACACAATTGATGACAAGCTACCACCACAAGTCCAATACGCCTGCCGGTATTGGGTACATCATACCAAGAAAGGAAACGTCAAACTCCACAATAAACACCCTGCATACGAGTTTCTGAAGAAGCATTTTCTCCATTGGCTTGAGGTACTAAGTCTAATCGGAAGGGTATCTGAGACCATCGGTCTTATACGAGAGCTCCAAGAACTTGTTGATGTAAGTAAGGGATAGCTTCATGAAGCTAATTGCCCGCTGACAGGAATTGATTTAGCTCAACAGTGGCGAAAAAGTGTCAGAGTTTCTACATGATGCCAACCGCTTTCTCCTTCACTCGTTTACGGCAATTAGCCAGACCCCACTCCAACTTTACGCTTCGGCACTTCTTTTTGCTCCAACAAATAGTATAGTCAGGAATTTTTTTGAAGATGACATCAGCTGGGTAAAACACAAACCAACTGTGGAAAAGGATTGGAGTCCTTGCCTACAAACAATGGACCACCAGTCCTGGGGCAGCTCGGTCTCGGTCTCTAGGAATGGCAAGTTAATAGCATGCGGGAGCTACGGTGGAGGCGTCAAAGTTTGGGACGCGTCAACAGGCGTACTTCAAAAAACACTTGAGACTAAAGACATGGTTGCGTCGGTCACGTTCTCCGGCAGCAAGTTGATAACCGCAAGATCACGCGACGGCACGATCAGGATCTGGAACACAGAAACGGGGCGTCTCCAGCATACACTCCAAGGCAACAGTGACGACAATCGCCCCGTCTCGAACGCGTTTTCCCTGGCATCTTCAAATTCCGGTCTAATAGCTTCGTTATCGTATAATGGGATACTTGAAATTTGGGATGCATCAACGGGGGAGCTTCGAAAAGCATGGAAGGGCTATGAAGGACCCGCGGTACTTTGTTTGTCATTCCGGGTGGACGGCAAGTTGGTAGCATCAGGCTCAAACGACCGCACGGTCAAGGTTTGGGACGCTGCAACGGGAGAACTTCAGCACACACTCACAGGCCACAAGGGCTGGGTCCGATCAGTGGCTTTCTCAAGCGATGGAAGCCTGCTTGCCTCAGCATCAAATGGTAGAAGCATTCGAGTTTGGGACGCAAAAACGTGGCAACTTCAAGGCACGCTCCAAGGTCACGATGACTATGTTACCTCTGTCGCATTCTCACACGACTGCAAAATTCTGGCCTCAGGGTCATATGACAATACCATCAAAATTTGGAACTTGGCGACAAAAACACTCCACCACACACTTGCGGGCCATGGTGGCATAATCACATCGATGGCTTTTCCAGAAAATAACAACTTATTAGTATCGGCATCAGACGACAAGACTATTAAGATTCGGGATATCACTAAAGTCAAACCCCAATCTGCCTTTGAAAGCCGTAATAGGAGTATCACATCAGTAGCTTTCTTGGGTGATGGCACTCTAGTAGCATCTGTATCAGACGATAGAACAATCAAAGTCTGGGATGGAGCAATCGGATTGCTAAAATATACACTCAACGGCCACCAGAACTATATTGATTCAGTGGTACTTTCAGCCGATAGTAAGCTAATAGCATCTGCATCGCACGATGAAACAATTAAAGTCTGGGATGCCGAGAATGGATCGTTGAAATGCACAATGGAGGGCCACAACCGTCCAGCTACAACAGTAGCATTCTCTGCCGACAACAACCTGATTGCATCTATATCACTGGACGATGAAACAGTTAAAGTCTGGGATGCAGCTAATGGATCAGCAAGATACACAAAAGAAGGCTATAATAGCATGATCCATTCAGTAACATTCTTAGCCGATGACAAACTGATAGCAATTGGATTATCGAATGGAACAGTTGAAACCTTAGATGCAGCCAATGGATCATTCAAATACAGACTTGAGAGCCGCTGGGGTACACTACCAGCATTATCTACCGATAGCAAGCTGATGGCAACCTCACCAAGATATGATGCAATTGAAATCCGTGACGCAGCCAACGGATTGATAAAATATACACTCAAGGACCCCTACGACTTATTTAATTCAGTGGCATTCTCGGCCGATAACAAGCTTATAGCATCTGCATCACGCAATAAAACAGTTAAAATCTGGGATATAAAAGAGGGAAAAGTCAAGAAAACTATCCACACTGATGAAAATTATAAGCATCTATCATTCTCCAGCATCAACTTACTGATGCTCCAAGAGCCGGGGCATATTGTGATAAACATCAATAAAATCCCGGAGAACGGAGAAGCCCAAGTTGAGTTTCAAAACAATATGATAACGGAACCTGGCGCCAACGACCTGCCGGAGATCAAACCCACATCCCAACACGCAGTCGTACTACAGCCCCACGGCTGTAGTCTGAGTCTAGAGGCGGAATGGGTGATGTGGAATGGACAAAAAGTGGTCTGGCTTCCTCCTGATTGCCGTCCAAATCCTGACGGAGAGAAGTGTTATACCATATCAGCCTCAGGGGAAATGATTGCCATTGGTTCTTCGTCAGGCAGATTATGTCTCATGGGCGGTTTCAAGATAAGGAGAGCTCAGTGCTAACAATCGTGTGGTGATCGCCTCGACGATTATGAAAACACATTTCCACCCAACCAAACTCTATCCCATCGAATTCCACATACGCGTTACGGCACCAAACTTCAGACAGCAATTACTCATCCCTACAGCAGACAGTCAGGTCAATACTACAGCAATAACTTATCGCTGCATCAAACAGTCAGTGCAGGGCTACAGGGATTGCTCATCGCGGCAGTGGACAGTTAGGGTTGGGTGCACAGCAATTACAGCCTACTCAATACTGCTGGTGAAAAGATTCCGCATGAACCTCTTAATAATTTATCCAGGCTTATCCTCAATAGGAAATCAATAGATATTATGGTAGGTAGTTAAGAGAATTGTAGTGGGCTTGGTGCCGCTGTTCATCATTCAACTCTTTCTCTACAGAAGCGCTTTCGCCCATGTGGCCGTCATCATCATGCCCGACGCACACTCTATTGCCGGTACCATTGCATTTCTCACCATAATTAACACGAATATTGAGTGGCGTTTTGCAGAAGCGGACAGCACTGTCTGGATTTTCGGTCTTCATGTATCGAGCGAGTCCGTTTACATACTACATTGCGGGCATTGTAGCAACAGAGTTTCATGGAAAAGAAGCCATCTGCTCTTCAGATGAGTTGCTAGTCTTTGATTCTACTCAAAAAGCTACTTGAGGACAGCATCTTGATCCAATGCTGCATCAAGCAGTCGGGGTTTTGCAGAATCCAGAATCCACTTCATACTGCCGATGTTGTGCCTACCGTAACGCTGACCAACATCTCTCAGCCTCTGACATATGTTGGAGCGATCGTTGGATGGATTTCGGTATCATGTGGGCATTTTTTATTGCAACATGTATTACTATTATTTTGTATTATGTAGTTGGTGTCAGAAAATGTTCGTTTGCTAGTTTCCGGCAATTGAAGGGGTAAATGTTGAGTATTATTGAAGTTAATTTTATTGCTCTGATTTCCCCAAGATAGTCCAAAATACTAGATAAAACCTATGAGAGCAAATGATAGATGTATAACGAGAAGCATCAAGGGCAAAGTATAGATTTATTGCAATGGCAGCTGATATTCAAGACAGGGTTTATATGCAAACGAATAGCATAGAAAAGTCGTTCTGCCATCTCTCGGTTAAGCCGGCCGTCTGTAGAGAGCAAGCGCACGTCGTCAAGCTAACGATACACCAAATGGTTTCAATTAACTGTTAAAGGTTCTGTTTCGAGTGGCAGCAATATGACTAACAAGCAGCCTCTATATGATATTATTCTATTAAGGTAGAACAGGATTCAGATGTTCCCAAGCTCTTCACCAAACAAGTCAAGCCTAAAATCCCTTCCAGCTTTCTTGCTTCAGAGCATAATTCACAGCGGCGGAAACATTATCAGCGATCCAATCCGGTGTGTGCGTCGGGTCTCCGCGGGCTGGATTCCAGACTCCTGTCCTGACAAGGATAGACTTCCACGAGGCACCATCGGAGCTATTATACTCATTGGCTCCTCTAATATCGCTCTCCGGGTTATCCCCAACCATGTATACACGCTGAAGGGGCAGCACGTCGGACGAAGCACTCTGCCCCAGCAGTGCCAGTCGGTGGGAATTCAATACTCTCTCTGCGTACTCGTAAGTATACGTGTAAGGTTTTCCAATGGTGCGGCAGTTGAGCTCGCTGCCACCAGTGACCTCACTCCATACACCGCGCAGCGCTCCTTGGAAAGCACCTTGGCCGAACCTAGGCTGGTGATAGGCGGCGCTCCAGAAGAGATCAGGGTTCGAGAAGAACAGAGGTGGCTGGCCATCCGATTGCCAACCTCGATCAGGAAGGTCGGACCGCCCATTATTGGAGGAGTAGGTTCCCAGAACGCCATTCTCTGAGAGGAGCAGGTCGACGATGATCTGAATATCCAAGGCCCAGTCGCGAGGATCGTTGAAGACGAAGATACCATAGATCTTGAGGTCACCTTTCGGGAGAGGTCTCGCAGTACTGGCGTATACAGATTCCATGAGAGGCTCAAAGGGCCATATTGAAGGGTAGTTTAGGAGGATATCCGCAGGTGTGATTACGTTTTTGAATCCATACTGCTCAGCAATGGTGCGGATCTTCTCGGCGTTGGAACCTGTGACAAGAATGTTGCGGTCGTGCAAGTCTCCCACAAGCTGCTGGAAAGGGGTATGAGACTGGACGAAGTTGTCAACAGACAGGGGGACTTTGAGCTTGTCGCTCAAATCGGCGACTCTCTCCGACTCATGCTTGCCGCCGCCATTGGTGAGCAGGATGAAAGGGACTTGATGAGCCTGGAGATGCCGAAGTGTTTCGGTAGCACCAGGAATGGGTCGCGACTCATGTAGAAGAACACCATCGATGCTGCAATTTCATCCAGCGGTGAGTCAGTATGGATTGCAACACTGGGGAAAGTGGTGCTTCACAGCTTGTGACTGACTCACTCAAAGGCGAAAGCGAAGGGCGCAGTTCTCTTGGGGGCGTGTGTCTTGAATGACCGGGCAACGGGGCCCCTTGATGGTGCACGGATGGATCGGTGCAGGCTCTGGTGGAAAAGCCCAGCTGAGACACGGGCCCCGTTCCGGAGGACAGACATGGCGGACGTGGTGCTATGCTGCAGCTTACGGCGAAGGACGAAGAAGGGCATAAGATTGTTGGTTGCGGTGTTTTGGCGGAACTCCACTGAGTCAAGCGAGATAAATCACAGCGCTTTCCCCTTTACGATCGCGGAACGTGGCTACCCTGCACCGTCTTGGAAGACTGACCCTGCATCTGCATGTACGCGCTGCGTCGGCCTACATCGAGGAAGAGTGAAGACGAGGGGCAGATGAGCTTCATAACTCCTGCGAAGATTCATCAATGACAGCCTTTGGACTGTTGCGCTCGAGCGTTGGCAGCATCTCAATTCAATTCGGCGGTCGACCCACATCAGGCCAGGATTGAGGCTAGATGATTGGCCTGACAATCTGATCCCTGCACGTGGTGATATCATGAGTCAGCATTATTCGTACAATTGTTATTGTCGCCCAGCGTTTGAGAGCGATCCTACCCCAGACGTAGCTCATAGGAAATATCTAAGAAGCATCCAGATTGCTCAGATTAGATGGTCCTTCGAGTTGAAAATTTGAGAGGCTGTCTGACTTGAGCTAACTCACCTAGAATCGAAACTGAATCGCCTCATTTGATTACATTGCTGCCACAGGTGGTCCTTTGTTCACGTTCAAGAGAACTGGGGTCATGCCTCTCCACAAAACACGGTGGATGGAATTCACCTCCTTCTGCTCACAACAGGATCGGACAATATTCGCAGAATCAAGAGTTTCTACCATCAGCAAGAGCGCAAATTTAATTTCTAGTCCCCTCTTGCATGCAGACGACCGTAGACGTGTGGGAGAGAATTAGAGCTGGCCTGTATTTTGGGCTTGTTGGACAATAACGCTTTTAGTGGGGATATGATGGTGGATGTGACTGAGCCCTCATCCAATGTGAGATTAAGGTGAGTGCTGATATCGAATCCGTCAATCAGGCATTGTTTCATCAAATGCCGAGTCAGCCTGGCATTCTTGAGCATAATCAGGTTCCATTTACTGGTAATCGGTGCCGCTGGACCAAAATCGGTCCCAGCGTCGTCTGGTCCCATTGAGTCAATCAGCACCAATCAATGCCCATGCTGACAGGGCTCGGCGATTAATTCTTTGGATCAGAAGGGAGATTGCTGGTTACAGAAACTTGCTCACTTTCGGGCCCCCACACGATCGTCCTCAGGTTTGTCTCTGTTATATTCTGTGCATGCGGTGCTCTGACACGTTGTGCTTCATCATTTCCAGAAGCGGAAGCCTAAGCGCTGTTCTACGACGCTATTTCGCTTGTCCGACCTCTGTTCTGAAACAATGGAGTTTGGACATGGGATTAAATCCGAGTTGCCCTTGTTGTTGCTTTTGCGAGCCCTATTCGAAGCGAGACACAATGAAATCAATCATCCATCCGCCCATTGTCCCCATAATGAATCACTGATATAAAGCTCTTCCTCAAGACGAGATGTCTCTGCATTACCTGCATTCCCTCACCTCGAATTTTTATTTTATTTTACTTTTTTCTCTTCTCTTCACTCCTTTTGATAAGGTAGACAAACACTGACCACAATGTCACTCATTTCCAACTCCAGCGCTTGTGCGGCTGGCGCCTTCTCGGCGTTGACTCCAGTATATGGTACTGAGATTCTCGCTATGCATGCCTCTGTGGTATCCAACTTCACAATGGAGGCCGACTCTTCGCTACGATACACCTCACCCTCAGTAGTAGCTCAAGGATTATCATTCTGCAATGTCACCGTTGTTTACACTCACTCAGACACTGATGATGAAGTATACGTTGAGGCCTGGCTTCCTCCGTCGGAGAGCTGGAATGAGAGGCTTTTCACTGCTGGTGGGAGCGGGTTTGGCGCTGGTCGCTTCCTGGTCCCATACACCGGCATGGCTGGTGCTCTCACAGAGGGTTTTGCAACCGTCACTTCGGATGCCGGCCTGGGCAGTACGCTCGACGATGTTACTGGTGCCCCCTGGATATTGAAAAGCCCGGGCAACGTGAACCTGCAGCTGGTTCAAAACTTTGGCTCCACCTCGCTCAAGGAAGAAGTAGGCACATTGACCAACCTTACGATGCTTAATACAGAATCAATATGAGACTGACAAATGATTAAGGCTGTTCTCGCAAAGCAATTGATCGAAGCGTTCTATGGCAGAAAACCCGAGTATAGCTACTTCAACGGATGCTCCCAGGGTGGACGACAGGGCATGGCCCTCGCGCAGCATTATCCAGAAGAGTATGACGGGATCCTCGTGGGCGCGCCAGGAATCAACCTGCCCAAGGTTGTAGGCAGCATTTTCTGGCCCCAGCAAGTGATGAACGAGATCGGAGAACACCCCCACGACTGCGAGATCGATGCTATCGTTCATGCGTCCATCTCTGCCTGCGACAAGCTCGATGGCGTCGAGGATGGAGTTATTACCGAATACGAGAAATGCCTGAACACGTTTGACCCCTTCGGCGAGGTTGGCAGGAACTTCACGTGCTGGCCTTCCGGAGAGGCACGCCTGATCAGTGTGTCCGCAGCAGCTGTGGTGAACGCTACGTGGAGAGGAATGCCGCTGTCCGGAAAGCAATCCTGGCCCGGTCTGAACCCAGGAACCAACCTCACCGGTACCACTGGGTTCCAAAACGGTATCTGCCGCACAAACTGCACAGGCGACGGGGCGTGCTCAGGGCTGTACAACACGCTCGGGAACAACTGGATGAAGTACTTTGGAGCCAAGAATCCCGACTACAGCATCGACAATCTTACACGGGCTGAGTTCCAGGGTTTTGTGCGTCTGACTGCTCAGGAGCTGGCGTCATATTTCCAGACGGATGACGCGGATCTGTCTCCCTTGCAGCAAGCTGGCGGTAAATTGATCAGCTGGCATGGTACTGTGAGTCTATCCTCCAATCCTCACCACCCTTTTCCACTCTCAAACTGACCTGTATGCCCTCTCTAGGCTGATGATGGTGTTCCGCCTGAGGGCACGGCCGAATATTTCCGCAGGGTCAAGGACTTGATCCCCGAAGTCGGCAGCTTTTACCAGCACTACGAGATCGCTGGCCTTGCTCACTGCGCCGGTGGATCTGGCGGCCAGCCTGTCGAGATGTTCAAACAGTTGCGCGCCTGGGTTGAGAATGGCACAGTGCCCGAGAACTCCCCAGTCACCTACACAGGCCCGGATGCCAGTGTTTGGAAGCGTATCATTTGCCCCTACCCACAGAAGGCTACGACCAAAGCTGGCTGTGAGGATCTGAAGAGCGCGAGCTGCTGGCAGTGCGCCTGAGTATCCTACAACTCATGACCGTCGGGTCGGCGTTACCCGGACGTGCAATAACGAATGGCCAAGAAATTCTAGATCCAAGAGGTGACGGAGTTAGACCTCCTAAATAGAGTGTACATAAATAGACAATGATGTCCTGTAGAACAGGCAAGATACCCAGCTAGAATCAAATACCACTTGGCTACACAATTATCGACACCCATCAATGGAGCGTATGTGAATGGTCATGGGGGTCGAGATGCACGCGGCTTGGAGTCCAGCATTTTTAACGCATTGAAGATCCAAAACCTAGCGTATGTTGACCATCTACCTCTGCGTTTACAGCCGCAGTGGCATTTACTCCTTTGGCGACATGCCCCTCACGGCACAGTTAATTGAGTCGCTATCTAAATTACTATTCCGGGTTCTAACTTGCCATAGAGGGGATGAGAGTGAAAGAAGGACAAGTGAAGACGGGTCATGAGCTGAGATATCCATAATCAATCGCGGGATATTCCCCAAGTTGGTCATTTTGACGGCACAAATTCGCTGGGAAGGCCGATCTGTCTTGGCAGACGGTAGCACTCCATTTCCCATTGGCTGACACGCGCCATATCTACGAATGTAGAAAGCCATTCCTTATGCTTCATTGCCTAAAATAAGATCAAGAGATGCCTTGATACAGCTAAGGTCAAGGCGCGATGGTCGTAGTGCCAAAATAGTAGTCTATCTCTGTGCTCAAGAATACTACATTCAGCAGTCCCACCCACAGAAGTTGAGTATATAAAGCCTACTCCTTCATAGTAGTCATGATGGAGTTTGCTAAAGAGCAAGAAGTCAAAGCTCAGCCGCCAACAAACAACAGCCTTCAATATGACCAAGATACATTCCTTTTATGACCTTCTGCTAGTAGTCTCATTGCTCACGTCACGGACGTTGGCTAAATGTCCCGTGGCCAGTGTTTGCGCCATTGCCCACACGGGACCATCGATTGGCAGGGAGGTTGTGTACGAGAATAGTAAGTCTTTGTCGCGACAACAATGAGAGAGATTAAAAGCTGACAGCCAACCCTCACACGGACGCAGTGACACTTTACGTTACAGGCAAGCATTCAGATACAGCCGTACTGTACTTGACAGATGCCACCGGTATTGCTTAGCCGGAGAATAGGTTGTACGTACATCGCGTCCTAACCCACCATCTACGACTGGCTAACACGTGAGTCTCAACAGGCTGGCAGATAGCTTCGGCCGTGCAGAATACCTCACTCTCGCCCCTGACCTGTTCAATGGCACTCCAGCACCCGCGCGCAGAGATCCGTACAACCCCAACTACAACCAGACCGAGTTTCTAGCTCGTCACAACCCAACAGTCATCGACCCTATGATCGACGCCACAATCCGTTAAATTCGCAATGTGCTGGGCATCAATCGTATCGTAGCGTCTGGGTACTGCTTTGGCGGGCGCCATGCCGTCCGCGTCCTGTCTGAGGGCCGAGGTGTCAGTGCAAGCTTTGCCGCGCACCCGGCCCTGCTCCAGGACGACGAGATTCTGAGAATCACTAGGCCCGTGACTATTGCAGCCGCGGAGAACGATTTCGCCATGTCAATTAACCAGCGCCGCCACATCGAAGATCTGTTGTTGAACACCACGCAGCCATATTCACTCTCACTGTACAGTGGAACGGAACATGGATTCGGTGTTCGAGGCAACGTGTCGATTCCTCAGATCAAGTTTGCCAAGGAAGAGGCGTATTTCCAGGCAGTCCGATGGTTTGACTTTTGGGGCAAGGTAGCAAGTGGAAATAAGACAAAGGATGGATGATAAATCAATCTCCTGTAGGCTGACTTGAGAGATGACTCATGAGGCGGACTAGAAGGAGTAACTGGGCTTGGAGGAGTTAGGCAACGATACATGAACCGGTCCTCTTTTTCCTGAAAAGTAGAAATTCACGTGACTGAGCAATTGATTTCAGTCTTTCTTATCAATTTAAAACCTCTCGTAGGTCCGCGTTGTCTCCTCCAAACTTTGATTCAATTTCCCCACCAAGAAAACCACGAGCATGTCTGACACGCCTATTATCAAAGGTCCCGGCTATAACTTCACCGCCGACCCTTCGACCTCCACCTTCGCAGTTTCTCCAAAGTCGTATCTGGCAGCCAATCAAAATGAAAACTACAACGTGCTAGCAACTGGCTCTCTAGTCTTCGATCTCTCCACTCAACCTGAACCTCGGATTCTACTTCTCCAGCGGTCCCCTGGCGACAGCATGCCCAACAGATGGGAGACCCCCGGCGGCGGCTGCGATGACGAGGACGAGAGCATTTTGCATTCTGCCGCGCGAGAATTATGGGAAGAGGCCGGCCTGCGGGCAACGCACATCAGCGGCCCTATCGGAGAACCTCACCTATTCCAGAGCAGGTCCGGAAAGAAGATCGGCAAATTTAACTTTCTCGTCCAGGCGGAGGTGAATTCCAAGGGTATTTTGGAGGTTAAACTTGATCCAAACGAGCACCAAAAGTTCGTTTGGGCCACCCTGAAACAGGTCCAAGAAAAGAAGGTTAACGACATCGAGCTGGTTTTTACAACGGCGGATACGGAGAACGTGATGCTGGAAGCATTTTCCTCGATCAACAAAGAGCACTGATACAGGTCTCTGACGGTGTTTGATTTTCTCTAGATGCTACTGGGTAGGAGCAGAGCGTTACTGGATGCATATACCGTGGTTACATTCCTAAAATGCGGACAGAACTTTTGAAATGCAGCTTTCATTCGTCATAACCTAATCTCTAACGTGATCCGAACCCGCTTCAAGGCTTCTTGATGCGTGTGAGTACGATACCACGGCTTATTCATAGTATATACTACCTAGAAATATCTTGACCACTACTTGCGCTGCTTCTTGTTGCGAATTCTATTGATCCTGTTAGTTTCCATCTACAGACAATCGTAGTAATTAAAAAAAAGGGACTCATGGCTCACTTCTTAAGCTGTTTCTCGAGGATATTTGCGCCAACCGCCCCGGCGGCAGCACTCGCAAGACTACCCAGGACGCCCTTACCAGCTTTGCGCGCTGCCCAACCCCCAGCACCGCCTCCCACAATAGTTGCGCCGAGGCCTCGCTCACCATCGGGTACAGTGGCCGTCTCATGACGACCCTGCATATTTCCGTGTTGGTTGGAGGCTTGAACATGCTGAGGCTAGAAAAGTGCGGGTTAGTGACTGTTGCTGAGGAAGCAAACAAATTCTTGGTCTCACCTGTCGAGGAGCGTTGTGGTAATTCGTGAATCCGTAGTAGCTCTGGTTAGACATGATGATTATTATCTTCGGAGGCTAAAAAGGTCGGTTTTGATGAAGTAGATATTTGAATGTATCGAATGTTTTCTAAATGCAGTCTTGACGGTTTCAAGAAAGATGCTAAGTCGGAGAGGAGCCTCTATTTATGTTTTCAGAGACTTAATTGTCGGGCTGTAACATTTCTTTCACCGTCTTGTGAATGTCATGTAGATGGAGGCTTGGAGAACTCATCCACACGGCTGACGACTCTGTCTCAGGTTCGCAATGCCGAGAAGACACCGGCTTCTCGAAGTCCCGCCATAGTCTAGACTATTGGAGTAAAGGTTGAAATCCTACGCCATGTCCAGCTGAATGATTGTGGCTTATTGAGTTTTGCATGAAGAATCCACGTGTAGCTCTCAGAAGAAGCTGGGTACATGGAAGTTTTTTAGTTGGTGGCTTAGCCTGCTGTCATCGTCAGCGCCAAGACTGACCGGTGTGATGCCCATCACTGCCCAAAGCTGCTGTGTATCCATTCCCAGGCTGGCCGTGTCGATTGATATTATTAGATTCTATTTTCCAATGAATACAGTTGGAATCGGACAAAATGACAACGGGTTCAGACATTCTGTAGGGGCATTCGGATAGCATAAAGGGAAGCAGGATGAAATATACATTTCTTTTCTCCTAATTTTGACATTTCAATCTTTCATTATATCTCTTACCAGCTCAATCTAAATTCAAGTTAACCAAAAAAATGTGTCGGTTCGAGGTTCTATCACTCCATCGACCTACAGTATCAATGCCGTCTGGTGATGTAAATCCTAATCAAAACTGGCAGTGGGTCAAGTAGCAAGTGGTCGTGACACATGAGAGAGGCTAATATTGGAATAATTTTGATATCAAAACTGATCGAGAAACTGATCACAAAATTGCCAAGAGTGATGGTCATAGGATGATCTAGTATCTATATCATTGTGGTTGACGTTAATGAGAGATGACGGGGTCAAGTGGCTGTAATAAAACATGGCACACCAAAGCTCTTCCGCGTGAGACACGGACCTCGTTTTTTAACTAAACACAATCAGAAGAGAATAATAAGAGAACAATAAACCATTCTATAATATTTAGCTTGATATTGTATTCAGTACTAGGTTATTTATTGTGATATTGTGTTGAATTTCAGTGCTGACCTATCTCGATGTGCCATGTTTTATTTCGCCCACTTGGGGGTCTAACAGGGGCGGCTTTTTGGTGGGCCATGTGTTATTTCCGTCACTGCAAACGCGTTCCATCACATCCATTGATGGCTGTTTGAATTATTAGTGCAAGCCAGTCAGCAAGATGTGATCAGGTGACCTGCCCATGCCTCCTGTCTGGTCACTTCAGTGCCGAAATGATCTTTGGAGAGCCTATGGCCAGTTTTGGTGCAACAAGCCGAACGACCCGAACGAGCTTCAATTCTGCAATATCCCTTCAACAATTGCCGGCGCATTCATCCCTGCTATTTCTGGATCTAAAATACTCGGATTGGGCGGATAGCCAAGATGACACGGGCTCGCCCTGGCCCTTCCTTGCAGTTCATCAACATCGCGACCCCTGACGAAACTACTTCCCACGCACGGCGACGGCAGGTCCGCTCTCATGCTGCTAGGAACTCCAGCAAGCGGCAGAGGGCGGTCTCCGAGTACCAAGAGAAGTCAGGCCAGCATGGCCCAGCAACTGCACCGGCAATACTGGCTGCCCGTTCACCGCGCATATCTCATAATTTGAGTGCGGCGTGGACAGACCCCTTTGATACGTTCATTCGTAAAGTGTCTCGGCTAGAGTGGTTCCTCATTGACCACTGTGAGTAAAGCACACCTTCCGTCGTTTAACCAACGACTTGTTTTGACATGTCACTAGTTATTCGACACGTGGCGATGGTTTCTACAGTCTGCATCCCCTTTATAAGCGGCCAAGAAGAAACGGACTTTGTAATGGAAACGGGGAGATGGTGGACACGAATGGCCGCCATAGACACGGGCATACTGGCCGCCCTATTGCTAATGTCGTGCCGAGACCTCTCCGCCTCCCACCACCCGGCAGGATATACTGCACTCACCCTCAAATACAACGGCGAATGTTTGGAAAACGTGAATAATGCGTTGAAAGACGAGACTTTAGCGTCAAGCGATCTCACGATCGCCAAGACGTTCGCCCTCGCATCCGATGCCGTAAGTTGACTTGCCTGGACTGAGCTGGAGTTATCCACCCGCTTCTCTTTCTTGGACGGCACTGACATTCTCTTTTTTTAACAGACACTGTGTGGTGACGCCAAGGCTGCCAAAATTCACCTCGAAGGCCTGGGTAAGCTGGTGGCAATTCGAGGAGGCACTGAAAAAATGTCGGCGCTCTGCTACGCTGGCAAAATGGTTACGCTCTTTCTGAAAGGTCCCTTTCAGAAAAATGCCCTCGTCACAATCACATGCATAGATCTAATGGCATCGGCATACTCTGAAGAGGAGACAAGCCCAGGAGGTGAAAATTAATTGTTTTATTAGAGTGTTTTTATATCCAGATCGTTAGTTTTTATATCCAATTCTTTACATCCTCCTGGGCCCTATGCCCTTTTATATCTTACAAATGAACAGGGAACCTTTCCCGCAATACCTTCCCGTACTTGAAAATAAGACTTGGAATGGGTATCATTCCCACGGCGATGAAGCCAAGGAGAGACGTGCCCCAGCCCACCCCAAGCGTGTCGTACATCTGCGTCCCTGCTAATGGCAGGAAAGCTGCCACCGTGCATCGGAGAACGGCAAACGCGGCCAAACAGCTAGCAGCGTATTCTGCATACGCGTCAACCAGGTATGCCTGAGTCGGGAGCCAGATTCCGTTCAGCGCGAGGCCAAAGAAGCCGAGTCCTATGATCGTAACCGCAGGATGCACGGCCTGGTCTGCAGCCCAGCCGTACCAGAAGAATGGTACAGGCAGGAACAGTCCGAACCAGACACAGTCTACCAGCCGCATCTCAGGCTCATAGACGCCATCGTTCTCGCGAGTCATCCGAACCACGGTGCGATCAGACAGGCTGCTAAAGATGGCGAGACCAACGAAATTGCCAGCCAATAGCGAAAAGTAAACCAAGCCAGTAACGCCCAATGACCAGTGATATGTCTTTTCAAATACGATGGGAATCGTGTTGAAAAGGAGGTAAAGGCATCCATATGCAAAAGCAATATACAGCGAGGCGCCGAAGATGATGATCGAGGTGAAGAGCATCTTGATGGGACGGATTAAGCCAACCAAAAGCACTCCGCTCTTGGACACAGAGGGAGCATCCTCGCTCACGTAGCAGCTACGTAGTTCCGGACGGTTCAACTCCTTGCGCAGCTTCTCGGTCCTCCGGGCGATGAGGACCTTGTGATTTGTCTCGGGGTAGAGGATGGCCAAGCCGATGGTAGCCAGTAAAGAGGGAATAAGGGTGATCCAGCTCGTCCACCTCCATCCAATGGTCTGGGAAACGAAGCCGCCGATGACCGGGCCGATGCTTGGGCCTATTATTGGCCCAGCCATCCATATTGCCATGGCACTACCTCTTTCGCTGACTGGGAATACATCGGCAATGATGGCACCGCCAATGGTCTGGCATGCTGAACCACCTAGACCGGACATGAAGCGGAAGAAAACGAGAGTTTCGATGGATGGGGCAAGGGCACAGCCTATGAGCCAGACACAGAACCAGAGAGTGGCGGAGATGAAGACCACGTAACGTCCGTAGATCTCGGAGAGCGGGGAGAGGACTAGCGGACCAACAGCATAGCCGAGGAGGAAGATGCTGACGGGCATTGATGCCATTGTCAGCGAGGACACTTGAAGGTCCTTGGCGAGAGTTTCTATCGCCGGGGCTAGAATAGATGAAGCAAATGGAGTCATCGCGGTGATGAGTGACAGTAAGGAGACAATAAGCCACTTCCGAGACTGGGTAAAGTTCAGGGGCATCTCTGGGTCCTGCTGATGGTCCCAGCCAACAACGCCATTGTCAAGATCGGTGATTGGGAGCACCGGCGGAGGCAGTTTCTCTCTTGATTTAGTCTTCCTTGAGAGCTTGCTAAACATGCTCTGACGGGCACGGCTCGCTACCGAATGGCGAGTCACAATTCTCTCGATTGCGATTTCATCCTATGAGGTCGTCGTTGAGCGAGAGAGGCTTCACTATCGGGAGGGATGAGTACTGACATATACTACAATGGATTCTTGTGTGATTCTACCTCCAACTTGCGATGTAGAATGAGTATCCGGGCCCTGTGATGAACCTTGCTTCTCGCCATCTTTTGAATCAATCGACCCATCAGGACGCGCCGCCTTTTCAAGATCGCTTGCCGTCGAGACTGACATGATATAAAAGATAGATATCCGATACCAAGATGGCCGGGGTGGGTCACATCAGAGACGATGTGGTATTGGGTCGTCAAGAGAAATCAGTGACCATGTGAAAACATGGGGGATTGGAGGAAGGTCGAGTAGAATTTAGGGCGACTGCGGCTTTAGATGCTTGTGGGGACAAGAAAAGCTTTGGTGCTTCCTCTCATTTATCCGACCCACTTGGCACTTTCGTCAGGTCGTATTTATAATCAAGTGAAGGTGGCCTGGTTCTCCAGAGGATCATGAGTCATACGTTCTCAAGTCGATCTCGGAGGTTTCAGCGTGTTACTAGTTCTACTTTTTAGCAATCAAGATCTAAATCACCTTCTCAAGTGTCACCTTGGGCTCTTGAATACTTTAAGCTCTGAACCGACATGCCTCTGACGGGGACCGGAGCAGGGGCCAGGAAGTTAGCGTTGCAGGGATTAGAAACGGGCAAGTGGGTGACATGAGAAATGAGACACCAAATGGAAGAGTGCTTAAAAAGAGACTGTCTTCTAATTTGAATCGAGAAATACAGTAGTATAGAATGAAATATAGTAATAATATATGCCGTATATCTCTGAAGTTTGTATTATTAGTACTCAATAATCTGATAATACCGGCCACAAATTCGAGAGAATAAGCAGCTTCATGTTCGAGTGTCTCATTTCTCATGTCACCCACTTGACGGGGTGCTTCTTTAGGCATCATTCAGAGAAATCTTCATGGCAAACTGGAGATGCAACTACAAGCTAAGAACCATAAGGCTTAAGTGGCAACTAAGAGCATTGTAGCCCCGTGGCAATGCTTCAAAGTCGGCCCTTGTTATATGACAGGAACTTATCTTAGTTATAGCTACTTTAACAGAATTCAGCACTTGAAACTTCAGTCATCATGAGAGGTCTTCCTAGTGGCAATAAAGCTTCATACCTTTGCAAAATAGTCATGATCTTTGCTGTAGCCACACATTATGGCAATTTGTTGCTGTGTAAAGTAGGTAATGATCTAACTTTGATTAATGTAGGATTAGAACGTGTCAGAAGTAGTATACATTGAATCCTTCGACCACGCATTGAAGGTTTGTAATTCTCTATTGAATTGAGAGTCCGAGGTGGACTCTTTGGGGGTCGTTGGTAGCGAAACGATTAGTTCTGTAAGGCTAAAAGAGCAAGTGCGACTACATAAGCTTCACGACGATAAAGTTGACAGATGCGGGTTGGAACTAGAGAGGTGCCGGTAATGTGACGAGCGTACCAGTGTTCTGAGGTTAGTACTGTAGCCTTGCAAAGGAAACAAGACCTAGCGCCAGAAACAGATAGCATTTTGTATCCATCTCAGCCAGTAAACAAATTGATGTACCCCGAACAATGATGTACATTCAAGGTCAAGTCTATAGTACTCATTAATCGGTCTTGATAAATAGAAAATACCCGATTTGTTTCTTAAACTGGGATGGTGCCGCACTTTCAATCATATCGTGATATGCCTAGCAATTGAACAACACACATAGACCCCGCCGACACCGTATGAATCTTACGACACTGAAAATTTAATGCCCATTCATCTTGGCATTGGGCTATAATATGACAGCAGCTTATGGCATGGGTCGTCTCACCTGAGACAAGGGTCTAAATGCTCGAGCTGAAGAAGACTATTAAAAAGGTGGGCTGCAGCTGGCGTTCCTCTGAGTTCCCCAACTTTTTACCAGTCAAACTCGTTTCTAGCCTAGTTGGTTACCACAAGAGCAAGATGAGTTCTATCAAAGTGATCAAATCCCTCGTTGTAGGCAAGGTATTTTCAACACCACAGTCTACTTGTTTCATTTAAAGTAAGCCCCAGCGGGTATTAACATGACGTGAATAGGGCCAAAGAATGGACATTACAGTTGATGAATCTGAACCAGAGGACTCTATCGACCGCTGGGTAATGGACACAATCTGTACCGGCGAGGAGGCTCTGGAAATCCCACCGCACTGGCATATGGTACGTGATTATAGTGACGCTAGTAAACGTACTGTGGCGAATTCAAGCTTATTTTTTTAATGGTGTCAGAATCACCAAGAATACCTAAGTGTGGTGGAGGGTCGAGTTGAAATTACTCTCAACGGCAAAACATCAATTCTCAAGGCCGGGGATCCCGCCGTCCTTGTGCGGCGTCGAGATGTCCACAGCGTCAAGGGCTTCAAAGGAGAGAGCCTGATCTTCCGAGAGAAGCCCGACCCTGCTGGAGCATACAAAGCATTGTAAGTAGCAATGGCCCCAAATGTTTAGCACGTGCCACTTCTAACCATTGCCGGGTCGCATTCTAGATTCTTCAACGATGTATTTTCAAAAGGTGGATTTGGTGGCGTATGGCATACTCTAAGAGCCTTCTATGATGGAGATGCCTACCTTGCATTGCCTTTAGGCGTACAGTTGATCGATCGAGCGGTGAGTACCAAGACTGGTGATGCTACACTTGCGGTTTGCTAACATCAACTCAAGTTCGTTTTTGTATTGGGTGGTATTGCACATCTATTCGTATCGAAAAAGCCTGAAACATTCTAGATACAATATAATTCCAACAGCTTTCCAGATCGTGTTTGAATTCACTTGCGAAATGCGTGAATATCTGAATAATTACAGGGACCTTTGGCTTCCCCCTCGCAGTACCACGCCTTCTATGCGCGCTTCGACTTAACCGATCGCCACTCGATCAATAATGACCCAACCATGGTTGCACAGGCGAGTCCAACGACCAAATACCATGTCTGGCTGATACTCTTATCAATCCCTTCAAGAACTTGCCTCGCTTCTGCTGATGGCACACTTGACACAATCTCACTCAGACCACTCTTCTCCATCTCTCCTCGAGTCAATCCTTCAACGAAGCCACTGAGGTTGGTCCAGAGCTGATTGGTGAAAATGACTTGTGCGATTGCGATCGTCACGGCTGGTCCGAATGACTGGGCGAATAGCATGATGGACATGCCCAAGGGGATCTCGTCTGCAGGCAACACAGTCTGTACCGCATTCTGAGGCCCTGAGAAACCAATCCCATAGGCAAGGCCGCACAAGGCAGTGTACATGATGAGCTTGATCATGCTTGTATCAACTTCAAACGTTGTCACGAGGCCCGCAGCGATGGGCATTATGATGGAGGCAAATAGCATGAAGGGTCCATAGTGGCCGAATGTACTCGTGCCTGTCTCTCGTCCGGCTGCTACTCGACAAGGGAGCCGATATCAAGACGAGAGATTTTCTCGGTATGACACCCTCAACCTGGGCAGTTAAGTCCAGGTATACAGCTGCTTTCCAGGTATTTATTGAGCACGGCGCCAACATTGAAGCTTGAGATTTGCGATTCCATAGGACACCCTTATCGCGGTTCTGCTTCTCGAAGGTATTATTAGTACAGATAAGACTAGCTGCAAGGGTAATAGTAAACTGAGTAATATCTCTCTCCCCTGTGCTCGCGATTTAAACCGGATAACGGCATAAATTCAACCCTCCTAACTGCGGTACTACCTCACCGCAGAAGCATATCCCTCAAAAGCTCATGAACGTAAACCATAATACCATTAGACTCTGTAGCCAAAGATTGGCATAAGTGCAAAACCATTCTACTCATCTTCCTCCAAATGTTCCTCCGAGTCTTCCTCCGCAACAGCTACCTGCTGCTCTTCTTCTTGGACATCCGCGAAATCCATCAGATTCCTCTCACCTCCAAGTGGAGTAGCAATTTCCTGGGCGGTTTGCAGTTCTGCAGGTGTCAAAGTCCGATAAAATACCAAAAATCTCCACTCGGTTCTGCTGCACATGCTTAGGGGCGTACCCTTGGTGACCCATGGTTTGTCATCCCCCCATTTATTCATAAGTGTGCTTGGGGCGGAAAATGTACAAGGCCGGTTGAGGGCCGAGCAACAGACACAGACCCAAACGTCAGTACGATTGTTATCGCGGACACAATCCCAAAAAATGCGCCCATCGGTTCCCACTTCTCTCCTCGAGATAATACAGAGGTCACAACGAGCCCCCCCCTCCCGTTGCCCCATCTTGTTCCTCTTGAGCACATCGGATTCAGTCAGACGCCAAAATGGAGAATCGACCGGGGGGGGGCCTTCCTTCCGGATTATAGTCCCTTTACCCACGAATGCATCCTTGATAGCATTGACATTCATATCGAACTTGGTTCGGCGAGGGACGGGTCGACGATGGCTTGGTCTTGTTGTCCAGCGTGCCCTTTGTTGGAGATGATCCACCTGTAGCATCAAGATTCGCTTGTTTCCAAACCAAGCTCGTCGTGGGAAACCATCCATCTTATCTCCAACGTATTCAATTCCCTCGAACAACTGGATCAGGTTCATTGCCTCACGCCAGTGTCTAATAGCATCCTCAGGATCTCGAGTTTGATGGAGCCGAGGCCAGCTGTAGTTGCCATTTTGTAGTTTGAGCGAAAGCCACTTGCGCTGGGTTTTATCGTACCATTCGACGCGTATCCCTAGGCGAGATGCTGAATCAAAATTCTCAAATGGTCCGATTGTAGGGGAGCCGACCCATGGATGCTCATGTATCTTGCCATCGTGCATTACTTCAAAGACAAGATAGCATATGAGTAGACTTGGAAGTTTGTTTTCATCAACAGCTGAAGTTCCAAGCATAAATTCAACGTGCTTATTCTGCTTGTCGGATGCATGATACTTTATCGAATTGTACAAGGCCTTTCCCTTCGACCTCGGGCTGAACCTTGCAGGCAAGCGGTAAATATTTCTGTCCTCCATTCTAAAGCATGGAATGTCAAAAGGTGCGTTTTTGTATTGAAAGATAGGGCTCGCCACGTTAGCTCCTTTCCATGGGGGATTTGGTAATCCTACTGCGATGCGAGTGGATTGAGCAATTCTGTAAAGGAATGCCGAGCCAGATAACCAGTTTTGTTTTATGGAAGGCTCGTTAGCAGCAGCTGATATGTCGGCATGCCAAGTGAAGAGAGCCCCAATCATCAACTGCTCGGCAACAAAAGTGCATGGGCCAGAAAATGTCTGGTAAGTTGACAAAGGCCAGAAGATGAGAGGGATGGTTTTCCTGTTCTTCGAGTTGGACCTGGCGGCAAGTGTGTAGTGTCTGCTCGGATCATTCTTGGCAATGCAATTTTCATGTTGCTGATGCCGCTTGTATACGTTGTTGGAACTCCCCACGTATAAAGCCGAGTCGTTGATGTCCTGTTGTCGTTGATCCAAGTGAGTGTAGGGTCTGACGTAGATTGTAACGCCATCGCCAGGCCATGTCGACGTAGCCGATCGCAAGTGCAAGATGTCATGGATGGTCCATGTTTGTTTTTCGAAGAGACCTCGTACAGCCGGCAAGAGACCGTCAAGTGCAGTATTAACCAGTCGAAGGGAGTTTTCTGCTGAGAAAAACATGTCGTAGATGTGGCTAGGCATCCCCAAAACATTGACGATATTATGGCGATTTTGTGCATTGCCGACGGTCCCCCAGAAACGATAACAAAACCTAGAGATCTTGTCACGGCCGACGGAAAGGTCTGAAACTTGGCCGGCGGGTGTCGGGACGGTGGAGCTCTCGGCAAGCTTCTCTCGTAGGGGTCTGAATGGCCTTCCTCGAGCGAAGGAATCCGAAGGGACGACAACTAGATGCAAAAAGGTCAGAGCATATTCAAAAGCCAAGTCGTAGAGGTACTTACCGTCAACTGCTTCGTGAGATGTGAAGAACTGAACCCATACCATTCGTTGCTTTTGGCGCACAAAGAAGCCCTCATCGCCTTCGCGAACGCGGAAGATTCCATCCTCCTTGAGGCTTTGAGGGATCTTGCCCCTGATAGCCACGGGCCAAAACTCGGCTTGGTCGTCACAATCGCAATCCTGCGTCATTTGAATGGCAAGTCGGTTCGTATCACTGCCCGTCGCTGGCGCTCCCGGAGGATCGAAGACCACGTTCAAGGCCATTGCGAAAACGCCTGAGAGAGAGAAATGAACAGAAACACGTTAGTTGAAAAGGATTAGGGCAGAAAAAAGGCAGTCAAAGTCAGCAGATGAAAATAAGCAGGAAGGAAATGAAGATGCAGAAAGAAAGAAAAAAGAAGTCAGCAGTCAGTAAAGGCCTTGGAGAAGGCAAGTTTGTGGAGGGTAGGATGCGGAGAGAAAGCCGTTGAGAGTGTGTGCATGGGCGGAAAGAGATTTCAAAATGGGAAAGCAGTGCTCGAAGTTGTGGATGGAAGGGGGATGGTAGGCGGGGGGCGGCTCAATTTAAGGTCGTCGGCTTCGATGATTCACTCACCTTTGTACGATGATTCACCTACTCTTGTATGATGAATAGGATTTTGGTTTGGTCAGATGGTAGTGTTTGTGTCATGGCTGAGATGTGATTCACGGCCTTGCTATTCATCGAGGCGAAGAATGGAATGCAATGAAAGCGGCAGAATTATATTTGGGCGGTCAGCTATCTATCTACCTATGCGCATCAGGGGGGTTTTCTAGTACTGTATCCAGAGTATTTTTGGCATAGTATAATACTATTAGTATTATAGGTTGGAATATACTGAAAAGGTGAGGGTTTCTTGGCTGAGCGCGTGTGTCGGCGAAACACGGATGACAAATTTACAACATATGCGCTTGGCCAACATTATCGCGACACTCAGCATCATGTCCAGTTTGTGTTGATTTTATTGCCGACATGTCTGCCATCGCAAGATCAATTTACCAACGAACATGATTTTTTCCCAGATACCATGCTGCAGTGAAAAAAATATCTCCATTGTATTTTCTGTTGCATTCCTCTGTTGTATTTTCTCCTCTTAGGGAAAGGAGCGCCTCCGTAAATGCGGGCGTGCGACGCCGGAGCTTTGGCCAAGTGTCTGATGCGAGGAAAGATCGTCAAGTTTCGCTATTCTCACTTTTAGAAGGTATCAATTGGTAAATGGAGATATAAATTGTTGAATGGAAGCCATTCAGGAACCGTACCTTTCTCGTCATTGCTTGTCGCAGATGCCGGTTTCGGGGATGTACTCGCTTGGATTGATACAGGGGCCTGGTAAATTGCTCCGTTGTTGTCCTCCTGGCTGGTCTCACATCAGCTACACACGCAGCAGAAATAGGCGGATTCCTGCTTACTCTAGATCTCCGGCAATGTAATCATTGGATGGCGGCGGTTGCGGAAGGTCGACAAATCCATCATCGCCCTCCTTATAGCTCTGATCGTCAGAGGATGATGCATCGCCGGCGGATGGATCGTCAACCGACGTATCTTCAACACCTGTCGCGCGGTCGGTCTGGGCGAGACCCTCCAGAATCTCCTGCCGCATCTCTCTGAGGAGGATTTCTTCGTCGTCTGTGTCTGCGGAGGGCGGCGCGGGTGGGTTGGCCATGTTTGGGACATCTGCTTCTGAACAGTCGCTTGTTTGTCGGCTTGTGCTATATCTCTGGAGATGAGATGGTAAAAGGCAGTGTTTTCACTCATAAAAGGAAGGCTGCCAGGCAAAGGAGATAGGTAGAAATTTGTTGGGATAGGGAGCGCAAGTTGTATTGATAGTAAACTGAGCTAAAGGTGAGACTCATCCGCCTCCCAGTTATACCTCTAAGGCAGTAAATCTTCAACCCATGTTATCTTAAGAAAACTTTTGTTATATCATTCCCGTGTGTTGCCTAAGAACCCAGAGGATAATATAGTTGTAAACTCAAAGTACCCATCGCCATTTTGTAAATGCAGAATACGCGACCAAAGAATAAGATGCATAAAACTCCCATTGCAGTAAGCAGCTCCCATATCCCAATTGTTACCGATCCTAGCCTCTTCGGAGTTAGCTACACTGTAGAGATATACCAGCCTTGGGATAACCTACCATAAGCCTGGTGTTACTGCAAAGTTGCACCGTTTAGGCAGACTCATGCTCCTGGGGGAGTTCAGCATTATCGCTGTCCTGCTTGACGATGAACTCTTCCCCATCGATCTCAGAATCATTGATGAAGTCATCCACATTGATGTCAGGATTATCGACATCGGGATTTCCATCCCCATCAATATCCCCATCAACATCCCCATCGGCATCCCCATCGGCATCCCCATCGGCATCCCCATCGGACTCGACCTGGGCTTCGACCTGGGCTTCGACCTGGGCTTCGACCGGGGCTTCGACCGGGGCTTCGGCCTTCTTCGCCTTTGACTTGCTCTTCTTGCCAGGTGAGACAGCAAACTTGGACGGGTCCACTCCCTTGGAGTACTTGGCGCCTTGTCTATTCCCCGGGGCATGGCCGGCCTTCTTTGCTCCTGGTTTGAAGACAAGTCCAACCTTCACCTCTTCCGGCTTATGCGGGTTATCATGGCCGCCAAGAGTCGAGTGCCCAAGGCTGTTCGCCATGTCTCGTAGGAAATGCAAGAGGTGCTTGCGACATTGGTAGGTAACCCAATCCTTCTTATCTTCCTTGGGAGGACGAGTGTCCCGTCCAACATACACCCATTGCTCCATCGACTTTCTGAGGCCTGATGGCATGTTCTCTTCCCCTCCGTAAATGACACAGGTCGAGAGCCAGTGGATTGGCTCAGGGTCGCCAGCCTTGAGGCTGTCTCGGAGTCCGCGAGTGAATGGATGTTGGCTTATGGTGTAGCCATCGACATGGGTGGGCTTCTTGACCTTGTCCTCCGACACCTTTGGTGAAGCCTTGGACTCCTTGGATGCCTTCTTCGGGATGGTTGGTGGAGCCATGGTGCTCAGTCAAGGTAACTATTAATATGATTAGTATAACCTGTTGATATATGACGGACATCTAAGTAGGATTTGGTAAACTCAGGTATATTCTGGTAAATCAGAGCACGTAGACATATGAGAGGTTAGTGGTGGGTGAAGGGATGTGGGAGCGGGATGTACTGGTCTAGCTCTCTCCGTAAAAGAAGAATTAAATATATGGCACTCTACTTAGAGCTTCCATACGTTCCGAGGGAGTTGGATTATGTGGTAAAATATCAATATCCAGCGATGGTCAATTTACCAAATCAACGGCAGTAACTCAGCAGGCCAGTGCGCGCAGTATCGTCTTGTCGAGATGTTTCTCCAAAGTAGGATCGCCGAGCACCAGAAGCGCGATGAAAAGAACAGCCCAGGAAGCGCGCGCTAGCTATTTCTGGTTATATATTAGCTAGAAACACTCAGAAATAGCCTCAAATAACTTACCAATAGCAAAAAAACTCTAGATATATTAGATTTGGAGCGTGGAGTGGGGTTGGAGGAGGGAAGATGTGTGGTGGAGGTTGAAGAAGTTGAGGTTGGGTTGAGGCGCGCGCCGAAGAATCTTATGGAACTGCACACAATGAACGCGGACAATAATCCCCCCACGTTGATCCAATTTACCAAATCCCATGTCGAACATTAGCGACTTATCCGACTTGAAGCAAAAGATAGGAGGATACTGGTACACAGTCCAAAACTGCCCTGGCTCTTGATCGCAACCAAAGTCATTTAGTAAACAGACACCGATAGCGCATATTTCCTGGTAAATAAGCATCAGTGCGCCATCAGTGCGCCAGTTGGTAAAAATACACATAGACTTGCTGAGTTAGAGGGAGGATGTTCAGGGTTGTAAGGTAAAGAGCGATATTATCACATGGAATCCCAAGTTATCTGGATGTCCTTAGTAAATTCTAGACTGGATATCTGGACAGCAATATCTGTACAGTTGGTAAATTCACGATATTGATTGTGGGAGAGATTGAGTCTACATGAATCCAGACTACGAGCTTGGTAAATTCTTGCTGCTTAATAGTATGAATTAATTATGTCTAGTCCTGTTCTACCTGCGTAACTGAGCTGTTGTAAATTCCCATATCGGCCATCAGGCTGCTAGATCAGAGTCTAGAGTCTGCCACCGTATAAACACCTTGGCGTAGTAAAAACCTCTACACCAGAACCATAGATACTCCCAAATATTTCCCAGGTCATAAGCGTATATATCGTACCAGTTTGGTATATCAATAGAAAAACTCCCAGGATTTCATTCCCCATTTACCCATATTAGTAGGCTGATGTCGTAGATCGCGTCAAGTTGGTTTTTATCCCTATGGCAGAATATTAGCTCTCGTTTAGAAATTTACCATTAAAGAAGACCGACCTCTAGGGATTGAAAGTCAGGTGTCCAGATAACCCAGAGAATCCCATGGTCACAGTAAAAAAAGGATTGATGAACACAGAAGCCTCCTTCGAGAGGAGGGGCAACAGTAGATTCATTGGGTGAGGTCTGGGTCGATCACGGAATCCTGGGTCGCCGGGATTATATCTGTCGCTGTCGCGTCTCCCGAGTCCCCAGAATCAGTTGGGTAAGGCACGTTATATTCCTCGAATGTAGTCTCGTCGGGGATGTAAACGTCATCATCGTTATCGACTGAAAGGATCGAAGACACAAGCTTGGCTACCCTCTGCTTCACAAGGGCGCGGGGTCGAAGCGCGACAAGGCTAGGATCCACGACCTGGACCTGGCGGAATTTCGATGACTTCCAAAGGCCGTCGTAGTGGTTCAGGACCCAAGCCCGGTCAAGGATCTCGTCGCCAGAAGTCCTACCCTCTTTGACGCCTTGCATCCAATGGAGATATCGCTGGACCGTGGTAAAAAGTTCGACCCAGATAGCTATAGCTGTTAGCATACCGTCAAATACATAAGGGCATATAGAACATACTCAAGCACCATAGGCGCACTGACTTATCACTCTTCTCAATCAAAATCCATTTATCGCACCAGGCAAAAACGGTCTCAAACTCCTCGTGCTTGTATATGTTCTTGAATTTGTTGTGAAGGACCTTAATCGATTCGCCGCGTGCTATTTTCATGTCGCTAACCCTGGCCTGTGTTCGATTAGTATGTATTCCAATGAGATCAAGGCAAAATTATACCTTGATGTTAAGCAGAGTTCGTGATTTCCAAGAAGCGACATTACCGCGATAACGCCTCAAGGCCTGGTCCCGGAGGTTGGGGTGAGTGTCCGTTGGGTATATTCAGAACAGTTAAGATCAAGCCTTTGCCGAGACTGATCAGATTGGCTCGTCGGCATTGGATTTCGGCATCACCGAGGACGTTGTTGTATTGAGCCAGAGCCTTCTTCTCTTGGAGGCGCGCAGCTTTTGCTTTCGATGTGGTGGGTGTAGTGACAGAGATGTCCTCGCCGCCACCATGCTTTGGAAAATTAGAGTGTCATCTTCAAGGGCGGGTGCGACAGGTAACACAAACCTCTGCTCAATCCGATTCCGCGGTAGCTGGATCGGGCGGTGTAGCGGGCGCTGTATCAGGCGACGGCATCTTGTGCAAACCAATCGATGTTTTACCAGAGGCTGATGTATAGCTGTCGCAGACTTGATTGATGGTGGGTGCTGGTCACGGCAGAAAAGGGTGGTTGCTGGGGAGGATTTTCGAGTGGAATGTGGAGATGAAAAAGTTGGCGCGAACATCGCACGAAGGAGAAAAGTGACTACCGCACTTGACACGTAACAGATAGCACATTCGGAGAGAAAAGGCAGAAAACGCGTAATTGGATCGAATTGATTAACGAGATGATGATGATGATGATGAATGAAAGAAGAAATCTCTCCTCTTCTAAAGCTAGCTATCTCTATCTATTCTAGTAACTGCCAGCTGGTTCCTGCTTGTATCTATTAATCTTTATTCTTTCAACTCTCTTCTTGGCTAATCTCACCCAATCAGGCTCCACGCTAGCTAGAGGGGGAACAAGCTGCTGCCCCAGCAGCTCAAACATCACCTTCCAGAGAATCCAAGTTATCAAGAATACCAGGTCTCTCAAAGACGGGTTCGCTAGTGTTGGCTGCGGGGTCATCAACACGCGCCGGATAGTTGGCCATAGAAAGTTCACCATTCGGGTCAACAAGAGCCTCAGATGCCAAGGTAGATGACAAGCTTCCATGAGATGCAGATTCCAGTTCTCTACTCCCAGCTTGTGCCTGCGGGCACACAGAAGTTGGTCCCAACGTAGAAACAACCTTTTGGGGAGAGAATCGTGGAGCTGGAGACACCGTACCAGATTCAGAGCGGCGAGGAGGAGGGGTTTGAAACTTGAAGGTTGAAGCTCCAGCTTGTCCCAGCAGGGAAGAGGCTGCCACTCCTCCAGAAACAGGCCTGTTGATGGGAGTAAATTGAGGCCTAACGTGGCCAGTCTGAGCTCTTCTGAGTGAAGTGAAACCAGCAGAGATAGACGCATCCCGAGCAGATGTATGTGCTTTGACTCCCCGATTCCCATAGGTCTCTTCCCATCTCTTCAAACCATCGATGGCAGATGTATCAGTTTTGGCTCCTTGATTCTCATAGACCTTTTCCCAGTTCTTCAAAAGATCTTGTAGAGGAGGGGCCAGCGATACCTCTGCTGTAAGGGCAGTAGAAATGGGGTCCTTCTCAGAGAGTGGAGTATAACCAGAAGCAGACTTCCATTGTTCAGCATTCTGTTCAGCGACTGGGCCAAAAATAGATCGGGTAGGAAGAGTAGGGCCTGGAGGGACAGGTTCGCGACCGAAAGCACTTCCAGCTTGCTCCTGTAGGGAGGGCTGTACACTCAGGGAAGCAGGCTTCTCAGATGGGTACGTCTCCAGAGGGGTTTTGAAAGCATCAGCATTCTCATGGGAGGAAGAACCAGAATTCTCTTCCAAGATATCATCAAACGAAACAGCAGAAGAAGCACGTCCATCCCTTCCATGTACCTTCCGCTTAAACTCTTCATTCTCCAGTTTCTCTTTGAGCCTAAGAGCACGACCTTGCCTCAGGTCCTCTTCAAGTCGGGCACGTTCTCTCCGAATCCTTGTTAAACAAGCCTTTTGTTTGGGCTCGAGAGCATCAAACTCAGCAGAGCCGGGCGGAGGGCTGCCTTCTATCGTGTCGCGAACTTTGACCTTCTTCTTCTTGGTAGTCTCAGGAGCAGGAGTCTCTTGAAGGGTTGCGGGGACAGAAGGGGTAGCTTGAATAGTAGTAGGGGCAGATGGAGTAGCTTGAACAGTAGTAGGGGCAGTCTTGCGTCTCTTCGGCCTCTTGCTGGGCGTGGAGAATTCTTCGTCGGTACCCCCATGGTCTGCAGCAGGGGAAGGAGTCTTTCGCTTTCCACCAGACGATGGTTTTCCCGCCTTGGCAAGTCGAGAGGTAGGAGCTGCGTTGGGCAACGGAGTCCTGGTTGCTCCTGGAGGGGCTGAAGAGGATTTCTGCAAATCAGCGCCGGTATGAGTTGAATTGACCTTTCCCAAAAGAGGAATATCAGAACCTTCATCAGAGGATAGGCTACCAATGGCAGTCTGTTTCCCAGAAGGCTTAGGTGTTTTCTTATTCTTCCTGCTTGTACCAGCAGGAGCAGCTTCGCCAGAGTCAGGCAGCTGAGTGGCAGTAGAGGGTACCTTTCCAGCAGCTTCATGTTTCTTTCCCTTCTTCCTGCTTGCACCAGCAGGAGCAGCTTCGCCAGAGTCAGGCAGCTGAGTGGCAGTAGAGGGTGCCTTTCCAGCAGTTTCATGTTTCTTTCCCTTCTTCCTGCTTGCACCAGCAGGAGCAGCTTCGCCAGAGTCAGGCAGCTGAGTGGCAGTAGAGGGTGCCTTTCCAGCAGCTTCACGTTTCTTTCCCTTCTTCCTGCTTGTGCCATCAGGGATATCTTCCCAGTCTTCGTCTCCACCAGTCTGAATGGTTCCATGTGATGTAGGTTTCGGAAGAGGGGCCACGACCGCAGTGCTCGTCCCCTTTGCATTTGAATCCTGCCTTCCAAGGATGCTGATAGTGCTCAATATCAGATCAAGTTTTACTTTGAGATCAAGATAAAGAGTGTGCGCTTTCTCGTCGATATGCTTTTCCAGCTTGGTCCCAACGCGAGTGAGCTCTCCTTTCAGATAGGATCGCGTGACCAGCATTTGACCTGATGGAGGCTCCTTGATGTATTCCTTTGGGACCCAAGAGTTAAAAGAAGCATCATCAGAGTCGGGGTTCCATCCCGGGTATTGATCTTTGACTTCTGAGAAAGGCTTGAGGCTCTTGTACTGCTCGCTAGAGTAAACAATTTTTAGGAGGATAGGGAAAATGATATCTCGAGTGCTCTCATATCGTCTTGCCAAGGTGTGAGTAGTGAGGCAATGATCAGCACTGCTAGTCCTGCGAAGGAACTTCAATCCTTCGATGAAGTTTTTCCTACTCTCCTCAGAGAGATTCTTAGCTTGCTCCACCCAAAGCCGAGAGGCGACCGCATAATACTCTTCATCCTCTCTCAGGACCTTCTCGGGCCACCCAGCAGGTGATGGCACACCTACCCGTTCAGTAGGCTTAGACGTCATTCCCAGCGCCATCAGAGAAATAGGCGTTTTCTTGGGGTTCTTCCGATGGTCGAATAAGATACGGCGATACTTCTTTGCAAGGGGCTTTGGCCAACGTTTCTTGAGCTTCTTGGACGAGTAGTCTCCGATGTTCGTGGATAGGGGAATGTTTCCCAGAGGCATAATCGCTTCGAGATAGATAGAAGAGGATGTGAATCAGAGTAGTATGTGTAAAGAAAAGAAAAGAAAACAGGCAAAATCCGAGGGTGAAGGAGAGGTGAGAGTACCTTCACGAGGAAGGTGCAGCCTTTCTTCGCCCAGTGCCTTGAAAATAAGGCATAAAGCAGCCCAAAATGGCCAGTATAGCAGCATCAGCTCTGCCCAAGATAAGCTTACCAGCTTGCTCCAGCTTGAGGTTCCAATAACAAAAGTATTACAGATAACAGATGTAGTCTTCAAACCATGCTTCCCAACAGGGCCCAGCAGGGGATTCAACAAATCCCACAACAACAAGCTCCCAGAGTCTTCCATGTCTGGCAGTCCCAACTCCACAACTCCCCGGAAATCAGCAATAAAATACATATCCATACCTCCAATTCTCACCAACACACCATTCTCCCCTTATATTCCTTCAGTTTCTTATCAACACTCTGCCCAGCAGCAGAGGTTCCCTCACTATCAGCAGATAACCCGTCCTTGGTATAAATTTCTTCAATCGATCTTCATGAAAGTCATGTTGAACGCCGCTATAAATGCTCGTTCCTTTTAAGTTAACGAGTTAAAAGGAAGCTCTCCCAGCTCTTCCCAAGACTTTAAAAGGGCCTCTCCACTTGGGTGTGAAACTAGGGGGTTTACCTTCCATGCTCACCATTACCAGCTCCCCTGGTTCAAATAAAGAGTTAGTACGGTTCTTATATATCTGCCTCCTCACTTTATTCCGGATGTCGTCAGAGGTTTTCACAGCGCGATAGTGTTCTTGTAGTGAGGCCACTCTCTCAAGAGCAAGTGAAGCGTAAGTTTCAACATCATCGATCCACCAGTTAGCTCCAGGTAGCACCAGCAGGGACAAGCTTTCAGCAACCCAATTTCTGAATTCAGTCTCCAAGGGACCGCGTTGTTCCAGGCCGTATAGAATTTCCACCGGGGAGAAGCCTAGGGCCTGAATAAAGCGTCCATTCACAGCCGAAGCTATATCTTTGAGGGAGGAATCCTATTCATGGCTTCGTTCATACTTCTTCATAACTGCTTTAGTGATTTTAATTATCACCTCTACCATGCCCACGCTCTTGTGAGGCTGAGAAGGGGCCGTCAACATGGTGAGACGTCGAGTAAGCATGGTGTAAGAAAATTCTTTTGAGCAGAAGGCGGAGCCTGTATCTGAGTAGTATCCCAAAGGAGCGGTGCCCAGCTGGTCCAACCAGGAGCCCACTTTGACAACTGCTTCAGAGGCGCCGGTAGATCGAGTAGCAATCCACAACTACCAGCAGGTAACGAAAACCATTGCGAGTAATTGGGAAAGGTCCCACGTAGTCTATACCTAGCACTTGAAGAGGTGCGTAGACAGATACAGGCTGATTGGGAGCTCTCTTCTTCTCAGATCCATGTTGAGCATACTTTAAATATCCACAAATATAAGCTACCACATCCGATGCAAGGTGAGGCCAAAAGACGCTTCTCATCAACCTTCGGCGTATAATCTCCGCCCCAAAATAACCAGAATTATTATAAGCTTCTATTAAAGCTTGAGATACTTTATCATAGCAAAGGCATCTCAGCCAGCTGTATGTAGATTTCTTCCAAAGCTTGCCTTCTATTATACGGTAAGACTGAGCGGGATTTGACACACTTCTCAACTTATGCCTGTCAAGGGGGTCTTATACAGCGTTATTTCTTAAGAAGTAGAGAATATCAGAGTACCACTCTTCTTGGGCAAAACGAGCCAAGGGGTCATAGGAAGGTGTAGGGTTGCTCAGAGATATATAGGATGCAAGAACTTGAATTATCTCTGGCACTCGGTCAGGCTCAGGTAACCAAGAATTATCCCAGCGCCAAGCGAGTCTCAACAGGTGAACATCAGCAGGTTCCTGCTGGGAGGGTCCAACAGAAGAGGTTTCGTTCATCCTCTCAAGCATCTCTGTGTAGCCGCCCTTTCCGTCCTTCTACACCCAGTTGCCAAAGGGGTTAATAGTGCCCATTGACTCAGCAGCAGGGTCCAGCTGGCAGGTATCTCCTTCAAACAGTATTCGAGATAGCCCGTCTGCTGCAGCGTTGCGTTTTCCCTCGATGTAGAGAATTTGGATGTTCAGTAACCTCAACTCTGTAACCCAGCGAGCATAGATGCCCTTATGGCTGGTAGAGTCGATGAACTAAGTCAGAGGCTTGTAATCGGTGAACACAGTAGAGACCTCTCTTGCTTGGAAGAAATAAGAGTAACGTCTGCAGAACTTAATAATACTGTAAAGTTCCCTCTTGTAAGTACCGTAGTTTCTTTGAGCTTTCACCAATATAAAGGAGTTATAAGCTTTAGGGTAAGGGACTCCGTCTCGTACTTGAATAATAACGCAGCCGGCACCAAAACCACTCACATCTGAATAGAGGTATACGGGTAAGTCAAAGATGTAACCACTCATCTCCACGGCTGTAGAAGATCTCTCCTTCAACAGCTCAAAAGCTAAGGCTTCGGCTGGACCCCAATTCCAAGGCACATCTCCAGTAAGGCGAGTGAGAGGACGAGCTCTTTCGGCACAATTTTTGATCCAGCGACGAGTGGGATTCATATCACCCAAGAAAGAACGCACTCCTGTAGGGTCCTGCGGGGCGGGCCAGGATTTGAGCTTCTCAGCTCCCTCTCTCTTGATGAACATGCGACCTCCGACCTTGTGAACCCATCCAATGGCGAGGATTGAGTCAAAACCCAGCTGCTCACATTGCATCCTCGTCTGCCGAGACTGCGACAATTGACGACCAGATTATAGACGAGGATTCTACAGAAGAGCTCGCCCAGGATATCAAGGACTTCAATATGACCAGCACCGAGTTCAAATTTGATCTATTCCTCACCAACCACCAATTGAGTCGCCAAGCATGGAGTGAGCTGCAAGAAATACTGACGACCTCGCCAATTGAAGAGATCCGAAGTCTTCCCAAACGCAAAGAAGCCATCGTCCAGAAAATGGCAGCTCAATTGCCTTTGTGCCAAGTCCGAAAGCAAACGGTAAAACTCGACATCAGCAAGCTCCCATCTCAACAAAAACATACAGAGATGATGCTCACATTTGATCTGAAGGCATTTATCCGCCTCATGCACCAGTCTCCACCGCTTCGCTCAGATATTTACAAGGGCATGGCGCACCTATGTGATGCGCCCAGCGAAGTGTGGCAGACTAGATTCTGGGGGGGATCAAATTCGCACAACATCTGGTCGATTTTTTACATACCCGGATAGCTCGCCTATTTACCCACCGGATTTTATTTTGTAGGAATGTCCTGACTTAACATATAATTATCACCAAATCAGAGATACGCACATGATGAGGATTACCTAGGCCGGCTTTGATTTTACCAGTGACACAAAGAACAACTTCCAAGAAGGATCAGGAGTCCTTCTTGCTGAGCCAGTGTACGCCGAGTTATCATTACCGGATAAGATTGCCTTGTTGTACTTTGACCAGGGGATTTTCACAAGCAGCGACAAAGAACAGCGATTTTTATCTATCGGAAGTAAGATCAAGATCTATCCCTCTCAAATTATTCGACGTGTTAATATCTTTATGGACTACAAATTCGATCCGAGCTATATCAACACATATGCAATTCCCTCCAGATACACCTCTCAATACTACATCCGATACGCCGCAGACTGTGAGACAGAGTCCCTCCGTCCGATAATAGTTACAAACCCTCATCGCGCGGAATTGGAGCTCACAACATACGGGCGTCAACACTTTGTCCAAAACTTCCAGCCCGATACAATGATCTCTTTACCATTCAAGATGTTCATTGACGCTTTTGGCGCATACAGGAATATGTATCGATCTCTTCTCGGGGTGTACGGCCTGCCAGCATTTTACCCAGACCACATCGCCTCACTCCGCAGCTCTGTGATCCCGCTGACGCTCGGTCCCTTCGGAGCAGACGAGAACGAGGTGCTACGGAGCCTCACTTACCTCAGAGAACTGGACAAGGGCTGTGAGATTGAACTTGTAGGCGGCGAAAAGCTCTTCGTCTGCGCATTTACCATCTGCTTCGTCAGCGATACGCCACAGCAGGCAAAGCTCGCAGGGTGTCTCAATCATAAAGCAACACGAGGATGCCGTGACTGTCTTATCCTCTCCGCCCAATGAGCCAATCTCAACTTCAACATTGTCAAGAATGGACGATTCCACCATCACATGAGAGCAACTCGAGAGGAAGTCAAGGGATTATCCCAGGCTGCAAAGACAAGGAAGCTCAGGGAAATTGGCTTGAGCGATAATGACTCACTGCTCCAAACTTCACGAGTTTTCACGCCTGCACTTGATGATATCCGCTCTCGCCCTGTAGACGCGGCATATTCCGAGACAATAAGTTTAGTGAAGTACTGCCAAAAGATCCTATTTGCCATCATTATACTACCAAAATTCCACCAATCTTTCCTGCACGAGTTCCAGGCCTTCCCTTTCCCTCCCAGACGGCACAGGATCCAGTCGCCTATCACACACATCGAATCCTGGGAATGGTAGAAGCCGCACAGGCATCAATGGTGATGCCTGTTATTCTCCGCCATTGGCTGAAGAGAGAGCACGTCCGGCCGGAGGTACAGTCGCTGATCCGAGATACTGCGCCAAGATTCCTCAGCGACATTGATGGGTTTGATGAGGCTGAGCTTGTTGTCCGAGCTCAATGGGCGATTGCCAGGTCGAACATGCTTGTGTGTGGCCGCCACCCCCCGAAAATTACCAAGTCTGAATTTAGCACCATCGTCGAGGATGGGCGGAAGGTATTCCAGTTCGTCTGCCATATAGCCTCCAGAAAAAATGCTGCAACTACGAGACCTCGTCGCGGAAGACAAGATACGCTCAAAATATGTCTTATAAATAGTATATCGCTGCTGACCGGCTGTAGTTGTAGATACCAATTCTATAGGTACAGCAGGCCCTGACGACGGAGCAAGTACGGTAGCCCCGTTTCTTTTTACCGCCCCGACTGTCGACAGTATCGATATCGAGAGGGAGGCCAAGGGCACAAAGGCGACCGTGTCCGAGAAGTTAAAAGGTTTACCAAATGTTCACGCAGGGTTGCACCTTGCTCACGTCGCCCATACATTTAGTGCCTGCCGCCACGTTTTTACCCTGCTAGGCGAGGACAAGCACAGGTCAGTAAACCCACACACAACTCTCCACCTGAGAAGTGTGCTAACCATATTATCGCAGGGAGTACAAACGCGATATCACGAACACCAATCATCACAACGCTGCCTAAACACTCCTCCTAAGGGAGCGATTACGCAAGTCTATTTAGTTCAGCACGCTAGGCGTATACAAACTCAGCTATCATGAGGTCCATAAAGCCTTCGAAATAGCTATAAGGGACTGCAAATATATTCAGAAATATATAAATGCTCAAGGTTTTATCGGTTTGGAGGAGCCAGAGCTCACGCCATCGGCCAACGAGATGAGTTATCACGACGATAACCTCCACCAAAAGCCGGCGTTGCTCCATTCTCTGCGGCAGCGCGAGGTAGAAGCGACCAAAAGTGACATGCTTCAAGTGCTCAGCCCGTACAAGTTGGATCGCTTTTGTAAATTCAATATTTCGTTCTATACTGCGCTCGAGCTAGACTATGGCGAGCCACCAACCCACCGTCTGAGCAACCACAACCTTCGATGGGGGAAGAAGGTTGGTTTTACCAACAAGTTAGTTTGCCCCTGTTATTTTACCAACTCGAGGATTTACCTAATAATGATACAGGAATCAGAAGCGTATTGTTTTTACGGCGGGGAATTTCGTTCAAGTGCGAGATGGGGAAGTTGTAAGGCTTGATGGTATTTTCGCATATCAGAAAATTGTTGTGTGGAGGATCTTTCTTGTCGTATCTTATACCACGCAGAGCAATTATCCTCATAAGGATAAGATACTGGGTTGTCCAGTGTTTGACCTCGTAGACAACCAGTTTATAGTGGGATTGCCATCACTTATGGACGCGATGGAATGGGTCATAGAGCGGAAAGATGGAAGTCTGATCTATCCTCCGTATGATGAATTTTACTGAATAAATTCAAGCCCAAGACATCCTGACTTTTAGCGTTTTACAACAGTGCACCTTGTATTCTGGCAGTCGGCGAGGTCTGCTGTATACGGCATTTACAAACCATAAGGTCTAAAGTCAAACTCAAACCGTGCTTGTGGTCCTTTACGTACAACCACGAGTAAATTTACCAGACCAAATAGAAATATAGGAAAATTAATAAAAGATCAGTATGATTCATATTCTATACGCCTTTTTTATCTAGAAAATTTACTAGAATATAAATCGCTGCACTTGTTCACACAATAGTTTCTCCCCAGATCAGTACAGGGTAGGAATATTTTTGGAGAATTGATGCAAGTATCTGAGAGGTACATAAAATTTGGTAAAAATGCCATATGAAATGCGGTCTTGTGCATGTAGCGCTTCTTGTGCCCTTATGGCTGCACGCTGACCAAAATGGGCTAATGGTAAATCGCGCACCAGAAATCACCCACCACAAGAATCCACACGTCGCCCTACGCCAATTTGACTTTCCCACAATTTCCACACTTGCACATGCCTCTGAACTCTGCAGCCACGAAGTCCAATCCTACCCGAGCGACGCAATTAGCCCGCAAAGACTGGTCGGTGAGATTGGAAATATCGAGAGCAGTCGATATTTGCTGATGTTTCTGATAATCTCAACAGTACGCGGAGACCTCCGCGCTCTCCTCGCACATTTTTCTTGCTGGTTGAGCAACTTTGCCTCCAACTGTCGAGAGTTTGTCCCAAGGTGAGACAGAATCCCGCGCTGCATCCTCACATCCCAAAGATCCCACACTCATGAGACCTGGCAACGCCGTTAGCATGATTTACCAATGCTATATATACCAGGTGAGTCTCTTTGCATGCCCAAGAACAAAGTCCAGCCACGAACCTATTGTGAAACTCTCTAGCTCCTCCAACCAACCACCTCAGCGAATCCGGCCTTGCCATATCCTGATGGTAAGAGTCTCTTGCCCCTTGTCTAAACGGTGCTAACTTTTGGCCTATTCCTAGGTCGGCACGTCTTTGATGTTGCGACTCGATCTGGAGAAGCGTGGTAAGTCGTTTGCTCAGCCTTAGGCGGCTCAGCACATTGGAGATTTTGACTGAGGTGAAACAGAGCTACCTGGTATCATCGCGCCCGACTGGATCTATTGGGGATCATGGCTATTGGGGATGTAGGATCAGCGTCCCGGATATTCTGATTGCTATATGATGGCAAAAGTAGGTCATACGCCCTGCCTGCACTGGAGTATTCCTGGACATTTTTGTGTGAGAAGCTGCTAATCCTTTTACCAAACCCTTAGGATACTGAAAGTCACTTGGACATAGCTGCCTGTTAGTCTCTTGAATCTCTTGTATACTGCTGAGCGCTAACACTGGCGTGAAACAGGCGCCACGCTACTCTCACAAGCGCTTCCTGACAGACAATGGTAAATGCACTAACTTAGCATAGTCGACCTTTTGGTTTCCGTCTAGTGAGTTACTCTTCGCCTCCAAGAACTGTCAACCGGTGGAGTAAAATGACTGATCTGGATTGAATGAATTTAGCGATCCGTTTACCGATTGGATGCATTCTCGGGGCGGCGATGCCTTGGCGCATCCCAGTTGCAGCAGGTGAGCACAAATCTTGGTTCGCGATGTTCATCTTGGTACACACAGCTGACCCAGCATTAGAGAAGAAATCACTCGGCTAGTTTACCAACCGTTGTCCGCTTGGGTGAGTTGTCCGACACCCGCTATGGGCGAGAATGCAAATCATCGTGGGATTGGGAGCGCAAATCGTCATGGGATTGGGAGTGGTGTGGGCAGCGACAGCCAGCGGACATTGGTAGCCATAGAATTACCATCAATGAAAAAACCATTACATCCAAGAAAACAATTACACTTGAAAAAACCATTGCACCCGAGAAAGGATGCCAGATACGACAAGCATTACCATTGAGAGATGATTTTTTGCCATACCAAAATGCGGAGTAATACACCCAGCGACTCCGCCACCCCAATACACAGCTTTCCCCTTGCAAGTCTCTTCATCAAGACACCACATACTATCTCGTTCAACTATATTAATTCCTTTCTTTAGTTTTAATTAGTCTTTAGACTAATATATAGTCATTTGCAAAAGACCTTTACAAGGCTACATGCTATGATGCAGCACTACCGTGTACCAGAAGATGGACCAGGCGATAATAGATGCACGATTCGTACAACTCTAAACCTCTCTTGGGCTTTATAATTGATCTTTTGTATTATAATCCCAATCTATCAGAAGTAGAAAGGTTTTTACGAGAGCACCAACCAGACCAAACCACCCTTCCCCTTTCCCCCAATTCCAAATATCGCTGATCGTCAAGATAACTAAGATCTTCGTCGCGTATCGCGAAGATAGAGTCAAAGAATCACTGGGCTTCCTCAGTAACTCGCACCACCCAATAGTTCTAAATTTTCTGATTTTGTGGACGCGGTCATGTCATCCTCGTTATCGCGATGCGATATGAAGTTTGGGAAGGAAGGAGGGGAGGTGCACCTTCCCAACATGCCTGGACACTCACGTAGAACGCTGGGTGTCCCCCATTCGGGGATCGTTCCCTCGTTCTTTCGTTCTTCTTCGTCTTGGACGGGTGTATTTCCTGCTAGTTTTCTTCTCCCTCTGCGTCTTTCGTTCCTGCCAAGATGGCATCTCTCCCCCTGCGAGGCACTGAAGCCTCAATTTATATTATCCCGGAGCCTGATTTTTCCATAGATCTCGATGCTCCTGATGCCCAGTGGCCGGATGTAGAGCCACCACCTGAGTTTTTCCAGGTCCCTGTTCGTAAAGAACAGGAAGGGTTGAAAGAAGAAGAAGAAGAAGAAGAAGAAGAAGAAGTCAATTGTTAGTCTTAATATTCCGGCATTCGTTTCCGAGGACTAATTACCAAATGGATTGGGTCTGCTAACATAATAATACCTAGTGGACGATATCTGGGCGGCTGCGGCCGTGGACTTCGAGCAGGCGGAGCGTCTGGCCCGTTTATCCTTGAGGGGAGATTTATACTCCCATTTACCTCACTCTACCGTCAATTGGTCAATTGGGGGTAAACATATTTGTCGGGTTGAGGAGTGCCCCAAATATGGGGTCAGCTTTAGAATTTTGGACGGCCTGAAGAAACATCTAAATACCCAGATGCATAAGGTATGGATCCCTGAAACCACCTAAAATCGTTATACGAACATTTGTCTCTAGGAGCTCGACCGGACCCTGGCCTCGCGGTTTATTACTCCGCCCCCCGAGCCACAACCCGAGGTGCCTCCTCCACGGCCAACGAAGCGGCCTGTGTCACCTTCAGAGTTTTGGGAGCCCCGAGTTCGGGCCAGATTGGGAACCTGGCTCGCAACGGAGGGTATTTTGCCGGATTCCGAGGATGGTATGGATTCCGAGGATGATGGGAACTCTGTCGGTGGCCAGGTCGTGGAGGTCGCGGGGAGTTAGTGTCCCACCACAGCCGGCGAAGGAAAACGTAAGAAACCCGGGGGGTCCGCCCCTGCCCAAAAGAACGTTGAGGGGACGCCCTCATGGCCGAAGGAAAACGTGAAAACCCGTATGGTGACCCCGGTGGGGGGGGATGACCCATCCGTAACGTCGACGACGAGTTCGCACTTCTACGCAGTGTCGACGATCAATTCTTCTTGATCCATCTTATCCTTACTCAAGAAGAAGCCAAGACGAACTTACCATGCCCACTGGTATCGGTCCGGTAGCCAAGCCAGTACTATACAATCTTCTTTTATCTACTGCGACTTTCAGCCTCAGGCGACCAGCACCAGGCGATATCACCCAAAACAACCAGCCCCAGGCGATATAAACCATTCAACCAACACCAGGCTTTCCCCATAACAACGCTTACATTCGCCATGGGCATTTTTGAATTGTGACTGACGAGTCACACTTCTTCTGGGTATACATTCAAACCCATGGACCTCGGTCTCAACAAAATAACAAAACAACCTCCTATGAATGACCAAACAATCAAGCTCACGATCTGACTGTCCTCACCATCAACCTCTAGAGACAGCCGCGTCACGAGAACCCAAGAGGCCTGTCTGACCCGCCTTCCTCGTCGGACGGCTACATCAAGAGCCCGCTATCTGACCGTCCTCGCCGTTAACCTCTCGGGACAGCTTAATCAATAACCCACGATGCCGCTGTTATCCCCATCAACTTCTCAAGATAGCTGTATCGCTCCAACCCGCAGAACCTGTCCGACCTGCCTTCCCTGCCGGGCACACACATCGCTCGAGCCTGAAGACCTTGTCCGGCCCTGCTACCCTCGCCAGGCATACACAACCCTCGAGCCCGAAGAGTCTGTCTGACCCGTCTTCCTTCGTCAGATATAGGCATCGCTTAAGCCTAAAGACTCTGTCCGGCCTGCCTTACCGTCCGGACACACGCATTACTCGAGCCTGATAGCCTTATCTAACCCATCTTCCTTCATCAGATATACACATCACTCGAGCTTAAAGACCTTATCCGGCCCTGTCTCCATCGCCAGATATACACATCCCTCGACCCCGAAGAACCTATCTGACCCGTCCTCCTTCATCATATGGCTGCATCGAGAGCACGCAATCTGACTATCCTCGCAATCAACCTTTCAAGATAGCCGCATCACGAGAACCCAACGAGCCTGTCCAACCCGTTTTCCTCGTTAGATGGCTACATCAAGAACCCGAAGAACCTACCTGATCCATCTCCCTTATCCGATGGCTACATCAAGAGCCTGCTATCTGACTGTCCTCACCATCAATCACTCAAGACAGATACATCGCGAGAACCCGAAGAACCTGTCTGATCCATCTCTCCTCATCAGGTGGCACATCAAGAGCCCGCTATCTACCTACTCCTACACGCGCGGCCGGCCTCTCCCAGTCGCCGAGAAAATATTCAGGACTCTCTCAGATGTCTCGGAAGAGCACCACGACATCCACTGCATTGCCGTCTCACACTCGTCGCAAGAGGCCACAGACCGTTGGATCTCCCAGGCTGGCGGGTTCTAGCTGTCCTCGCCATCAACCACTCAAGACAGACACTTCGCGAGAACCCAAACAGCCTGTCTGACCCATCTTCCTTCGTCAGACAGCGCTCGAGCCCGAAGACCTTATCCGGCCCTATTTCCCTATCGGATACACACATCGCGAGAACCCGAAGAACCTACCTGATCCATCGTCCCTCGTCAGATAACTACATCAAGAGCCCGCCATCTAACTATCCTTACCATCAACCACTCAAGGCAGACACATCGCTCGAGCCCGAAGAGCCTGTCTGACCCATCTTCCTTCATCAGACAGCGCTCGAGCCCGAAGAACCTGTCTGATCCATCTACCTTCGTCAGACACACACATCTCTCGAACCCGAATAACCCGTCTGTACAAGCCGACCCCACGGACAACCTAATCACAGACCCTTTGACAGCCTATCCGCCCGGCCCGACCTCTTAAGACAGCTCCATCGCGCAGGCGCGATGACCCCGTCCAACTTGTCTCCCTTCGTCGGACAGCTACGAAGCCTCCGTCCGACTTCCTTCCTTTTACTGCTAGAGTAAGCAGCCAGGCTTGGCGCGCATAGCACGAGATGAGCCTCTGGCAGGCCATCAAGACGTACCCCGGGGCCATCGGGTGTCCGATGCTCGTCAGCAGCACCCTCGTCATAAAGGGCTACGAGGCGACATAAACCAAACCCAACCAACACCAACCTTTCCCCATACCAAAGCTTAGATTCGCTATGGGCAATTTTTGAATTATAGCTTACGGGTCACACTTGCTCTGGGTATATATTTAAACCCATGAACCTGTAGGATATGGGCCCTTCCACTGTGTTTTAAAAGCTTCAAAGCATTTCTATTGATGCTACCTCCTGGAACCCTTCCGTGTTATTCTTGAGTGCCACTTGTTCTTATCAGTAGCTGCAGATGATTACAGCGATCTGGCCTTGGGCACCAAGAACTTCTACTAATCTAACTTATCGCCTCTCTTTAACTCCGAGGCAGTCTTCGTACTAATATCCTCTACAGGCGTACAACTAAGAATATCCTGGCTAAAATTCAGAACTCCCAGAAGATATTATACTGAAAGGTTCTTCAGTTTTTCAATCTACTGGGGTAGCTTAAGATTTTTAAAGAATATAGTTTTCTCAGGCTTATCGTACAACTGATTAAGCAGAGTAATTGGAATTGCTCGAGCTCGATCAGTATACTTAGAGCTACTGGTATTAATTCTTAGTATTTTGGTGTCTGACTAAGAAATCTTGCCCTCTTCGAGAGAAGGGACTGAGATATCTTTCCTTGGTATGATTTGTATGTCGAAGGCTGCGGATATATCAGTATAGGTGCTCTGGCCAACAGGCTCGTGGTACTTACTGTGTTGGTCGCTTCGAGCTTGATATTGCTTGGATTAGTATGTTGATATGGTTGGATCGACGAACAAAGGAAGCCAGGTGAAAGAGATGGTATTAATCGTTATTCAATAAGCCGCTATTCTGACGGCAAGTGAGTTATTCGTACGATGGTTAGAGTTTTCTGGCCGTATAACTCCTTGGGTGTACAAGGAAAGGCTATATTTTTAAGCTTTTCATATTCACTGCGTTGAGTTGTTCGGGCCCTGGCAGCTTCATTGTTGTTAAAGTTTATCATTCGTATTCTCCCACGTAGGATATGGGCCTGGCAGGCGAGGAGGTCCTGCCCGTGGACGGCGACAACGACGACGACCACTCTGATCTAATTGTTATATGCTCAGGCCATAATATATTAATCAGTCTCTCTACTAGTTTTACTAGTACTGGATATAAGTATATAATATTTTACAACTCAATGTATGCAAAGCAGTCCTAATAGTAAGCGAAGCTGCGTAGGAGAGTCAGCGTGAATAGGATCTAACTTACCTGTTTGAGGCTGCTCGAGGCAGCAGCTGTTGATTAGGTTTATCGTCATCGGGGTAAATAGGATCTGACTAACCTGCTCGAAACAGCCCGAGGTTACAGCTATTGATTGCATTCCAGATGGTCGGGGTGACTGGTATAGCGATCGGTCAAATCAAAGCGCGGAAAGAAGATGTTTACTGCGAGGGAAATGCTAAAATTTTCTTTAATTATTTAGATGTTTATTTAAAGCAGTTTATATATCCCTGCCTAACTCCCGATCTCCAAGCCACATACCGACGAACAGCGGTCGCCGGTGAAGAGGAAGCGACTGCACCAAGATGACAAAACACCCAGAAAATATGCCGGCCGAGCCCAACCCGGCCACAGCCCTCCCCATGATGAGCATGTTCGAAGATGTGGCAGTCCCGCAGAACAAGGAGCCCACTATGGAGATGATGTTGGCGATCAGGAACAGATACTTGACGGAAAACAAAGTGTACGCCTTGCCAAACATGAACTGAAAGGCGCAGAGGCAAAGCCGGAACGCAGACGAATACCAGCCCACGTCAGTAACGGTGTGGAAATGGTCAGTGATGCTGGGAACGGCCGTGGCGACGATATTCATGTCTATGCTCGTGAGAACGAGAACCCCGCTCACGGACAGAAGGATGAGCCATAGTTTGGCACCCGTCGGATACTCGTCTTGTTGTCCAATGTCGGTCTGTGAGTTCAAGCTCCGTCCTGCTGGGCGGTCTGCCGGCTCGCCCAATGGCTCATTGTGGCTGCTAGGACCGTCCGGTTTACTGGGGCCAAGTTGAGTCAACTCATGCCCGACGCAATATTCGACATCTACCACGGTGGAAGTAGCCATTGTCGAAGGCTCCAAGGCAAGATGAGGTGAGGTATGTGATGGTGTTCGGGGAATGAATGCCCAGCCAGCCCCGCTCGTGGCCGACTCCTATTTTCGATGATCCCTGTGCTGACAATCACGACATCACTATAATTACGAAGCATCCCAAGCTTACCCTATGTAGCGGTCTACAGTCAACTTTTCTTCAGAATTTTCGTCATCGGAAGTTTTATTGCTGAGGTCAAATTCATAACAATGCAATACGCAAGATTGAGAAGCTTTTCATCATCACGTCGTTCAAATTTACTATCTCTCATTCAATAAATTTGATAGAATGCTTGATCTCATATAGTTGTGAAGAACTCATGAACCTTTCGGATTCTAATTGCCGATCTTCCCAATTCCAGCAATCGACTTGACGTTAGCAGGGACATCAGCAACAGCCCAGTGACTCCACGTAATGGCGCTCTTGTACTGGCCCAGAACAGAAAGAGCATTGGTGTTGGCGAGTGTGCTACTCGTCCCTGAGCCGGATCCCCGGTTCCACTCAGGGATATAGCCAAGCTGACCTGAAGCGTTCGAGGCTTCAGCGACGGTCTGGATATAATAGATGCGGCCGCCGTTGGTGTAGCTGGCGGACGTGATCGGAGTGGTCACTGTTTGGAAGTAGTTTCCTTCGATCAGGAGATCGACGTTGTTATCCACATCGAAAGCATGACCGCCAATGTTCTAGAATTCGGTTGATTAGCAACGGTTATATTTATTGCAAGTGATGAGTAGATGCCACAGATGAGGGAGTCCAAGTATAAAGTGAAAAAAGAGCCATGAAGATAAGTAGATGCCACATACCTCAAAGTAGTTGTTGACGGCGTGCATTACGATCGCAGAAGCAGTAGCGGTTGTTCCAATGTGAGGAGCGCGGCCAGAGAGATCATGGAAATAGTTGCCGGAGAGGGTGTACCAGTCCTTCAGGCCTATCAATAAGGCTGTCCAGTAATGCTTGCCGTTGCAACCAGCTGACCATGTAGATCTGCCATCAAACTCGTTGTCCGAAATGGTGACGTGACCAGCGGCTCCCCAGCCGGAAACAATCATCTGCCTTCCTATAAGCGAGAACTTATTGTGGCTTAAAGTGTGCCACGTTAGTTCCGACTTAGACAGACACAAAAGGGGTTTGTTGGGAGGAACCTTACTCGATCCACACTTTGTCAGTGCCATCAAGGGTGATGGCATCGCCACCCCAGACGAATTGAGGGTTCAGTTCCTAGCTAGGGTGTTAGATATGGCCATAATGTGACTGAAGATTGTGCTCCTTCTCTCCTCCAGAGGCTTACTCACTGTGAAATGAATGTTCTGAATAATGATATTGCTAACGCCGCCGCGGAGACGAAGGCCCTTGCCCCTGATGATACCCTTGGTTCCGACACCAACAAGAGACTTGTTGCTCTTAACGTCAATTGGGGTCCTGGGTGCATTGTTATAAGTGCAGGACACCCAGGTACCACTGTCGCAAGTGTCCTGGATCCAAAGCTGTCCTTGGGACGTTCCGCCAGGACACTTGGTGGTTCTATCATCACTGCAGCAGTTGGTGGTGGTGGTGCCCGCAGAGGACCGGAAGTCAAAAGTACGGTCAATCATGATCACACGAGCCGAAGAGTCAGTCAAATACCCAACTAGCCTATGCTGGATTGTCAATCACCTTATCTTTCTCTTAACAACCAAATACTTACTGGTCATTGGTAGTGGGATAGACCGGAGTGGCTGTACCTCCGCCAGTGGTTCCAGCAGCGAAACCAAAGGCTGTACCTTTGCTCTGGGCCTGCACCAGGGCAGCCAGAGCAACCGGCGAGAAGAGAGTCGAGAACTTCATATTGGAGAAATGACTGTGCTGGAGTTTGGAATTAGTCTCCTATGATTGGGGATCCTCAGGGTTGTAGGAAGAAAGGTAGGTAATAGTCTAAGGAATGGCTTCCTGCATTTATATAAAATGAATATGCATATTCCCACAAGGCTCAAGGAGGTAATATAGAACCTCGGGATCATTCCGACGGACATGACACCGCCAATTTAGCATCAGCAAGAATTTTAGCATATATCCACAGGTGTGCTGTGTTAATTTCGTTCGATAACCCTGGTCTTCAGGTGGGACTTCCTAGCCAATCTGTAGTTCAATATATAGGAGCATGAGATCACTTGCAGAACTGCAAATGACGCGTCATTCAATCCTCTTTGTTCACTACGAATAAAGTCAGCGGAGAGATCAATATTTGGCTCAGATTGGCATCGGACTGTCAAAGAAAAGCACGACATGCTGGCCTCAAATGGAAGCTCAGCCCTACCCTGGTTATCGAATCATACCCGGTCAAATCGCGGCAAGCTTCAGACCTCCATCCATCCCAATTGGGATGGGTAGCAAACGGCACTTAGCTCTCCGTGACAAGGGACATTCATATTACCCGCCAGACTGGATACTCATATCAAGAATATGAGATTGGCCGTGGTCCGCTTGATATCTTCCGATGTATGCCTTCTGCCCGTAGGCAAAATAGGAATCCGAGAGTAGGATGCCTACGACAACATATAATATCTCAGTAAGGAAAGCTAAACCGTGCTCCTTGCCAATCCAATGGCACAATAAGTCGATCATCATGTGCTATTCCCCCGCTTTATGATGATCAGAGTGGTAGTTATTCCATAAATCGAGGACGAGTTACGAAGTAAACGATGGCCGAGGCGGCACGATATTGCCGTGACGCGTCGACAGTTGGCGGAGACTGATTTTCATACATATCACTATGTAGATTCTCGTGCACACCAGCTGAGAAACCAGTTCTTATCGGGATGATCTTGGGTACCTCTTTGCATTTATCGCTATAAAAATGCGCTCCGTCCAGGGGACTCCTTTGTATATGCCAGAATATATAGTAGAGTATCCAACCTCAAATGGTGTCAAATTCCATGTTAACCACACATTTCAGTGGTTCCTCGCGAAGGCGCTTGATAATATCCTTCTTCGCATCCTCTATTTGAGCTCTAGCATAGTCGTGTATATCTTCTTTCGCTTCGGAAATTTCTTGATCAAATCTTGTCGTCAAGACATCCTCAGTCTCTTCGCGTAGATCCTTGATGTCTCGCTCAAATTCATACCGTGAATCTTCAAACTCCGTCTTTGAGCTCTCAATAGATCTCTGGATTGTAGTGAGCCTTGACTCTATGGGCGCAAGGAACTTCTCGACGGCGGCATCAATGCGGGTGCCAACTCGTTCGTCAATGATTTTGTCAATATGGGACACAAGTTTATTGTTTATCCGTGCATCAATGGCGTCGTCAGTGTATGACTTGATACGTTGATCAATACGAGCATCAATGAAACTGTCAATATGGTCTGTAAACAGTTTAAAAGTTGCGGGGGTCACGTCTGGGTCTGCTGGAACAGAAGGGCTGCTGGCCGAAGGGGTTTCTCGCCGCCGTTTCTTGTTACGCGGTCTCGCTACGATTTGGGGTTCCTCGTTAGTGAGAAGGTACATGAGGCTTAGCAACTTGTGGTCCTAGTACCTTTGTCCAATAAGAGTGATTCAGCCGAAGCATTGGCACGAGTTGCGTCGTATGATGGGGGAGAGTCAACGTCAAGCGTGGCAACTTGGAAATCGAGTGCTATAGCTTGACCCCCTCTCCCTCCATAGAGACTATTCAGATCATCTAATCGTGCATCTGACTTCAGTATGCCTGGAGTCGAAGCAGCTTGGCAAAGCTCTAGCAAGGGGCCTTCGGGGATACAATGGTGTGGGAAGCGAAGGTTGAAGGACTTGCGTGATAGGAATCCAGCCTTCAGCGACTCCATCAGAGAAACAACCTGTTGTGCATCGGGACTGAAAGCACCAGGGTTGAAATCTTTTGGGATCACCAAGGCACCTGGCTCGTGCGTGGTTACGGACAAAAAATGTACGTCATCCGAACCACACGCTTTCTTCACAAAAATTGTTGTACTCGAAGGGTCGTCTTGCTCACCCATTACAGCCAGCGACTGTATGTGGTGAGGGCGAAGAAAGACATAAAGGTGCTTGGGACCACGGCGCGAAGGTTGAGAGATCTCGAACTGAAGTCGCATGAACAGTGTATTGACTGGAGATGTGCAGTACTGGATTAAGATTTCTGTTCTAGTGTCAAGAAATTGCTCTTGGCCATCCAGATCGACCCATGATACCACCGCCAACACGCCTGGAATGCGAACGTTCTCGGACTTTGAGGACAGGTCGGCCCTTCGCTCTCCATTGTTTTGGGTCGCGCGAGGTTCGGTTCGAAACGCGTCGGCTTTGTCGGATATGGGTTCCTCATCGGAGGACATAGCGAGTTAAGTCTGGAAAAAGGTCAGTATCGAACAAGGAAAAATAAAGGCCCTTGCCCTCAGAAAAGAGGGCAAGATCCCGCCCGCCCAGGCTTTTTGAAGTTGGCCCGAGCAGCCTTGACTCGGGTTCGATCGCAGGACCGAAATGTCGGACAAGATGGAAGGTTAAAAAGTTGAGAGCGAGAAATAGAAAGAAAAAAACCACCGGCAGCTTCTTCTGCTCGTCTGACTGACCGTCCGACGACCGGATCAATCGAGGGCCTCGCAAAGAACAATGCCCCGTGCCTTTCAGAGCGCGCGCGCCGTGAGTAGGTCACGGAATTTTACACCGGCTTGGTTGCGAGGTGACCTGAGATCGAGTGTCCACTTAGCCGAGCGAGACTTGCAGAATAACAGACCGGTTTAATGTGATGAAATGACGGTAGCGATGCAGGCGTGGTGGTGAGGATGAGGTGACGATTTGTGGTGCTGGAAATGTGGAGGAGGAAAATGTGGAGGCTGGTCGCCTTGACATTGTTCTGTAAATTAGGCACCATCACGTGATCCGAAATCCACATGCCGGGGTTATGCCGCTAAGTACCAAGGTACCCTGCTACCCAAGTGGGTGACAAAAGAAATGAGACACCTAATGGGAGAATATTTATGAACAGGATTCTTTCTACAATAGATGGGGAAAGGTAGCAGTGTAAAAGAAATAAACTAAAATATAAGCATCCTGTATTATCTCTGAAGTATATATCACGAGCACTTAATAATATGATAATACCGATCGCAGACTCGACAATAAGCAGCTTAATGTTTGTCAATTTCCGTCACCGTTCTTGCTACCCTGCTGCACTTTCATCATTTCTCAATCATTTCTCAAGAAGCCGCTGCGCCGCAGTCTCGCGCTTCTTCTTCGATTGATGTATGGAAAACAAGTCACAGGTTGCTGCTATATTTGAGTTTAAAATGTCTTCAGTTGGCCCTGAATTGAGAGATGATCTGAAGGTATGGGTGAGAACCGTAACCCAGAGGATGATTAGGAAGCCTTTGAATGATTTTTCTGCTATAGTCCAACTTATAGAGATGGGAGAAGTATTCATGTATTACAGTGGAATTGTATATCTTGGTTCTAAGTTAGATTGGAAGGGTGCAGATTTGGTTGGACTGGAGCTGATCGACGTTTAATAAGAGGGCAGTTGTTCCCTAGCACCTGCGATGCCATTCGTAGCATAGCCACAAACTTTAATTCAACATAAATTCTTGATTACTTATTAAAAACACGGGCTGGCGAGCCTTGAGAACTGGGTTGAGATGATAGTTGCTTGGCTAGGTTATAAGTGTTGCAAGAGCCTTGAACAATAAGGGTAAATCAAGAAGACCATAAAGAATTTGTTGAATTTAACTATTGTGGACGTAACCTCAGTGTCCAGGATACCCGGTGAGTATCAGAGTAAATATGATAACTCCTATATATGACTAGTGGCGAGGAGGAATATAAATCAGCGTGTAGTCGTGACTTGGCTGATCAAAGCATTGCTGGCCGTTGTCGTCTCCACAGCTCTGGCACATATCATAACTGTCGTTGCAGATGGGGCAATGCCAATACCAGCCCTGGATCAGCTGGCCACAGGGATCACAGAAGCGCCTGGGATACTTTCTGAGCCACTTGTGGTCTTTACTTTTGCAGCCGAATCCTTGAAAGAGGCAACCCTGACACATATCGAAGTCACCATCGTTGCATTTCTTGCAGTGGATATAGGGCCCAAAGATAGTCTCATCACAAATGTCGCACTCGCGGTCGACATCCAGCAGCGGCCACTCGTTGAAGTGTGAGTACTCCGCATATGCTGTGCTTTCTTCCTCAACGGCGTCTTCTCCTTCACTGTCGTCCTCGCCATCCACGCTCCCCGCGTCTTCATTCTCCTCCATTCTCTCCATCTCCTCCTTCTTGCCTTGAAAAGAAAAAAGAAACTATTAATGAGGGAACATCATACATGGACACGAGGACGATGCAACTCACCTTTGCGCTTGCCAACCTTGTAGCCTACCACGCTACCTACTGTAGTCCCTACCGCTGCGCCCGCGGCAAAGCCAAGTAGATTGTCAGACGATATGCCCCAGAACTTCTTGTCTTTCTTGTTCTTGTCCAGTGGAGCCAAAGGCTCATAAAATTCTTTCGTCATATTGCCATTAGCCGGTGGCCTCCCAGGAGGAGGACCGGTTGGAGGAGCGAAGTCGTCCACATAGCCCTGATAGAGTACTGGAGGCCCTACGGGAGGATGATTGTATTGATTCCCTGGTTCAAGATTCAATGGTGAGCTATCCGTTGGATGGAAGCTCAAGGAGAGGCAAGCAATCTCGTATTGGCTGTGCTTACCCTTGCTGATATGAAGATCCTCTATCCTCTTCATGTCATCGTCATTTAGGCCCTGTAGGCCCTGCATTTTGTTTTTAATATTAGAACCTGTAGAAATGAATCGAGAAGCGTTGCACAGATAATTAGTGGTTGACTTCAAAGCTAGAAAACAAGATAAGGCTTTATCCACGGCCTTAGCAATATATAGTCGCTGTGTATCCTTGCTTAGAGAATCTGATTGATGATGAGAGATAAATAAGCACTATAAGCTTTATTTTTGTATTTGAATAACTATGGAATATCATTGGACGCTTCTACCGCTGAACATAGCCTTATTTGCAAGGGGCGAGATAAAAGATGTCTGCTTGTCTAGATATGGAAGTATGGTGCGCATCAGACTTCGAGACGGCTAAGCCGATTGCGTATCATTTTGTTGTACTCCCGAAGGAAGGCCGTACAATTTATGGTCATTCTAAGAGAATATCGGGTCACTAAGTGCTTTAATTAAGTTATGTTATGTTCAATCCCTAAACAGGGGTAGTTCTTCGAGGTCAAAAGAAGAATCATTTGAAAGAGGTACTGATAGCTGCTAACTACTTAACAAGATAAATATTTCTATTAGGTTTCAATTCACAATCGAAGTGAAAATGACTTTATATAAACTTCAGGGGCGCAAAAATGTAACTGCACTTCAAAGATGGGTGAGCAAAATTCATGGCGGAAGAGTGTATATTGTTATTACTTGGCGTCCTTTACCAGAATAGAAAATACCCAACATCCAATGCCATGCTATAGTACCAGTAGTAGAGCCATTTACTCTGACATCATACAAATCTTTTCCTCATGCTCGGTCCTCACCGTCTGCTTCAGTATGAGTGGCAGCCTCTTTGTTCGGGAGGAGGTTAAAGATGACTGGAAGCACCGCTGCCAAAACCATACCAACACCCAAGAAACCGGCCGTTACTCCAAACCCGATATGATAAGTAGGCTTGTCCCACGAGGGCCAGATCCTGCTACCATATACACTCGAAAAGTTACCAAATGCATTGACCATTGCCAGAACGACAGCTCGCTTCTCAGGCGGCAGGCTGATTGTCCCGCTAGTCCAGGACAGAATAAGAGGCAATGCGGTCCAGATGCCCGAAGCAATAAAGCACACCATGACGTAGCGAACGATAGGTGTGTTGACGGCTGCGCAGACAACACTGCCAACGCATCCAAGGGCCAGGGCGGCGGTGATGTGCCATCGTCGCTCAACCTGACGGTCCGAAGACCAGGCAACGATATTCAGCACAACGGCGGCAGTGGCGTAGATGGGGACAGTCATGTACTGAGCAGTGGTCTTGTCGTAGCCGAGAGTGACAGTAATGGTTGGGATGAAGTACGAAATCGTTCCGGCGCCAACATCGAGCATGAAGAGCACGATGAAGAGGTATGTCCGGGGGTCGGAGATGGCCGCGAGGAAAGCTTGCCAGTGGGTAAGACGGCTTGTGTTCTGGTCCCCCGAGGCGATACCGTCGGCGATGATGCGGATAGCGGCCAGGTTTCTCTGTTCGGGGGTGAGCTGTTTGGAGGTGCTTGGGTAGTCAAGGAGGACGAAGAAGGCGATGATTGCGACTCCAACAGTGGCAACACCCTCAACAATGAAAAGCCATCTCCACCCAGCGATCCCGTGCGCATCGTGGAGCTTGGAGGTGACAGCGCCTGCAAAGATGCCTCCAAACGCGCCCGAGAGCACGGCTGCTGTGTAGAAAATAGCAAACCGCTTTCCAAGCTCCTTTTTGGTGTACCAGCAACTGAGGAGGTATAGAACGCCAGGGAAGAAGCCAGCCTCAATACAGCCCAGAATGAACCGGAAGGCAAGCATTGCACCGTAGCTATCAGCTTTGGCCATGACCGCACTGAGAGCACCCCAGATCAGCATGATAGCAGGCAGGAAAATGGATGGTCGGCTTCGGCTGAGAATCATGTTGGAGGGAACTTCGCAAATAAGGTATCCGAAGAAAAAGATTGACAGAACCCAGGCGTATCTTTCGTCTGTGAGCCCTAGATCGTCACCCATTCCGGCGATCATGGCATTTCCCTGCAAGAATTAGATCATGTACATTGTGATTGTGTCTCCCCTCTTGTAGAGCACTCACAATGTTCGTCCGGTCGATGTAATTCAAAATATACATGATCCAGAGCATAGGCATGAGGAAAAGGTCGATCTTTCGGAGGAGCTTTTTCTCCTCAGGCGATCCTGGTACATAGTTTCGCAGTGCCTCAGCGAGCTCAGGAGTCATGGCATTGGGATCCCTGTTCTCCAGGCTCTCCTTGAGTTCGATGGACGCCTTGTCGTTGGCCATTTTGCTGAATTCAGAGCTCTGTGTTCTCCTGAAACTCAAGGGAGACGTCGACTGTCTGAATTGAAGTTGAGCTTGAAATGGGACGGATACACCTCCTTTTTGTAGTCTGAGGATTCCCCAGAAAATCTAGAAGGTGCGGAGAACGGCCCTGAGGGGATCCGCCCCCAGTTGCCCAACCTACTCCAACATAAACAATGTGGAGACGAGCCATGGGATCTAGGCCTTCTTCCATGGGTGGAACCTTGGATGTGGCGGCCATCACACCGATTGGCCAATTCGTTCTACAAGCGCCAAGCGTGTATGTATTGTGATGGATTAAATAGGGGAAAACTAGCTCATGACTCGGGCATTTGGGATCCAAGAATTCCCAAGAGATCCATGTGGTAGTAGTCAGAGCCAAACCCGAACTGGTCTGATAGCCCGGCGCCGCTGAATCCCCAATCCGTCTCTGTACCCCATCCTTGCCGGGATTCATTCCAACCCAGAAGCATATTGCTGTCGTTGGCTGGAGCATGCATCTGTAGCTCGTTCGATGTCTCCCATCTCCGGAACTTCTCCAGCATGCTGCGGAGCCCATTGGCAATATACTGGTTGACATGCCTGGAGCAACCCCTGGTGTCATCGAGCAGCACCACTGTTGCCTCGATAAGATGCACAATTTCATGGAAGCCAACCTGGAAATTGGCCGATCTCCACTTGGAATGGACCTTCATTAAGAAGATGGACGCATGGGAGATGGTAGTTAGCAAGTATAGTGGAACACCAACTACGGCTTTGCGGATGTCTGGGTCCTCCAAGATCAGGTGCAAGGCTGAGGAAGCACTCTTTAGTGCGACGTTAATAAACTCTTGCCTCTCTGTGGAAATTATTGGGTGAGATTCGGGGCTAAGTCCTCTGAGGCTTACACCGAATAGTTGCAGCCGAGCGAAGTGATAATGGAGTGTGACTCCTTTAGCTGGATAATCTCCAATGTCTGGGTTGGGGTCTAGCACCTCGTTAGGACTGTTACAGGATGATATTTGATTCAGGGGAAACACTCGCATACCTAGCCTTTGTTCCCATTTTCGCCTCCACTGGTCGATGTCCGCACCGTAGCGCCGGATAGACTCAAACTCGTCGTTCGCCACAAGTCTGGATCTATCAGGGCCAAAGCTACAGTCGACACGGCTAAGGATCATAAATATTCCCACCTGGCTGTGAAGTCGAATGTCGGATTTGGTAGCCCCTGGCAGGTCTAGAAACGCTTGATGATTTGTGATGGTCATGTCTTCGTTGATCACGGGAGGTCGCCCGTAGGCGATGCTGAAGTGATGATCACACACATACAAGACGTACCAGAGCCTCGCCTTCTCAAAGTGGGTTGCATCGCCTCTCAGTGCCTTTGCGCACGACTGATGGATATTCAGCTCAGTGGCAATGCGCACAGCAAGACCTGATAATTTCCAACTGACATCGGAAAGCCAAAAGGCACCAATGCACAAGCCTCTGATGTCATCGAGGTTGTGGTATCTTTGAAAAAGGCTTTGCCCAGCAATCTCCAATAGTATCGGGTAGTAACGGTCAAAACTCTGACCCTCGTCTTGCGTGTGAAGGGCGGTCACGGCGAGGATCGCCGCCACTAATAGTGGCGACGACTGGCGGGCAGAGGCCAGAGTATCATGGGCTAATACTACTCCTCCCCACAAATATGCGTTGAGTGTCCCCTTGAATGTTGTGAAAAGCTTCTCGGCATCAGCTAGACAAGCTCGGTCCTCGTCGATAAAATCCATGGGCTGGCCCCGGTCGGATGTCACTGGCCCATGCCGGTGAGAGCCGGGATCACTTCGTATGTTTCTCAGCCTAGTGACTTTGAAGAGACTAGCCATGGGGGCGCCGACAATCACCTGATCATCTCTGGCCTCGGCATCGCTTTCGCCATCATTCATGTTGTCGGGCGAGTTCTCCCGGGTCATTGCGGTAACATTGGGAGTAGGAAGGCTCTGGTTGGGGCTTGTATTAGGCGTGCTGCGAGCCACCGGTAACTCCAGGCCTTGCGATGCCCGCAGTGAAGCTAGTTGGCTTTGGACATCTGCTAGAGATGTCTGTAGCAGCTGAAGCTGGGACTCGACTCCCTCTCGCCAGTCACTCCTGTCTTCCAACACTGCTTGAAGATTTTTGTTGAATATACATTCCGCCCCGATACGCAGGCATCTTACACATTTAGACTGAGAAGGCTCAATGTCGCACTTGACCTTGCGGCTCTGACACCGTTGGCCTAATCTTGGTTTGAGATTTCTTCACATAACCAGTGCTGGGGCTAACTTACAGGCACGTATCCTTCGTGAGATCTTGGGCTGGTGTTGGCGGCTCTCATCCGACCCTTGTGGATCCTCGGAGTCAAGGAAACGAGCGCGTTTCATCTTGTCAAGCGGGTCGTAAGAGTTTGATTGAAGATCTACCGCAATTTCTGATAGTCAAAGCTCTCAATGCTTCAGGCGCGGGTGAAAGGCCGTGGGCGGAGCTCGGGCCGTCTGTACATGAAAGAGGACTCTGAAATGTTGCGCGGATGGAACACCGCCCAACCCGTCGTACAATATGGATCAGCTGCCAATATAAGTAATGAGGAGTGGACTTCACTCCGTGCATATGTGGATCATTATCATGCTTTGAATGCTAGTGCTGTGGGGATGTTCTCCACGACCGAGTTCGAGATCTCAAGCGCAAATAGTTGGGGGTTGCCACCCTCGGAGCTTTTCCGAGCTCGGGGTGCCTTAAAAGTGATATTGTACGAGACATGGCAAGTAGGATGTGTGTTGAGGGAGCTTAATCCATAATCCGAGACAAAGCGAAACCATGACTTCTGTTGGAGTTCTTGCTGCTAGCGCAGCTATAGCCTCGATTAGCTCCAGACTTGAAGTGAATTCCAATTGGAAGGTGTCTGCTCATGATTTATCGCCAAATGCCAAAGACAACTCTTTAATCACAGAAGTCTCCAAAAGCGATTTCTTTATTTTGGCCACAGATGATTTACAACAACTTGACGAAATTTTGTTTCAAGAAGAACCCAACTTCTTAAAAAGTGAGTAACATATTGGAAAACCTTGGAAACCTGGAGCCATATATTCTGATAGAAACAGACTTTCCACAGAAAGCAGTACTTCTTTTGAGCGCGGTATCACACAAGTACTATGACACACTCTCTCAACGCATTGCTCAGGCAGGCAGGCCAGACATCCTACTTGTTGACTACTATACCAGCAATGGTGGCAAAACGGCAGCCGAAGAAACAGTCAGTATTTGGGTATCGGGTACGAACGAAGCCCTCGCAGCATCAGAAAGCCTTCTTCGCGATCTTTCCGACAGACTGCATGTGATTCCTGGTGGCCTGAGCTCAGCCAGTAAAGTGGCCCTAGTTAGTCAATTGTTGATCGGGATTCACGTTGCCACTGCTGCCGAAGCAACGGGACTTGCTGAAAAGGCTGGTCTATTTACAGAAGCATACGAGATCGTTCGAAATGCTGCTGGTGGATCTACAGTATACGAGAGTCTTGTTCCCCTTATGCTGAGAAAAGAGTGGGAATCAAACACTCAGCTCAGTGCTCTGCTAAAAAACCTGGTTAGTTATTCTGCATATTGTGGAATCGAAGATATCACTAACTCTGTACCTAGGACTCCGCCATTGTGGCTGCAAGGGAGCTTCATTTTCCGTTACCTTTGGGATCAACGGCTGAACAAATCTGTCTCTCGGGTGCCGCGCAATCGTATGGCGATGAAGACGTCGCTGGCTTAGTACGACTATTTGCCCCAGCACAATCCCAGAGCTCTCCAGCACCTGTACCGGCGAACGATCCTCACGCTGCTCTCTTGACGCCGCCATCCTCGGAAGTCTCCAATGTTGCTGTTATCGGCTTAGGTGCCATGGGCCAGGGGATGGCTCGATCACTCGTCCGAGGAGGGTTTGCCTCCGTGAAGGGGTATGACACTTATCCTCCTTCAATCGAGAAATTCATTTCTGCTGGTGGCAATGCCCTGCCAGCATCGTCCCCGTCAGAGGCTGCCAAGGATTCGGAGGTACTAGTCATTGTTGTGCAGAACGCCGCTCAAGTTGAAGATGTGCTGTTCGGATCCGGAAAGGCTGCCGATGCGCTTCCCAACGGAGCGTCAGTGGTTCTCAGCTCAACAGTACCGCCATCTTTTGCCAAAGAGATAGAGCAGAGACTCAATGGCCTAGGACGTGACATCAGGCTGGTTGATGCACCCGTCAGTGGCGGCGTGGTACGCGCCGCTCAGGGACAGTTGACAGTAAGCTTATCGTGCCTCTCATTAGATCAATTCCCTAACATACTGCAGATCATATGCTCAGGCAATCACTCAGCGCTCCAGGCTACTCATTCCGCTCTTCTTGCTATGGCAGGAATTGAGAGCAACATATGCAGGGTGAATGGTGGCGTCGGCGCTGCTTCGTCCGTGAAACTCATCAACCAGCTGTTAGCCGGGGTTCATATTGCTGCCAGTGCTGAGGCCATGGCATTCGCATCACGCCTCGGCCTTAACACCAGGACTGTCTTCGAATTATTCAACCAGTCTCCTGCTTGGAGTTGGATGTTTGAGAACAGAGTGCCTCAGATGCTCAGCGCGGATTGGACTCCACACTCTGCGCTCGCTATCTTTGTCAAGGATCTCGGTATTGTTCTAACAGAGGCCAAGAGACTTACTTCATACACACCAATCTCTTCCACTGCGCACACTCTTTATCTTGACGGGGCTGCCAGAGGCTGGGCCAAAGAGGCTGACGCTGGTATCTGTCGCCTCTGGGAGTCGGCTGGGGCATCGGTGAGCAAGAGCGCATCAAAGCCACCACAAGCCAAACACACCAACGAAGACATTGAAGTTAAGCCTGCAGCAGAAGTTTTCAAAACACTTCCTCAAGAATATCAGGTGGACCTACTTAGCTCAACAGCGAAAGAGGTCGCACAGGGCAAGGTCCCCGTTCTCGTTGTTCTTGATGATGATCCCACAGGAACACAAACCTGCCATGATATTGATGTGCTTACTATTTGGGATGTCGAAACTTTGAAGGAACAGTTTCTGACAGGATCGCGGGGCTTCTTCATTTTAACAAATAGCCGTGCTCTACCTCCCATTGAGGCTCGAGCCCTCATCGTGGGTATTTGCGAAAACATCAATCTTGCTGCCAACCTCACCAATCAACACTTTGAAATTGTCCTCCGGGGCGACTCAACCCTCCGTGGGCACTTGCCAGAAGAGCCTGAGGCCGTAGAGGAGGTTCTGGGAAAGACCGATGGATGGGTGCTGGCACCATTCTTCCGCCAGGGAGGACGTTTCACAATTAATGATGTCCACTATATCCAGGAAGGAGAAGACCTTGTACCAGCGGCGCAGACCCCCTTCGCACAAGATGCTACCTTTGGCTACAAGAACTCAGACCTGAAGGCATATGTCCTGGAGAAATGTGGTGCACGATTCAACAATTCTTCGTTTGTATCCATCACGCTCGAGGACATCCGCCAAGGAGGACCAGACCAAGTTAAGAGCAAGCTCCTTGGCCGACCGCGGGGGTCAGACGATGTGATCATCGTTAATGCGGTTTCCGACTCTGACATGGATGTATTCGTCTCAGGTTTAATGGCGGCCGAGGCTGAAGGCCGCCGCTACTTATATCGAACGGCTGCTGCCTTCGTATCATCAAAACTCGGGATCAGGGGTATTCCGCCATTGACTTTGGACGATTTACAGAAGTCTTCATCTTCTAGCAACTCGTCCGCAGGTGGCTTGATTTTAGCAGGATCTTATGTGCCGAAGACGACAGCACAGCTGCAGTCTCTGTGTGACAGAAGGGGTGAAAACCTGGCAGTCATTGAGCTCCAAGTCCCCGAGCTTATCAAGTCAAAGGAGAGTGCCGAAGAGGTTGTCCAGAAGGCAGTTGGCCTGGCCAATGACTTTATCTCGGCCGGAAAAGACGTCCTGGTCATGACTTCGCGAGCACTAATTAAGACTGACGATGGTCTGACTTCTCTCAAAATCGGATCGGAAGTTGCTGCAGCACTTGTCAGCATCTTGGAAAATATTACTATCCGCCCACGATATGTCATTGCAAAGGGTGGCATCACCTCATCGGATGCAGCCACGAAAGGTTTGCGAATGCGAAGAGCCAGGATTCTTGGCCAAGCTGCGCCTGGAGTTCCGATTTGGAGGTGCGAGGAAGAAACTAGCCGACACAGGGGTGTTCCATTTGTAGTCTTCCCCGGGAATGTAGGAGACGAAAATACCCTGGCCAAGGTTGTCGAGGGCTGGGCAGTACAACAGTAACCGGATAATCAGTATGAAGATTATCACATTATACCGTACTTTCATAATATCAAAAGAATGTCAAAAAATTCAGGACAGCGATAGAGCATATTTACATGATATGTCAAAACAGTTCTTTCGTGTGATGACTCATTGAATTCACGTTTCAAGCTTTCTTATTTCCTGCGTCATGTGAACATAATCTTTCTTTTTGGACTTGTGAGTGAAGTGTAAGCATGGAAAACCTGCTACCAACAACGGGCTATGCCAACTAAATTCACTTCTAGTCTTGGAACTTTAAGGCCAGGTCTGATGGGCTTATTCTGGCTTTATATACGAGCTTCGAGCATTAGCGACACCAAATTTGGAGTCGATGTCTATGAAATCAGAGCAGCAATTTGATAGGGCGGATTATATGCATAAATTTGGCAAGGGAGGAAGTGGCGGGTATTTAAGATCAAACCTACATTAATGAATCTGGGTAGACTGCTCACGCTAATTATCCCTCACGATGTAATTATCCCGAAATAACATATTTTCATTCCCTTTACAGCACCAACGCGCTTGTGGTAAGGACAGCCACAGAAAGGGCTGCAAGAATTCCGACAGCACGAGAAGCGGCTGCGCCGGTCTCCTTCGCATCAGCCGAGCTGCTTGAGGATGAAGCCTTCGTATCACTTGCAGTAGCCTTGGCAGTTGCCGAGCTCAGAATGTCCTGGCCGGCAGTAATGGTCACGGGGACATAGGTAAAGCCATAATCCTGAAGCTCGCTGGCCGAGATGGTCAGTGTCGGGGTGTTGTCATTGTTGCCACCGATGTTGACAGTGGTGCACTTTTGGGCGACGGTCTTGCTCATCTCGCAGTGCAGGGAGAACTGGAAGGTGTCCATTGACATGGAGAAGTCGTAGTTACCAGTCTCCTTGGCGCCCGATGGGAGAGTCTGGCTTGCCCAGGGCCCGATGGTAACGGAAGCATTATACACGCCGCAGTCATTGCTGTCGGTGCCGCTAGGACAATTCAGCAAGTAGGTAGTTGCGGTCGCGTCGGCGCCCAGAACGTCGGCCACCAGTGTCTGAGGGCCGAAATCGTTGAGAAGGAGCGAAGTGGTGATTGTGTCAGACATTGTTGAAGCGGTTGGTGGAATTAGTGAGGAAACGAGTGTGGCGGAGTTCCGAAGCTGACAAACGAACGTGTCTTCCGTAGGCGAGCAGGGAGAAAATGAGCGTCGATACAAGTATTAATAAGAATTGAAGAGATGAAATCAAGACTGCAATCGGGAGAAGCGAAGGACGCGCGCGCAAGGGCAGCAAAATTAGTCGGATCTGGCAGCTTCAAATTGTCTTACTTCGCGCTTGGACCTGTCGCTTGCAGTCATCCAAGCGGCTCTCTCCATTGGCTTCTGCCATCGTTCTGTGGGCCATCCAGGCCCCTTTCTTCGCCAGGATGTATCCGGGTTTTCCGGCTGGGCAAGCTGAATCCTTCGTTAACCAAACCATCCAGTCAGTTGGTAGCTTCGAGCTTCTGTGTTCAGAAGTTTGCCACAGACATGAGTATGACATGATTCATGAAAAAACTTGGGCGGCAATTCCAGGCGGCCTGCTCAAATAGTTGCATTCGCTATTCAATCTTGTGTCGATCGATCGGTCCACCATTATGGCTGGTCGATATCTGCCCAATTAATTTGATTAAATACTATTAGCTAATTCTAGAAATAAATAAGCTTTTTCAAACGTCGAAATCAATTAAAATAGAGCCCATTCATTGGTTATTAGGTATTCGCATGCTTGGCTCGAACAGCTGGGCAATCCATGAAATAGCTGACAAATCACTACACTGACATTTCTCTCGAGACATCCAATGATTTTATCAACATTTCACAGTTAAGGAAACAAAAAAGACGTATTACAATGCCGCCTCTGGCAAAGTCCGAAAACGTCTGCACTGGCTGCAGATCGAGGAAAAAGAAGTGCGATGCAAGTCTACCCAGCTCCCTAATAAGTTTCTTTATTGACCTGAAACACTACACCAGGGCAAGCGTCCATGTTGTTCACCGTGCCTCCGAAGAGGTGAAATATGCCTCTACAGAATATCTTTCATTGGCCCGGCTTGGGGTTTTGTGGCTGGTGACAATCCGGCATTCAATCCGGAGTTCGAGGATGGTCCAATTTCCACCAACATTGAACCTCAGGGCCCCCTTACAACCCTCCAGTTTCCAACAATTGAGGCTCCCTTAGAATATACTGAATCTGGAATGTTTGGAATCACAAATCCTTCCGCTTTCAGTGATTTCGAGACAACTCGAGAACAAGCTCCGAGTTCCCCTTTCATGAGCTCGCGTCAACCAATCTCCCTGCCACCACCAAATGTTCTTCGAGAACTGATCGACATATTTTTCGAAAGAATATATATTTACATTCCAATCCTTCATAGGTCCCGATTTCTAGCAGAATTGGACAGCAAAGGTCCAGAAGTACGCTCACAGCCGCTTCTGTTCGCAATCTGTGCCGTCTCAGCCGCGAGACACCCCAATCCCGGCATACGGGAATCGCAGCGCAGTTGGTATGATGTGGCAAGAGAGACGCTTTCAAAATCTCTACATTCTCCAGATGATCTTCTGGCTACTCTACAGGCTGCCGTTATTATAATATACCAAGCCAATATATTCGCCGAATATTCAACGTCATGGTTGTTAACTAGCGATGCCTGGAGAATTGCCGTGGTGACAGGTTGCGCACGTTTGGATGGCAATCTTCGATCTACGCCACTGAAATTTAAATTGGGAGTTGGAAACAGCTGGATGCAAAAAGAAGAATGCCGGCGGGCTCTCTGGATGCTCTTCGTTTTCGACCGTGGACTGTGCTCGCTGGATCTCGCACCGGCCATTGACGACCAGCAGCTAAATATCAATCTTCCCATGGCCGACGACATCTTTTCCGGCGAAGATGAGCCAATTGACATTGAGCCTATTGGTTATACTTCAAGTATCGACAAGCTCATGGATAGAATAGAGACAGAGATTCGCCTGGGCAACAACACAAACATTCGCCAATTTATCGTAGCGGCATATATGCTCCTTGGACGTATTGGAAGCGAAATTTATCAAAATGAATTCGACTACACCAAAGGTACTTCCGTGTTAGACTCCTTGAGTGCATCTCTTATAAGGCTGAGGCTTCTTATACCTCAAGAGGCTACAGAACTTTCTTTTGCCGATCCCAGGGATTTCAAGCTTGTGATCTGGCTCAATGCCATCATGACAGCTAACACCATCTTCCTTTATCATCAGCCTCTTCTTAATGGGGAAAGCTTCGATGAGCCCAGCGGAATGTCCAACAATTGGCCTCTTTGTGTTGCTGCCTCACGGAATCTTGTCGCAGGGCTGCGCGACATGTGCAGATCCTCCACCGACTTTGCCGATGATGCTTTCTTGGCGTCTCTAGTATATGCCGGTAGTCGAATATTGATTATTGAGTATATCCTATCATCCAATGATATGACTCCCCGACGGTCAGGGAATTTCTCTGTTGTATCATCTAGAAGTCAGAACCTAAAAGCTGATATTGACCTTCTTTATCACATCTTCCGCCATTTCAAAGTATCGTTAGGTTGTTCAGGGGAGCAATTCTACGATGCGTTTGTTCACTCCATGACAATTGATGAGGAGAGTTCCCGAACTGCCAAGGCGGGCTCATTGCTTGATATGCTCCGCATCTGCGATCGGTGGCCGTCATAAGAGAACACGGCGGATTTAATTCTTCTATCAAGAAAGGATTGGGTAGAATGGACTAATCATAACTCAACCAGTAAATTTCACGGCATGGGATTCCGCGGTGTCCTAAATAAAATGTAGCTCTTTTGATAGTTCTCCTTTCTCTCTAGGTCAGGCTTGACAACAGGTCTCCAAACTCCCTTTCTACTCATCGCTACGGCCAATCAGTTGTCCGCCATTGGTAGTGATGACCGAACCTGTTGTAAAAGTATCCTTCAGCGAGTATAAATAGGCTTCAGCTACTTCCTCCGGCTTCCCAAGTTTCCCCATGACGTTATCCCTCGTCGACGCCTCAATGAAAATCTGCCGCTGCTCCTCTGGTAAGTGCTCAAAGAATTCTGTAGGTATGATACCAAGTCTCACCGCGTTGACACGGATGGGCTTAATATCAACGGCAAATCCTCGAGTCAATCCTTCAACGGCAGCTCCAATACCCGCAATGATTGACCAATTTTGCCCAGGTCTCCGAGCATAGCTACCGCTGGTCAGGGTAAAGGAGCTGTTGGTGCTCTGAGTCACGTAATTAGGCAGATGCTTTGCCAACAAGGTAGGCGCGTGTTGTCGGACAATGCTTGCTGCATATATCTCATCAAGGCTGGTGTTCGCAAGGATAGGGATGGAAATGCCATTCCCCGCGGTGTAGACGACGTGGTCGAGCTTGCCTTCGGCTGTAGAGAAGTCCAAAAGTTCGATCAAGTTCCTCTCCACGGTATCGGCGTTGGCCACATCGCAAGCCTGTCCACGGATGCTATCAGGCGCGTTTTGTGTCACCTGTGCATGTTTTCGGAGCCTTTCAATGGCGTTCTGCACTCTAGTTGGGTTGGAGCTGCTGATGATAACCTTGGCACCGTGTTCAACTGCAGCCTCGGCCACAGCGAATCCGATGCCACTTGATCCGCCGAGCACAAGAACACGTTGGCCTTGAAGCTTGTGCAGGTATTTGAATGCTGAGGGAGGCGACATTGTATATGTTGTCTGATATTCAGGACCAGTTGAAGCCGCCTTGATGATGTCGAGCTACGGAACCCAGGTATCGATCGGTTGTCTAGGACATAGAAATTTATATCCATTTCAACTCTCTGGTAAATGAGAATATTTCTAATCAATACTATGCTTAATTCCTAACTCCCCGACTACAATCCAGAGTTGCAGGAACACACTCACGCAACTGTCGGCGATGGACCGCTAGCGGCGCCGCTTCATCTCCACTTCGACCGGAGCCTGGAGACCATCCCCGACTTGGTCATTTCTCTAGATGTTGACGTGAGAACCAACCATTCATTTACACAATTTTTTGAGTTTTATGAAATTTGCACTCATTTCTCATACACATATCAATGGGTAGGGTGGCAGATATCACATACCCTGTTTTCCCTTCAAATATCAACCTACAAGCGACTGTCCATGGGGAAGGGGATGTCTATGGAACAATTAAAATTAACAAGTGTGCAAAGAATGGAAATTAAGCATCTCATCGCAGTGCTATGTGGCGAGTTCCCAATCTTGTTCGCTCATCATATCGCGGACAAAGCCTAGCCTATAATTTGGACCTTCTCTTCACCAATACATGAACCATGGGTCTAAGCTCATGGGCCCCCCCGCTTCTCTTGAAGTTCAACATAATGGTGTGTAGTAACTTTAATCTCTCTTTTCATGTGGAAGTCCTCGGGAAGTTTCGATGAATGGGTTGAAACGCCTTGGCATGGTACACAAACGTTGGTACACCGATTACTTCATGCTAAGTTAGGATTGCCAGTCTGTCTGCTCCAAAAAGATGGAAAGCCGGCGCACAACTTATATGAATCACAATGCTACTCTCAATTGCACAAAGACTCTAGATCAGTTAGTCCATTCATACGAAAATAGGGTAAAACAATAAGAAAATAGGGGGAAGACAATAAGAAAATAGGGGGAAAACATGTCGGTACTAGCTTAATCACGGCAATCCGCATACCATATTGCATAGTTCCATTATTTTAGATTCATTTTCGCCTCTGTTTACAGGCCAAGATGCTACCCCAAATGCTCCCTGGTCTCTGAATACTGTTCTAAAGACACTGGCCGTCGTTCCTCGATCTGCTCACGCCCTCTTAGTCCAAACCTGGCACTCAGGAAGAGAAGCGTTACTACTATGGCCATAAAGCAGACATCAAAAATCATCGAAATGAGGAAGAAGTACGGCGGATATCTTGGGTGCCGTTTATCAATCAGCATAGGAATATCATCCATGCCATTCGTGATGACCGTCCATGTTTGCCGAATGAGAGTCAAGATATTCGCTGCGAGCAGAAAGTCGGATGCCCAGATGGGGGTCAGCTGTTGTGTTTGGAACCGATGCCTTGAGAAAACTCACCGTGTCATTGGCGCCGGTCGCTCTCGGTCCGCCTCTTGTGTTGGGTATGACCGTAGTCACCGATGCCAGGAAGAGCACAAAGCTCAACAGGAATTCCAAGACGTTGTTGGCATATGCCGATGGATGCAAGCCAGGGACGTCACTGGAAGATTTGACATGTTCCCAGACTTGAGTGGAAATGAAACCGGAAAGAGTCAACACCAGCGAGAGGAAGAAAAAGGCAGCGGCAACTTGGTGGGCGAACTTGTCGCGTATGGAGAATAAATCAAAGGCCAGCCTGAATTGGGTCTGCAGAATTGTTCCAGAAACAAGGTAGCCAAACAGGTTCGCAAATGCAGCGAGCTGAGCAAAAGTCTCGTCGCCCCCAAGAGCGTGCAAGGGTAGTTGGAGCTGGGGGCGAATGTCTCTACCTAAGAAAAAGGCCAGATAACTGAACGATTCGATTAGTATTTGTTTGCAATAAAGGAACGCTTTGGTGGAGGGGGGCCACTAACATGATGGCCAGGAGAACGGATGCACGCACCCAGTGAGTGCTCGTGTAGCCATTTCGCCCCCCTTTGCCGAGTCCACAGAGGGCGCAGACGGCATTTACGATAGCAAGCAGGATCGCGAGACCCGTGAGCACGAATCCGGCGGTTGACAGCTTCGTCGGGAAATACCGCATCGTACGTACATGCGGCCCTGGCTGGGCATCTCCGGCAGAGGGCGATTGAGGTTGAGAAGAATTCGTCCTGGACGAGGGGACGGGATTTAGGGGAGATTAGCAGAGGCTACAAACTTGGCAGCTGGAGGAAATGCTACGCTGTGCGATTAGTCCAGGGGCACGGCCCAGGCGACGTTGCGCTGGACGGATTTTCCCGCCAAACAACTGCCGCAATTATCCAGCCAAGCTTGTTTCTGAGAAGAGCCTTGGTCAATCAAGACTTGTCCATCTTGTGTATGAATCTAGACCAATCCAACACGGAACAACAAGCAGAAATCGGTGCCAAGAGTGGTAGCGAGGCGCCAAGCATAACGCCAAGTGTTTCATAACAGAAGCAATTCATGAACTTTTCACAGGCATGGAAGTATAATTGTACACCTGTGTCTCATACTTGGTCTTCGAGCCTTCACCATTTGCTTCCATCGATTGAATATTATCATGCAAGTACATTGAAAATTTCTCAATAATTAACTACCACAGCCAACAACGCTTCCGTACTCATTTACATGAATGCTAGATGGTCATCTAGGTCCGCTTCTTAGGGAGGTTTTATCCATTCGTCTTGTTGATCAGTGTCCGGCGGGGGTTTGGCGTGTTCCTCTCCGCCTGGCTCAACTGGCGGCAACAGCCGGACTATTCTTGAACCGCTCGCCCGCATTGTTTCCCTTGCTATCTCCAACTTGATTTCCCATTTCAATCGATGCGTCAGGCGCATGTTGGGTGCCTCAATATCCGGTGTGATGTAATTATCTTCCGCGCTAGGCCCTCGCTCGTTCAAGACCCGAAGCCGGATCTTCTCTCCTAGATCGATGGGCAGCTCCTCCGAATAGGGGATCTCATAAGTATCAGAACGATGAAATAGATATCTTCCACACATGAGATCTGTTTCAGTTGTCCAGGCTGCTGCGATGTTATCAAACATCCCCCGACACTGAACTTGGCACAAGCTCTCCAATTCCACCTTCATACTGGCTAGAGTGATCGTCTGTGGAACGCCCCGGAGCACTTCACTCGACTTTTCCATGTCTGGAACCACTCTCAATTGGAACGGAATTGGCCTTATTCCTATCTGAAGGATCGCAGGGAGCGTGATTTCTAATTCAAAGCATAGCGCGGGGATCGATGATGCGTGGATCAGCTTCTTGAATTTCTGCGAAGCAGTAAGCTGGCAATCTTCCATATCAGGTAGAAGGCGTTGTGACCGAACCGAGAACGGGATTGCTTTGATGGTTAGTGGATTATCCGTCAGGGGCGGCCCAGGTCTAAACTCATGGACCTGAATAGGTATTCTCGCCGTCCAACTAAGACTAGAGTCTTGACGCTGGGCCTCTAGATTCGCGTCCAAGTAGTACTCGACAAATGCCTCATTCCTGAGCGACTGGACATGGAAACTTGCAGGCAAGGTCTGTTGGAAAATGGACTCGTCTCCTGTTGGCGAGTGGCCCCCTTGTTTTAGAGCCTCTGACTTGACGGCATCAGCGTCGACATGCGTTGGGATCCTTATTTCGAAATTCCATTGCTTGGCATCACCAGCCTCTCCGAGAGCGATATGGAGGGGGCCGCTAAAGAGGGTTTGGAGCGACTTTTCGCTGCTGATCAAGTCTACTCGAGAGCGATACTCGATTCTGTTGCCCTTTTTCTCCACGGCCTTTGCCTTTGCACGGCCGTGAAGCGAGATGGTAAGGGTCGCGGCAGGGCTGAGAATTGGTGTGCTTCGATACACGCGCCCAACCACAAGGTCCCCAGGGCGAAAGGCTGTCAGACCCCCATCAAGCGCAATTCCCAGGTCCTGATTGGAACTTATGAGGGTTTGGGGCATTGTACCAGTGGAAGCGGTCTCCCCTCTGTCCCTGTGAGAAGATGATGTGTGTGTAAGATCTACTTTGGTTGAGCAGGGCGAGGCTATTGAATGTTAGGGACTCTACCCCCGGAAGATCCAATCCTCTTGAATCACCCCTGCACCACTTTCCTATTCACGTATCATCTGCAGATTTTAGCTTCTATTCGAATGAACTCATTTCAGCGATTAGATATTAGATGACATATTTTGACCCAAGGACCCATCTACTTTCTCACAGAGATTTGCCCCATGTTGACACTGCCAAGCCTAATCAAGCCCACGTGTAGCGATTATTATCACATAGGCTAAACAGATGAGCAAGAAATCTTTCCAACTTATCCTTAGGTTCCATTTTATTTCAAATAATCTGAATTTGTGTCGTCAACATTACAGCTCTTGCCTAATTCTCGTTCTATTGTGGACCAAGAATCCGAGTCAAGGAACCTTGAAGTTTGAGAGCATTGTCAAGCATGCAGTCAATTGTCTTAGGAGTTTTAGGCTTGCGCTAACAATGAGGAGAAACCATCAGATAATCTTGATAACTTTCATTGAGATTGACCTGTGCGGCTCTACATTGAAGCAGAGTAGCTCATCCTATCACCGCAGCTATCTGATCTCTACTTGTTCAAGCTAGAAGCAGCTTTGTTCAATAGGTCCAACAACACAAATCTATAATGATTCATTACTATCTATTTCACATAGCCGTCTAAGCAAGCCAAGCTGCAGCAACATCCTTCACGCCATTCGCTATCCATTCGTCGTCCAGAGAAGCATCTCCATCGAAGCCGTGCTCTCCGTCCCGGAACTCAAGGTGGAATTTCGATTTTGGATCCAACTCACGCACCAGTTCTGCAAGCTTAGTGCTACCCTCAGCAGGAACGAGAGAATCATTTTTCCCATGGTAAACAAAAACTCCGCCCTTGGGGAATCTAGCACCTCCCTTGAGCTTCTCTAGAATCTGGAATTCCGGATTCTTCTCAGTAAAGAAGTCTTTCAAACCTCCGCGCTGGAAAAGACAGAACATGAGCTGCGCTCTCTCGAACCTAGGATCACTGGAGACGATTGACGGCGCCTCGCCCTGCTTGACCTTCTTCAGATGATCCTCAATAATGCTGTATGGGATCTGAGGCATGCCGAAAATCGGCTTGTCGTAATCCTCTGTGAAATAGGGAGATAGGAGGTCAACCATCGGGTAGGCAGCCGTGACAGATCGTATCTGTTCAGGATGGTTCAGTGCGGTGAGAAGACTGAGATATCCCCCAGCACTCTCACCCGCGGCCAGAAGCTGGGATGTATTGACGTCCACTTTTCCGTCCGTCTTCCCTCGTACGAAACCTGGCAGCTCCGCCAGGGTCCACTTGAGAGAATCCTCGACGTCCTCGATAAGGTCGTCGATGGAGGACTCTGGGATCATTCGATAGTCGGGCGACACGATCACGGCGGAGTTGCGAGATGCCAGTTCCAAGAGCCAGGGCGCGAAGAAATCCGGGAAGAGACCGGACGCACCGACGAGGCCACCGCCATGGAAGCGTAAGATGACTGGCCGAGGTTCAGATGAGTTCTCCGCGGCAGAACTCAGGGTCTTTGGTATTAATACATGACAATCTATTGGATGTTCAGAAACTGTTTTATAGGTTGCGGTGTGTATATTGAATTTTGAATATCTTGAAAAATCGTCGGGATTGAAGTGCGCCATATTGGTTGTGTGGAGTTGTGCTATTTAGTATGAGCCTCGAAAAAGTGGTGAACTCTGTGACAAAACCTAATCTTTCACTCAAATATCTCTCTTGTTTTATATGTCTGAGTTGATGGATATATATAACATTATTGATGCGTTGTCCGTTCGGCCTTCGCTCCCCGAAGATGGCCGGCATTAGGCTCCAAATTTGTAAGCGTCGTCGTCAAGACCGAGGTTGCGATTCCTTCGGACAATGAATCAATCGGTGCTTGGTAATATGCAAGGAACCATGATTCGGAACGGCCGTCTGGAGGAAACGAAGCTAGCTACTTGAAATCAACGCAAAAATCAATGGTAATTGCTCATACAATGGGATGCAATCACACAAAGGACAGCTGCAATGCAACTTTCAATTGACAAGGGTAGACCGTGGCATTGCCGAGTGGGATAAGCACAGTGGGATGTGTAGATGCGGAAGCTCAACTGGCTTGATATATGAGAGCGCAGATAACATCTCATGTAAACGGGATGATACAGTCGTTATATTCGTAAGGATTTCTCCAATCACTACTAGCTTACCATAGCATCATACATATTCCATATTCTGAGAATAGATCTGGACTATCTTATAGATTAGTTTGTGCCCGTGGATCCTCACACCTACTACGATTACTATCAGGAGCACGCTGAGGGAAAGACTGGACGCTTCTTCTAAATCTTTGCTGGGAAAGAGCACTAATATATTGATTCTCTTGATAAAAATATTCAATTTAATTTCTCGTTTCTAGCTAGTCGTGGAGAGCGTTAAACAAGGCCAGCTGGCACCTCAATCGAGGGCCAGCTAACACTGATATATAGTTATGTGCCATTCTGGTTTGAGCCAAAGGGTAAATATAGGAAAGAACGTGAGATTATTTCTCAATGTGTGGGGCTCGGTTATTCCAATAAAAGCTTATTCCTGCCTCTTCTCGCGATAGTAGTCCTCAAGATGGCGGGCTCCATCCCGGACCTCCTCGAGACAGCCAGTAACGCCACACTCTTGGGCCTGGAATCCCCTCGAGACAAATTCGCCATTCTTTCCTGCCTCTTGAGCTTCGGCATTCCTATCACCAAGATTGCTGGAGAAGTGCCATGGCCTGGTCCTATCGCTATTGCTGCTTCTCTTGTCGTTCTTATCGCACCCAGTGACAGTGCATTCCTGAACCTGGATCACGCCACGAGGATCGCGGCGCACATCGTTGATCTCTGGGTTTCGTAGTTGAGGGGTGTTGTGTTGGTCAACCTTGATGGGGAGGATACTGGCAGCCGTGCCCAGAGTCGCAAGGCCAAGAACGGTAATGGCGGTCGTTGGCAGCATCTTTGTAGTATTTCAGTCGACTGGACTTGTAAGATATCGTAGGTTAAATGAAATATTGTGGGTGGTGGTGGTGATTGAAATGCAGAAGTGAGGGCCCCCAAAAAGATGTAACCGCGTATAAGTAATATCTTCAAAAAAGGGTAGCCTAGAGGGTCTTTTCGATGGTGACGTGAGTCGCGGGACAAAAGAACCGCATTTAGGTCAGGAACTGCTTAATTAGTACGCTCGTAGACCCTGCATGAGTCCGGTACCTACCAGAAACAGCGAGGACTTTCTGGTGGCGGAGGGAATGATCACTGGGGAAGTCAGGCAGCCGGTAATGCCAATGCTTGGGATATATGCCTGCCTCTCTTGGTTAGGGCGATGACTGATGTCTGGCTGCGCCGACGAATCGCGAGCCGATCAGCGGCGTAATGGCTGGCCGATACCAGCGTGGCATCTTTGGCCTTCCGCATTTTCCTGCATCGAGGGCGTACTCTGTGGCGGTACCCTCGAGATGACGATCACCACGAGCTCAAACAGTAGCTTGTTTGAGAAGGATCATGCGATCGACGCCCGACCCGTCCGCTCACCCCATTGCCGGCCAACCTGTCTATCAATCAATTACAGGCTGGTGAATCAAGCAATCGATCGCTTATTCATCAATAGACATGTGATAGTGTTTTTATTGCTATGTAAATAAATATTTCCTACAAGTTCTCTTGGACCCGGACGGAAGTGCTTGTGGCTGGTGAGGCGGCCCATGGACACAGCCACAATCGCCGCTACAATACCTCGGTGTCACTGCCCAGAAGAGTCGAGTCCAATGCTACCCATCAGTAGCCGGTATTTCCCTAGATTCCGAGGTATCATCGGGTCAAACACAGGAGCCTAATATCACGTTGTTCTTACCTCTGCCTTGATTCAGTGTTCCGGCATTCTCGGAGCAAGATTGAGTCTGGCAACCAAGCCGGTATCCAAACCTCCTGACCAGATTGCGTATGAATCTTGTCTCCTTGTTCAATTATCAACTCTTCACACTTGAGATAAGCGGAAAATAAGTGACGAATAGATGCAACGTCATATCAAATCAAATTTCAAGCAAATTATTTATGGTGGCCATGCCATGACACTCGTATTTCAAAACTAGACATAGTCAAATCATGTTACCCAAAAACAGAAAAAAATTCTATAGTTGTTATTTTCCATTTGTGTCACGAAGTAGAAGCAATCTTTTCATCTGGAAACGGGCTATGAGTGGATTTCGTACCAAGGAAAATAAGCCAATTTGGCAGACAGTCGGCCAGTGTTTTCCATTTTATTTAACTTGCCCACAAATGAAAGAGTAATGATAGTAAATATACAATTTCTCGATGATTAATCTCGTATACTAAACATTACTGATATAGATCTGGTAAATAGAAGCGAATGATCGCCAAGTTCTTCCCTATCATTGGTGCTGCGGGCACACTTAAGCTAAGGCCTTTGTAATCCACCAGTCTCTTCCAACAATCCCCAGTGACAACCCCAAAACTATTCAGACTGGTCACTTTCTGGTCGAACTTGGTCTCGCCGTCGAGCTAGTGGATGAAGAGCTCGTCACCGTGGAGCTTTCATCGCTGGAGGTTTCATCACTGGAGGTTTCCGTGCTGGAGGTTTCCGTGCTGGAGGTCTCAGTATTGGTGGCTTCCGTGGTAGACGTTTCCGTGCTGGATGCCTTGGTGCTTGAGGCTTCGGTGCTCGAAGTTTCTGTGCTCGAAGCTTCGGTGCTAGACGCTTCCTCAGTCGAGCTTGCCTTGGTCGAACTTTTTCCGGACGAACTAACAAAAGTTGAGGTAGCTTCCTCGGACAATTCGTCAGGAGTTGCTTCGGGCAAAGGGGTCTTGGAGGAAGGAAATGCCTTGTTAGCACCGGAAGGCTTGCTGGAAGAGGATTCTTCCGTTGAAGAAGGCGCCTCAGAGCTCTCGGTCGATATGCCCTCAGCAGATGAGCTTGCAGATGAGGACGGAGAGACGGAGGCGGAGGTGGAGGAGTCAACCGGGAGAGTTGTCGTTCCATTAGGCCATGTTCCAGGAGGGGTCCCGTCCGGCACGCAAATCATGATCGGGGCCGTCTTGCCGCTGGTGATTTGGACACGGCATACCGCGCCAGAGCTGCAGGGGTCGTTGGGGCATCCGAAGTCAGGGGGCGCATCAAATGCCGGGAGCATAGCCGCCACCCGCTGAGTGAAAGCGAGTAAGCCGGTGGCAATGACCCATGATGTGAGCTGCATCTTAAACCAAGGATACAGGAGCGATCGTGAGCTTGAAGCAGCCGGGGAGAGACTGCAATGCGCTGCTTTTAACTGGGGGAAAGAAGCAAAGAGAAGAGAACGTCCCAAAGGATATAGCTGCCGTGATCGTGGAGTGCCATCATCTATATACCAGAATTGCCATGTGTCGGGATATCGACATTCGGGCGTCAATTAAGATTTCCGGAATTGGATATAAACTTGATAGCTTCATTCCACAAGTTGAGTGGGCCATGACAAGAAATCTGGCACAGGAATGCACCGGCACGTCTCCTTTCCCACGGATAGCAAAAATAGCATAAACCTAATCTCATGATCGTAGACTCCCATCACCGCATCTAGAAAGTCCTCATCTAAAATGAAAGGTAAATAACTAGCCAAAGTACTAATGTGGCCACTGAAATTCAAGTTGCCAAAATAGTAGCTTCGTTCATGTTCGGTGTCTCGGATCTCTTTACCCCAGATCACGCTTGCCGTCCCATGAATCGAGCCGCACGCTATCGTCATTGTTCCCTACATCAAATGCAGGATATTAGTCAAGGACTGTGTATTCCTCGTGAATATTCTAGAGCTTGAAGCATTCAGGACATATCCTGGCTTGGGATGAATCGGCATGATTGAGCTAATAAATAAGATCATAGAACTTGATCCGACCTGTACTATGTAAATCTCTTCTTCCTTCCCATACCAGTCGCACAAATGTACAAATTAGCTTTGGCAAGGCTCCTCACTAGCTGGTTCCCATGTTGTGCTTCTTTCCTCTTCCGTAGTAAATTCAGAGGAATGAAGCATGTGTCATGCTCTGTTAGATCGTTTTCTATATTTTTTACCCTGGTGTGCGCAGTCCAGTCCTGATTCGAATGGTGCCAATCAACCCCAAGATGGCTGGTTAGCTCAAAGATCCCATTCTCTCATATGTATCGGATGTTGAACTTTCTACATAAGGGCTTTCCGGTAGTACAAGGTTTCGCTCTTATCGATCTCAGTACACTATCAGAACGCTGTCATTATTCCACTTTCGGTTGACGTCGCAAGATGGATCTAACCAAGGAACATATGTAGTCGATATGTCTATTTTCCTCATACATCTAGCTTGAGTTTCTTCCTTTCCTCGCCTGGTTGCAGCCAAGTGATGAACTATAGCAACTTAGACTCGGCGACTGTCTTGTAGACTTCACGCGTATCCGCAGTTGGGCATCATTTAATCTTGAAATAAAGAAGCTAAGTATTCAAATTGGCCATATGAAAATTGTTGGGCGCAAATAATGATGGCTGCGCATCGGATTGGGTGTAGCCAGAAGTCAGGGAGGTTCTGTAATGCAACACCAATTGGCACATGGGCCGTTGACAATCCTAGTCTTGACAGCTCACAACCCTCTAATGTTCGGGTAGATTGCCGAGAACTTTACGTCTACCCGTTCCGGCAAGAAGATATTTGAAAGGAATGGGCTTGTAATCTGTGGGGTTGAGGTTCTGTGTGTCAGGCCGACTTCCCTAGGGATTGGTTTTTTGAATGAAGCTTGGAGTTAGTCAAATGACCAACAACACCTACAAGGCTAGCGAAATAAAGGCAAGCCGCAGCCCCGCGAAAAACGAGATCTCTGTCAGCTGCTATGGCCTTCATCGACATGAGACACACATACTGTGCGCAGTGATCCATGAACCTGTGGACAAAGATGTCGTGTTGAATGCTTGTTGGTCTAGGGTAGGAGGGACTTCAACGCAGAACAAAGGCTGCTCTGGTCGCCAGATTCATCCCGCAATTGACAGGTCTTTATCCGATCATTTCAGTTTATTATCGTCACCATTATGTCTGCCATGGCCAGAGCACACTGTACCACCAAGCCCATGCATGGTCTCGTCATTAGCCAAACCCAATGGCCGCTCCTCTCGCCCACGTGATTGCTCCGTGACCGGCGAGAGGTCCAATTATGTCATAAGGTTACATTAGGTAATCGGCTGGCGGATTGAAACACCGCCGATTGGCCTGAGCCTGAACATGTTACTAAATAAATAGGTACAGCAAGGGCAGCCTTCCGTGAAGCCATTGAAGTTTTCTCCTTCGTGCCCGTTTGTCCATAGTGATTGATCCTTCTGCCCCTCATTTGGCCTTGGCAGCTGATCCGGATCCTGGTCTATGTGATGGCCGGAGCGAGCTCGCATCGCCAAAACATCGCGACCGTCACCTTGCAGACTCTTCATTCCGTCTCTAACAGCAGCAACCGCCTCGCGGAGCGAGTCATTCGCTGACCATGGCCGACTTTACCCCAGAAATCGACACCGAGGAGGCCACCAGACGGGCGGCTACCATTCTGGAACGCCATTTGCCTGAAGGGTACTCAGCCGATCCAGAAGTCAGTCTGGGTATTCAAGATTCAACGACGTCATTATCAGGCTCTGCACCTCGCAACAACGCCTTTCCTCCCCAGACCCAGGGCCACCCCGTGGCTTCCAGCCCTCCTAGTTCCGCATTGGATGTGAAGGCAGAGCCAGGCGAGTCTCCAGGAGAGACGTCTGTGTCTCTAGCGAACGGTCAAGACCCCACATCCTCTTCATCTACCGGCAACCTCTTGAGCCAGATCGACGGCACATTTCGCACCCAAAGCCCCGATACTCTCGAATCTTCTCTGAAGCTTCAGGGAGGCGATATCCACCGGGACCTGTTTCGAATCACGGCCCGTGCGAGCTCCATTCGTCGAGCGAATACGTTTTCCTACCAACCGTCCCCAAGTCTCCAGGCAGAAGACGACTTGTCATACCCTGAACAACGTGAGCTTGGAGGATTTCGACGTCACTACGTACGCAACAATGCCCGTAAAAGGCACGAGAGCGGCCCGCTTGTCATCACCAACACCTTCGTCGATTTCTTAGATCTCTATGGTAGCTTCGCTGGCGAGGACCTCGAAGACACCGACACCGAGGAAGACTCTGCGCTCGATGAGCAGGAGGAACCAGATGAGAGACGACCGCTGCTGCCGAGACCGAGAGCGAGCAGGCGACAGTCGCACCGAAGGTCCAGAGAAGGTGATGCGAGCACATTCAAGACTTTTTTCACGCTACTGAAAGCTTTCATTGGAACCGGCATCATGTTCTTGCCCAAGGCATTCCTGAACGGAGGCATTCTCTTCTCGTCTCTCATACTGATCTTTGTTTCGCTTATCAACTGCTTCTGCTTCCGCCTTCTGCTCGACTGCAGGGAGAAGTATGGAGGCGGTTACGGTGAACTTGGTGCAGCCATAGTCGGCCCACGATTTCGCAAGCTCATCCTTGCATCGATTGCCCTCTCCCAGCTAGGCTTTGTCTGCGCCGGTCTGATATTCACGGCGGAAAATCTTTTCTCATTCTTTGACGCCGTGACGGGCGGCCGCCAGAACGTCGCGTTCGGTGTCCCAGCCCTGATTGCCTTGCAGCTCATCCCACTCATCCCCCTCGCCCTAATCCGTCACATTTCCAAGCTGGGCCCCGTCGCACTTATAGCAGATGTGTTCATCTTGGTGGGCCTCGTCTACATCTGGTACTACGACGTCGCCGCTCTGTCCTCTAGGGGGATGGCACCTTCGGTCCATTTGTTCAACTCTCAAAGCTGGACATTGACCATTGGCTCTGCCATCTTCACGTTCGAGGGCATTGGCCTCATTTTACCCATCCAGTCCAGCATGAAGAAGCCTCAGCACTTTGGGCCCCTCCTGTACTTTGTTATGTTTCTCATCACCATCATCTTCACATCTGTCGGCGCTCTCTGCTATGCGACATTTGGAAAGGACACCAAGATCCAGATCATTTCCAACTTCCCACAAAACTCACCACTCGTCAACGTCGTCCAGTTCCTATATTCCCTAGCTGTGCTTGCGGGCGAGCCAGTGCAGCTCTTCCCAGCCGTGCGAATCTTGGAAACATCGCTCTTTGGGGAACGGGCGTCGGGCGCCAAGAGCGCCGCCGTCAAGTGGCAGAAGAACGGCCTGAGGACGCTGGCCATGGTCGCCTGCGTCGGCGTCAGCATACTCGGAGCCACGGATCTGGACAAGTTCGTTTCGTTGATTGGCAGTTTTGCGTGCGTTCCTCTGGTTTACATTTATCCGGCATACCTGCATTACAAGGGCGCGGCTACGACGCGGTTGGCTAAGATTTTGGATATTGTGTTAATGGTTGTTGGCCTGGTCGCCATGGTTTACACCACAACCATGGCCATCTTCCAATGGATTGAGAGTTAGATTAGTTCAAGAGTAGAATGGCTCAAGAAGCAAGGGGATGCGGAGAGCTGGTGGATCATGTTGGATCATATGGGTTGCAGTTGAGGTGATTCATGTTTCATGTTACATATGAGGTAGGTTGTCTTTTCAGCCAGGGATTGATTTGTGAACAAAAAAGCTTCGATCTTGCCGCGGAGGTTGGACACGAATGTGGTGAGAGATGCTTCGATACAATCAGCAAATCGGCTTACACAGCTCCAACTACCAGCATGATCGGCTCGTAGAAGCTAAATCGGATGTTTGGGACGGACTCCCGCCACATGCTTAATCGTGATGTGTTGTGAATAAACTCACCGACGGATGACTGAATTTCCTCCACCACTCGTGCCAGCACCCAAATGCTGGAAACAACATGACATAAGGAGACGCCGCTCAAATTTCTTACGATGTAAGCCAGAAACGTATTGTTCTTCCACTGACTGTCGCAATTGCAACATTCATTCAACATAGTGCCCTGGGTGTGCTACGTTTCAAGTCACCCTTTAAGTCACCCACTTGGCACACTCCAGGTTTTCGTCTGGTAGGTGTCATGTCCCCCAAGGTAGAGTAGACCCACGGAATTGTCCCGTAATTTGGAACTGAGCCTATACTTATTCATAGGGGGGTTTAGGATATTGGGGGAGCTTTGCTTGCTCCGTCGGTGGCAGAGCAGTATGGGTGTACTATGGCGATGCATGCGTCAGTAGAAACGATTATTAATTCGTCTCTGTGTCGAATACGAGAATCAAGTTATAGAACTAATTCCAAGTCAGTATTGCGAGTATGTTGTAATCTGAAAGCATCGCGTTAGCATTATCTATTCTCAGAAAGAGCAATTGTGACCATTTATAGAAGATGGAATGGTTTGATGCGTGATGGACACAAACGAGGGTTACTTGTCTTTCCATTTCTTCTTCACTTTATCTTCCATACATCGCTATGAACGACGCCTCACGGGATCGCCATCTACTGTAAGATGTACAAAGTAAAAAAAAACAGCAATGAAAGACGCCAAGCCCGACATCTCAACACAATGAATAAGGATTGACATATACCTGCATCATATGGGACTGAAACCCTGGAGAATCCAAGATTTATTCTCACAAAGTATGATCATTGGTAATTTTTCTCAATTTTCAGAATGTTAGTTTTCTTTCTGTGTGATGTGCAGGTTTCTTGCTATGGAGTGTATTATATCTTTCTTTAACCCCATTCTCTCTTCTCTATGAGATAAGTAAGAATAGCATGGCTATTTGGGTACCTATTCAACATTTAATCTAATTGTCGATGAATTCTAACTGTCGATGAATTATAAGAAGTGTAGAGTAGGTCCAATAGCTTGAGTACAGATTGTTTGGAAGAGGTTTGCCAGTTTGGTCATCACTAAGCCACTAAAAGAGTTATTTTTAGCGACTGAAGTCGCAGATCCCGGGGCCTGGCGCATTTCATGAACGACACCCTCCAGCGTCGAGACACCACATTCCTTTCTTCAAATCGCAACCGCCATCTATCCATCTTTTGAAACTGCATCTTTCTCAGAACTCAGACTCCCGGAGAAGCGAGCTGCGGCAGCGATTGCAGCAGCGACCACCACCATGGCACCTACGCTGCGCATATCCCACCCAGCCCTGGGCATTGAGCTCGAGGGCCAGGGAAGCGCCTTCTATCCTGGAGATGCCATCATCGGAAGAGTTTACCGAAGGGCGCCCATAGACTGCGCCGAAGCTAGAATCGATCTCGCGTTTCATGGACGAGCCAAATCCAGACTGGTCGTGAAGAAAGGCGACAGCCGTCGCACGTACCGCGGCCGCTTCACCCTTCTGCACCAAACCCAGAGTGTTTTCGCCGGCCCTATGCATATCCCAGAAGGCAGTCCCAGCCAGCAAGAGTGGCCTTTTGCACTTGAGATACCTCGGAACATCGACGCAGGCCTGTTCCCCCAGCAGTACGATGCAGAGCACTCCTTTATACCAATAGACCCTGCATACGTTGGCGACCAACCGCTTCCAGCCTCCTTCTACAGCGGCTGGGTCAGTAAAGAGGGCTTCATCGAGTATTACATTGAGGCTACCCTTCGTTTTCAAAGAAAGGGGTCCTGGGATGAGGTGACGGCCACGATGCCCATCCACATCTTGGCCTTCAACCCAAATCCTCCAATTGTGGATTTCCATCTACAGTGTGTTGCTCGCCCGGGGTCGGTCTGCACACAGCGCCTCGTCCCTGGAATGGAGAATGCGGAGCTTTCAAAGACAGAGAAGATGAAAAAGTTCTTTGGTGCCAAGTCAGTGCCAGCATTCTTCTTCAGGCTGGACGTGAGCCTACCGTCTGTAATCCAGCTTGGCTATGATCCGATCCCCGTCTTGATGCGCTTGATACCAAACTGGCCAAATACTAGCGAAATCATCCGGAACGTGCAGCAAAAGCCGACTCTGATCTCTTTCAAAGCCACGCTCGAGTCCCGGTGTGACATTAGGTGTGATGGCTATTTCCGCGCGCGTGAGGCGGACTGGAAGGAGAAGTTGGAGCTGCAGAGCGAGGCGCACGGAGGTCGTAGAGTCACCGTCGAGATCCCATTTTCAGAGAAGGGGCCGCCTGTGGACGTTGGCAAGGCGCTTGATTTACGGATCGGCGGGCATGCGGGTACGAGTTTGGCTTTTCATGACTTTACCACGTTCAACGTTAGCCTCAGCCACCAACTATCATGGACAGCCAAGTGTGAAATTGCCGGTGAGGGCTGGACCATTCACGGGACGCAGCCGGTCAAGGTTTTGCCGCAAACCAGCGACGGGAGACCGGGAGGGTTTGCACAGTCACAGTCTGCCAAAACCCAGAGGGCAGAGTCGTGGATGGTACCGCCTGCTGAGGTTGAGCCTCCACCTACGTTTGCAGAAGTTGAGAGAGATGATAAAAAGCAAAGCATAGCTAATGCTCAGACAGTTGGCGAAGGAGTTGGGACTTCAAGCAAGAGCGGACAAGAGGATTATTCTGGCTATCCCAAAGAAAAGCAGTAATAGTTATTGAGTTGCTTGCATGCTTATCTGTAGTTATTAGATAGTGTTGGGTGATTTCTTCGACACGCCCGTGGTCTCCTCTACGGACGGCCCCATATACTTTCCGACCTCATCCACGACCTCTGCTGCGCTTCGAGATGTCTTGCTAGGTCATACACGATCCACTGGAAGGCAGTCGGCGTCGAGCCATGACCACCATGGAGCAGCCTCACGACACGGCGTGCCAGATCAGACACAGCGGACTTGTCTGCGGTGGTAAGAAAACTTTGCACTCTGAGAGGCACAGCCGGTATGGATTTGGTTGGTGAAGTCCTGGCCATTGGATCTGAGCTCAGACGCCTATGTCGCTCAAGATCGACGATGGCGTCTTCGGTGCTGTCCCTAGAATTCGGTTATTGACACCGCGAGTCGGTGCTTTTGCTGCCGTCGTAGGTGCCAATGACATCAACACCATCAAGATACCCGACGAGGTGGCATCTGACCTGGCTGTATCCCTGGGGAGTGGAACAGCCAGGGTGGCTTTATTCAAGTCGCTACAAGTGCCGTGGGTCTTGATCCATCTTGTATATCTGGTCAATCCGCTCAAGATGATGATTGGGGGGTGAACGTGGTTAAATTTACTAATTTTGCATCTCGACTCTCCCCCCAACTTAGGACGAAATTGAGAGCAAGTTCCCTTTTTTCCTTTGCCATCTTCAAGGCTCAAAAGATCTAATACCATCTTGATCAAATGCGAGCCGTATTATAATCGAATTCAGGCCGTATTTGATTCAGTCAGGGTACGGCGATGATTACTCGCCTACTTCTCTAACCATTTCTGGATTTCTGCAGCAATCCGGTCGCTGTTCTTCTCGATAAACATCATGTGTCCGTTCCCAAGTATCCCTACATCCTCCAACTTCAAATGGGTAGCATCAACGCCCGCCTGCCGTAAATATTCCACAGTGCACCAGTCATATTGAGCATGGTATGATGCCGGGGCCGTAACCACGAGAACCGGAATTCTCTCAAGGTTCACGAGTTTCCGCGGTGTGTCACTCGCCTGCAGCCGGCCATCCAACAGGTCGGGTGCTGCTGCCTTCGCTTCACGCGTTGCCAGGTCCGCAGTAGGGTCTGTGACGGGAGGCTCGTACGTGATCGGCGCGTTGGAGATGCCGTACGGAGAACCGCGGACCGTTCTGATCGAGACTTTGGAGAATGGCGGCCCCAAAGGCTCGAGTGCGACGATGGACTTGACCAGATCAGGCCGCACATCACCCAGCAAGAATGGGATTGGTCCGCCAGCAGAATGCCCAAAGACCATAACCGGCCGCCCGATTGTGTCTAGCAGCGCTGCACACGCAGCCTGGGATGCTCCCTCCTGAAGGACCTGGTCTTTGATCATCTGCACGCCCGATGCGTAGAACCTGTCGAAAACGGGGTCGCCCATCACACCGGAGCCAGGCCATTGCGTGTGGGACTTGGCTTGCGGCCATAATTTATAGTTGCTGCTGGCGGTAAACATCTTCTGAATCTGTTCCGCAGGATAGACAATCACATCTCCAGTCCCCGGGCTCCAGGGACTCCTCCCTCGGAACGGCTGATCGACAAGGTAGAGTTCGTATCCCTGTGACAGGAAATACGAAGCCCATCCAGGTTCGCCGTCGGGCTTTGTTATCCAGTCCTAGATCTTATCAGCATCCATGCAGGCCAGAGCGCCAGAAGCAGCCTGCTCACTATTCCAGTACGGGTTCCGCCATGAATGAACAGGAGTGGAAACGGCTTGATTTCACTGCTCTGGCTTGGCTGTAGGTGCTCAACGTACATCTGCCCCTGAAGCGAATGGTTGCCCTCCTTATCTTCAACATACTGTCCGCCGATGTAGAAACTTCGGCGATGATGAGGGGTTTGTCGGGCAGTTTGCGCTGCGGTTGCATCCATTCTGCAACACGCAACTGTCCCAAGCCAATTAACCTCTACTTCGATGATCAGAGGCAAGACGACAGATCAAACTCGCTCTCTACGCTAGATACAGCCTGATAGTTTTAGAAGTTAAATTATTCCCGAACAAATCAAACGCACGCCGGCCTCACAAGTAGAACTCGTTAGTCAGCGAAACAATGCCGCCGACCTCAGGAATGCCATTTAGCCATCACGTCCGGTTGTACAAGATCCTTCGAACCCGCCTAATCATTTGGGGGCTCTTGTGTAGGCGATACGCTTGACATATTGGAGATATGGTCGCTCGGTATCATAGCAAAACACAAAATCTCAATCAAAGCAGGGTTTCCATCTTTAGAAAAGGAAGCCTTACTATGTGTACATACTCGTGAAAATCAGAAGGAAATGAGTGTCGACTAAGACCCAAACAAGTAACTATATAGAGCCGCAAACTCGTCAGGCTTTTGTTGATTTCTCTTTGTGGCCCCGTATATATAATAAAGAAGCACAATGGCCTCAATTGGTTAGGCAGAGTTTGAAGGACTTTTATATTGTACAAAAACGACTGCTTGAAGAGTTGTCGAGAAAGACGGCATCTATTTTCTTCAAAAGCCACTGCTTTAGCTCCTTGGATGAAGCAGTTTTCGGAGCAGCACAGCCCATTCTCTCTCGACAATGAACATGCCCTGAGTATCAGATGCTCAGACAATACATCCATACCCTTAGGACAACAGCTCAAGTGGGGGGTAGTGCTGCCAATGGGACCCAAACGTTCATTACTTCGACATCCATGATCGTACATTCCTATTCATACATTCAATTTTACAATTCATTATCGCCCCTAGCCTTGCTTAGGCCCCGACACATGCGACAGGACCTCAGGCCCGCTCAGCTTGCCAAGCAAACCACGCTCCAGCCCCAACCGCTCCTCAATCCCAGCCAGCGGGACTCCAGAGTCGCGCATCCGGATCGCATCGATCAGCGTGCGCATGTCGACGAACCGCCTGCCCTGGAGGCTTCTCTGCTGCATGGGGTCCAGCTCGGCCTCGGCCTGCTTCTGCAGCCGCCGCCTCGCGTCGAGCGCGGAGAGCGTCGTGTTGCTGGTCGAGGGCGCGAAGAGGGGGGCCAACGGGGCGGTAGGCCCGTTGGGCTCGAGGGGTCGCCGCGGCGGCGGAGGGCCATGTTTGCGCGCGGCGCGAGAGGAGGGCGAGAAGGTCGGGTTGGGCTGTACTACTCCCATCTGGTGTAATCGTGCGGAGAAGTCGCCGGGGGCGGCGTCGGGATCGATCTCTTTGGGGGATGCTGGGGTGGTCGAGATGTGTTAGCGAGCCAGAAGGAGAGGTGGGCATTTTGTCAGTTTCTACTCACCGTCATCCTTGGGGCCAGCAGCGGCAGAGGGGGCTGGCTGTGGGCGACTGACGGCGGGACGAGTCACTGCCGCTTTTGAAGCCGTTGTTGGGTATTTGCGGGTGGCTGTACGAGCAGCCTTGGATGATCCTGCGCCCATGATGTTGGCGGGCAGGGCGCCTTGTGGTCAAGTGTATCGTCGGTCGATCGGTTGAGGCGGCAAGCAACGAGATCAATATCTGTGATGTGTTTTTCTCGGGCTTGTCAATTGGCAGATCTGATTCCACAGGTCGGCCAAATATGTGCGGGATGGCAGTGGCAAAGCTCCCAATAGATAATTCTATGAAGTCAGAGTGATCGACTTCATCCCGCCTCCAAGAAATTATTTCACCACCGCTGTCTACGCATTATGCCTACCCTATAGCTGTCACCGAACCTCCTCCCACCATCAAATGATCTGTCTCCTCTCGTTTTTCAACAATGGGAGCTTAAAAAAAATTATTACGTTGATAACTTAAGTCTAAAGGAAAAAAAAGACAAATCATTATCTGATGACGCAAGAAAAATGCTTTCTTCGTTGATGAGAACCTAAGAGTGAAGCACCATCGCCTGTGATGAACAGTCAAAAAGCAAATGCGCAAGGTCAAAATCATTAATAAAAGCTACCACGTTGACATTCTAAGATGAGTGACAATAATAAAACTCGAGCGCTATTCGGCCTTCACCCTCTTTTCATTCTCATCACGCCTTTTTGATTCCAGCAAGAACACATGAATGAGTGTCCGTTCATCTCTCGCACAAACCATCCGAACTAAGTCATCATCCCAATTCGTAAATCATAAAAGTCATACTCGAACCTGAGTCTAGAACTTTGATAGCCTCTAGGTTGGATATCAATTCGTTAATACCCGTGGAAATCTAGTTCCACATGGGGTCTTCGCCGGAAAGCGGCCATGCAGGCGGCTTCTGAGATCGACACTGAAGAATGGACTCTCTATCCGCAGGCGGCATCTAGGCGCGTGGGGTGACGAGAGTAGTCTCCGAAGCCTTGAACCCCCTAAATGAGCCGTCGGCGTTACCAACTGGCTCGCCACTCTGCTGCTGGGGTCTCTCCTCGAGCCGGGCGTTGTCAGAGTCACGGATCCAGGCGAGCCGGCCCTTTCGGTCGAATCGTCGGTTGGCTATTCTGGCTGCCTCGCAACTCTTGGATCGGATTACGTAGATAGCGTCGCCGATTTCAAATGGGCCGGCGATGTCCTGAAGACCCAGATCGCGAGCCATGTCAAGCTGCCAATCCTCGCAGCCCGAGACAGATAGGAGCATTGCAGCTGGGGGTGTCTTGGGGCCCTTTGCTGGGCGCTTCCAAGTAGTTGGGCCGTTTGGGGTTTGTGGTGGGGTGGCAGCTGCGGCCGGGGCAACTGTAGTCTTTGGGGCAGTAGGGATATTCTTGGCACCCGCTGGCTTCCGTTTATCATATCGATCAGCCTTGGTCACTCCGGCGGGCTTCACTGAGATGGCTTGGCGGGCCTTCTTTCCAATGGGCGTGGGAGTTGGCGGCGTCATGGGCGAGGAGGAAGATTGAGAACCATTTCCTCCAATCTTTTTGGCGGGCTTTTTGCCTTTCTGGACGGGAAGTCCTTTGAAATTCGATGGAAGTGCCATGTACGGCATCATTGGCCCAGAGACACCATGGGTTTGCTGCCATTTGACCATTGCAGGAAGAACGGGGGGCTGGACCAGATGGCTCGGAGCCGCCATGTGGTGGTTTCCAGCTAATTCAAATTTTCTTAGCTTCCATTCAATGCTGAAGATTTCTGCTCGCTTCTGGTGGAGGAGATAACTTACCATACTGACCGCCATTGAAAGGCATGTTGACATGGGGGAACATTGGCATGGTTCGAGGCGCAGATTTGGCTGCGGCCGGATGATTTGGGACCTGAACGCAAATCTTCAATTAGTATTTCTCCAAAGGTTTGAAAAAGGGCAAAGAATATCGAACTGTGGATGCTCCTGCTCCAGCCATGTTGGCGGCGCGAAACTTGGCTTGCAACATGATGAGAGTGGCTGTCGAATACGGGATTCTTGTCCACAAATCGAATGAAGATATAAGATTTGGGCGCGTAGGTGAATATGCGATTGGGAATCAAGATGAATATCGAGTGTTGGTTTCAATGGGAGAAGTACGATGATGGTTTGCTGGATGGACAAGCAGAGTAGGTTGGAAGAAATTGAAGGAAAACTAAGGATGGGATCAGTGTCCAAAGTTCCCAGCCACCGGACAAGAGTCCGCTCACGTGCAGAGACGAGCAAACCTAATATGAGAGTGAGTAAACTCCGTAAAGTTGGTGAGAATCTTAAATCCAGTGTCCAGCATGATTGTCGTTCAGACCTCTGACGGTCCACGTACAACTGGAAATCGGACTTGATTTTTGAAAATGGTAGAATTCAGAGTGCTGGCTATCATTTGAATCCTTTGAATCCATATTTTGATTGATTTTGCCTTGTCGAGAGGCTCTCACTTGAAACCATATCGGCGTCGACGACCAGATGTTTTGATGCGAAACCATCAAATTGGTGTTTCTCTGCCTCAGTGGTCCGTGCACATGAAGTTGGCGGCAAAAGTGGGACACACCAACCACTTGCAGTTGCCACCGGTCCGTCACTTTTCGTTTCTCGCCTTTCGTCTCGCAGTTACTGAGACCACATTGAGACCACATGACCAGTAATTTCACGGGGCGGTCTTGTCACTTGGAAGAGGGATAAGAGGGATAATGGTTTGCGCAGTGTGGGAGCAAGAAGTGAGGCCGAAGCCCGTTAAAAATTTGGATTTCGGGATGCAGATATCTCAAACGACGCTGGCCGCCAAGACTCACCGTACCTTATTCCTCTATACAACTGATGAAGTCTCTTGATCCTCGACGCAAGCTACTTCAGGCGAAAGAGAAATATGCCTGAGGATCTACTGCTGTGTGACTTCCGTCTGAAGGAAGCGAGAGCATCAGAGATCCAGGCCCTTTCTCTTTCGCTTGCCCAACATGTCGCTTTTACTTTTAACAGTCTACCTGTGGGCATTCCGCGTCCTCGACCGCATTTGCCCTTCACTGGCCAGATGTGCCGCCCTTAGATTTAACCAAACAGGTAGGTAGCATGTTATAAACATGGCCTAGTGTGGAGTGCTCTTGGTGGGCCCGAATTCGCAAGAGACGACAGACTACGGCTCGTCTGAGGGAAGCGAGTTCCACTTCAGTCCATGCCACACTATTTATGCAGATAACCAACGGATTGGCAAAGGCACAAGTATGGAGGCATCTTTGATGATGAGCTGGCTGGCCATAATCGTAAGTGGGCAGCGAAAGGTACGTTTTGGGATGTCGGTGCTTGCAACGCCTGCGTTTGAGTGTCTTCATTGACCAAGACCTCACAAGCACCGGCGTCTGCTGGGCCTTTGGCCATTTTGGGCGCGTATTGAACCAATGAATATAAGTATATTAGCATTGGCATCATCTCCTGCGTCGTTTGCTGGGCCTGGTGATCTCTTCTGCGGGATCAGATAGTTCTGGTTCTTCTTCAGCATGCTTCTCCTCCTCCTCCTCCTCATCGGCGGAACCATCGTCGACAGACAGGACATCTTCGTCTCCGCTACCGCCCTCGCTTTGCGTTGTCAGAGTGCCACCAAATGATGACTTTCTAGACCGTCCCTTGTCGGTATCGCTACCGAAGCCCTCAAACTCATCATCGCCTTCACTGTCATCAGACTCGTCATCCTTCTCGGCAGCGAAAGAAGCTTCTTGTTGGAGTTGGGCATCTGCTGAGATCTCAGACTCAGGCAGGGTCTCCTCTCGGTTGCGCTTCTTTGGCATCTCTCCGAGCTTGCCTTCTCGACCATTGACTCCTTCCTCTTCCTCCTCAGGGGTGTGTGGAGGTGGCGTAAACCAAGGAATCTTGCCTCTCATGAAGTCATTAAGCACCATCTTGGCAACTCCATCCAAATCAGGCTCGCCACCACGAAGCAGACGACCACCCTTGCGGGCGAGGAGTTCCAGAAACTCGGTGGCATTGGTCCAGTTGGTCAACTCATACGTCCTCTCCATGTGACGTCGCTTGACCCTCTCCAGAAGGGCGCCGATATACTGCTCAGGGTTTTCAACCTTTTCCACACGAGCCACACCACGAAGAACGAGGTCCGTTGGAGTATCTTGGTTGGACGGAGGCACAACACCCGGGCAATCGATGAGGTAGATGCGCTTCATCAAGCTGACGTACTGCCACACCTTCGTCTCTCCAGGAATCGGGGCAACGTTGCACACCTTTTTCTTTAGCAGAGTGTTGATAATGGATGATTTTCCAGTGTTGGGTCCACCGATCAAACCAACTGAGATCTGCTTCCTGTCTGAATGGAGACTTGAAAATTGTCTGAGGAGTGCAATAAGCGATCCCTTTCCAAATGAGTTGGTGATACTGGCGTGGAAGGCGAGGGTGGGATACTCTTTAGAAAGATGTCGGACCCAGGCAGCCTGTTGGTATGGTCAGCATGAGTTCGCATTTATTCAAATGGTAAAATCATATTGACTAAAGAAAATGATGTTCAAAGGCAAAATGTTCTTGTCGCAACTAAGAAGTATGCCACGAAATGCTCCAACAAGAGAGCAGACAGACTTCAACTCAATCAGACAAAAAGTTACATCTCGTGACCGTTGCCAAAACGGCGTCGATCTACCTAGAGCAAGCTCAAGGCGGGTGAGATCACAATCAATCTTCCAATAGTGTAACAGACGTTCTCCACGAAGAAAAAATAGAAGACGTCCTGACAAAGACTATTGGGACAGGGGAGGATGGGGTAATGGGGTTGCGATAGTGAAGAGAGAGAGAGACAGGGAAATAAACTTACAGCAACACCAGTGGGAACGAGATCACACTTGTTCAGAACGAAGATGAGATGCTTGTGTGGAGCCTCCTCTTTGAGGTACTTCTCAATGCCCCTGCATCTTGTGCCGATTGGGTCTCTGGCGTCCAGAACATGAATGACAACGTCAGAAGAGTCAATGACCTTGTAAAGCTCGTTCCAGATGCGTTTGCTCTGGCCCTTGTCAAAGACGGGTTCGATGGCTAATGTGAGGGCGCCATCTGTTTCACCGTCCTGATCGGCGTCGCCAGATGTGCCACTGAGAAGTTTGGCCTGCTCAAGGCGGTCGCGGTACGAGTCCATGCTCTTTTCAGTGTCATCGGCCAAGTCCCCGAGAGTGCTAGCACCAAGCTTGACTCGCTTTCGCTGCGCCTTGGGCCCAAAGATCGACGAGTACGGTTGGGTCGCAACGGCCATCTTGGCCTCGTGCTCCTTGAGGCCTTTCGCTCCATTGCCATCTCGAATCAAACTCATGGGAAGCTTGTTCTGCTTGAGAAGAACCTGGTACGGATCGTTGGCCTTCTCGGCCATCGCCTCACGAAAAGACTTGAGAGTCTCCTGGGACACGACGCGGGTGTTGTTGAACCACTTCCGGTTCGGCTCGATGCGGGCATTGGGAACTTCCCTCGACTGATAGATGGCAGCCTTGGTAATCTCGCCGTCTGCATTGCGCTGCTCCTTGCCACTCGTGTACTTCTTCACCGCCTTGACCTTCTTCGCATCGCTGACATGATATTAGCATTTACTCGAGGCAAGAATGAAGGATGCGGTTTGTTCGTACCGATAGAAGTTCTCCCCCTTGACTCTGACATTGCCAAGGCCATCGCCAGTTTTCCCTTGGCGCACCCTTCGGGTGGCCTCTTTCTTTCCGGTGCCCATGATTGTTGTGTTTGAGTGCACCAGGAAAGATGAGGAGGAAGTGTTTGGGAAAGGTCGGAGGCTGGATATTTTTTTTTTGAGCTGCGACCTGTAAGTGCCCCACCCAACTTTTTTTCCTTCTTATCGTGGCTTATCGGGAACCAGCCATGTCGGTGACACGGCGCTAGATAATCCGTCCCAGCTTCAATTGATGCAACAATTTTCCATGGGTCATCTCAATTGATTTGATATACCTACCCGAATAGCCCAGTCCAAAGTCGTCGAGCTGGTCTTTTGCAAGCAAGTCCTTTGGGTTTGAGCACTTCGCCCAAACGGCGAATCTCTACCAAAATGTCTTTCAGCGCAACGTCGCTGCGGCCTCTGGCAAGGCAACCACTCTCTGTGGCCCGATGCTTCTCGACCACCGCCCAGAGATGCTTCATACCTCCCGACTCGCCCTCCTATATCCGACTCCCGACTCCTCCACAAAATGAAGAGAAGAAGATTGACCGAGTACGAGGTTTTCTGCCGGTCCCCCGTCAGATTTTCCACAAGAGCGACGGGGACCGCAAAACGCAGCCGGCATACCTGGAAGAAACCGCCCCGCGTGCCAGCTGGTCGAGAAACAGCAACAAGCACCAGAAGTGGCGGAGCAAAATGGCCAATTCCCGCCGCTCCAACCTCGAGACCGGTCTGAAATCTCTCTGGAACCGGCACAGCGCGAGGGAGACGAGACAGAAATTCCGCTCTGAGCAGAAGAACAAGAGGCACCTCGAGGCTGCCCAAGCGCCCGAGCGTGAGGACGACCGGCTCACGCGGGGGTCCGTCTTTGAGTCGCTCCTGGACACCAAGGTCCACTCGGACCCCAACCGCTTCGCCCTCGCCGACCAGCGCCGCCAGGAGATCCAGGTGGCGGAGACTGCGAAGAAGGAGGCCCGGCGCGATGCCCTGATGGAGCTTTACATCAACGCCTCCAACTTCATCACGACCGAGGCCCAGTTGAAGGAGGAGATTGAGACGGTGTTCAGTGACGACTACTTTAAGAGCAAGATGGGTGGTTTGTGGGGTGCTGAGAACGCTTGGGGCATTCACGGGGCTCCTCTCTCCTTCGGAGAGATGCTGGCCACAAGCAGAAAGATGTCGAACAAGCTGATTGATATCACGGAATCCGAATATGACCGTTCTGTCAAGCGACAGAAGAAGATTGCCGAAGAATTCACCGGTGGAAAGATGGAGTAGGCAATCGGCGAGCTCGCAATTGTACATGTACATTACTGTTCTTATATTATGCCCACCATTCGAAACATGTAGCATATGATGGCTCGAGTGCAATTGAGATGAATGATCTACTACAGGTGCACTGGAAAATTATACAAGGAGGGAGCGCTCTTAAAACAACCACAATTTCTCAACAATTCTATTTGGGAATACTTAGAAATTGAAGAAGTATCCAACTGTAGGCAAGGAAAGCTAAGGAAAATCAGCGCCAAACCGAAACGCCAGAAAATATGGCAGCAGCCATGTTTAACCCATCCAGTAATCAGTATATGCGTATATATATCGGTATATGCAGGCTTCTTCGAAAGCTCGACTTCCACTCCCACTATCTGATCCGTCTCGTCTCTTGCGGGCTAAAAAGGAAATGCATGAAACAGAATGAAATCAGCTTGCGGATCTAATTGCATGTCTTAACGCCTCTCAACTAGTAGTACATGCATGGCCATGTAAGCCAAGATAATGAACATGGCGGCAAATATGCCCAAGTTTCTAATATCAGACCAGAGAGCGCTGTTTTCGAAACCAAAAGAGCTGAGAATAGCTGCGCCAGGTACGGTAATATCGAGGCCGTACTTATTATCTATGAGTGTAAGTTGAAGCACCTCGTTGACAATGAGCGACTCGAAAGCATAATGGAAGATGGACAATGATTGTAGCCAGATTGCGCTCTTGGGCGTTGCGTCATGGTTGAGCAGGAATCCGGCAAAGAGCAGGCTGAAAAGCATCACGAGACTTCCAATCAAGCTAGCAACACCGCCATCCTTGCAAACGATGCCAATAAACAGGCAGATTGCAGCTGCGGCAAGGTTGAACAAAACCAAAACCAGCATGAACTTGAAGAAATGGTCAGAATCAGCCACCAGGCCGGTCATTGGATAAACAATCGAGCCCATCAAGATAGGGGGGATGATTCGGAGTGGGATGATGTCGAATAGAACCTTGGCGGCAAAATAAGTTGCTGGAGCATAATACCCGTTGGCTCGCTCGCGGACGAACAAGAGTCTCTCAGAAGCAAAAACGTTCAGACTGGTCAGAGTACTGAAGCCAAAGAGGGCTAACAGAAAGAAGAAGAGACCCAGTCGATTTTGAAAGCCGGGAATATCATCAGTCAAGCCGTAGAAGAGGTATCCAGAGAAAACTGCCAACACAATCGCGATGGCATAGTGGGTCAACATAAGCATGGGGTTTCTGTAGAGATTCTTCCAGGTCCTGTTCGACAGAATGATGAACTGGCGAGCGTATCCAATCCGCTGGTACCCTTTTCCAATACCAGCACTGGCACCCTGCCCATCTGCTGCCCCGTTATTGCCATTGGGCCCATTGCTATGTGTTGAAGACTCAACCGACTGGCGAATTTCTTCATTGGTTGCGGCAGCGATGTCTGAACGGGTGAAGGCGCTGGTGATCACGTCAAGATCTGTTGCAGCAACAGCGGAGGGAGGCAGGTCGTGGGTATCATCTGCCAGTTGGCTAACGATCGAAGTGCCAGGATTTTGTTGCAGCCTAAAGCCCTGATCATCACCACCAGCCTCTGAGGAAGCTGCTGTGTCGACAGTTCGTCGGCGAGTAAACAACTCGCGTTCTTGACGCTGCTTGATCGAGTTTTTACGCCAATTACTGGGACGAGAAGTTGTTACAGAATCCGCATTGGCCTCGCCAGTCGTGCTACCACCAGAGATGCTTGCGATTGATTTGACGGCTCTTGTGCTGCTGGGGCCCAAGCTCGAGGCATCCGTCGGCACGGTCCCATCGTCAACCAGCTGCATGTTACCAGCGTGCATGGTCAAATCAACGAGATAGTCTGCAATATTGAATCCGCTGGGGCATTCATAGCCAAGAGAGTCAAAATATGGCTGGCATTGATTGAAAGGACCAGAAAAGACAGTCTTGCCTCGAGCAAGAAGGATGAGTCGGTCGAAGAGGGCAGCGATGTTAGATCGTGGCTGGTGAATCGTGAATATGACGGTTCGTTTGTATGATTGCGCCAGAGTGACGAGACATTCAATAACATTGAAAGCATTGAAAGCATCAAGACCACTAGTCGGTTCGTCCAGGAATAGAATCGATGGGCTGGTAACGAGTTCGCAAGCAATACCGACTCGCCGCTTCTCGCCCCCAGAAATGCCCCGGCCCTTGCCCTCTTCGGAACCGATGAGAGAGTTGCGGATGTGGTAGATTCCAAGCTCCTTCTCTACCTCGTACACCCTCTGCTCTTTAGCCATGCGGCTCATGTGACGAGGGAGACGGAGAAGGGCACTGTTCAGGATGGTTTCGTGAACGGTGAGGGTTGGCAGCATTGTATCTTCCTGGTCCACGAATCCAACCAGAGTTTTGTAGACAGCATCAGGGACCTTTTCACCATTGACATAGAACTGGCCACCGACCTGACCACGTTTATTCTTCCGTGCCAAGATGTCCAAAAACGTAGTCTTTCCTGCGCCAGATGCCCCCATGATGGCAGTCACCTCGCCAGGGCGGCATATTCCCTGAATGCCACTTAAGATAGATTTCCCATTCAGTGTGTAGGTGATATCCTGGAACTGGAGAGCGACCGGCTTGTGATCGATCATGAGTTTCGTAGTTTCGTCATCCGAGTCTTCTAACCGAATAGCACCATACTTTAGCTTTCTGCGAGACAGATACCATGTAATGATGATCACCGCAACCACAAAGAGGCCACTTGCAGCAATGACGCCGGCAATCAGAGGGGTATTGATCTGCTTAACTGGCCGCTTATACCCTGGCACCTCAGTCTCATAAAGACATTCGCCGGCCTGGCAGTTGAGCAAGATGCTGGAATCACCAATCAAGGCTGAGATCAGCTTGTTCATTTCGGGCTCGTTAAAGGCACAGTTGTGAATTCCTCCATTCTTTTGGGAGCAGTCGAAGCCACCTGGGCCACGGATGGCCTGGTCGAGAAAGTCGGAGAGATCAATAGAGCCGTCTTTACCACACAGCATGTGACCCGGGATACAGCTGCAAGTAATGTGGTCGCAACTATATGACGTTGTGTTCCTGCTTTCTTCAAAGTTGGCGGTCGAGTCGCAGTCCGATAAATGGCAATAAAACGATTCAACCGCATCCACCCAAACTGAACATTGTGTCAGCAGCAAGCACACAACTAGCAACGTGCATCCCGGCGTGGCTGAACTTACATTGAAAGTCGCATGTAGAGTCTTCCTCCTTGCAGGTAAATGTGACTTCAGGGCGCTGTTCTCCCAAAAGATCGGTGATCTTCTGGTTGGTGACGTCGCAGATTTGATAGTTGTGCTTCACGACCTCACCGTTCTGGTAGCAAACACCTCCAGTGCCGGTTTCCATTAACGCGTTGCAGGCCTTGTTGTCGGTACAGACGTTGCAGTTGATTCCGGCCCAGCCCTCGTCACACTGGCAGTTGCTCTCACCATTGCGCATTGGTCGATCCTTGCCTCGGCCAAGCGAACCACACACTAAGAGGAAGATCAACGGTCAGCCTCTCATGTTATCTCATCCGCGCGCGCGTTATGTATCCAAGAAGAACTCACAGGGCTCCAGACAATCGTCGCCGCCAAACCCCTCGGGACAGTCGCATTTGCCGTTGAACTCGTTGCAGCCAGCATATTGTGCGCAAGTATGGGCGGGGAGCAGACAGTTGAAACTAAACAAGGACGGACACGGTTAGTCAACGAACAATCGATGATCTAGGCTCAGATGTAGAGAGTGCTCACCAGGGAGGGCATTCGGAGGGCCGTCCATCGAGGAGCGATGCTTGGACACGCAGCATCTCGGCTTGCGAGTAAGTTGAGTTACCGCTGGAAGCTCCCGCCAGGACAGGCAAGAGAGCTCCCGCCGTAGCAACGAGGCTCCCTAACCGAAGGATAGCCATGGCAGTCAGATCACAAGTGCGACGGCGCACTGGCTGCAAGATGCGACGACTGATGGTTGAGTCGATGATGGTAATGACAGCTCGAGATCGGGTGTAGGTTGCATGGACGACGATGACGATGGGCGAGGTACAAGTATGTTCCACCTCGGGCCCGGAGTTTAATGATTGCGGTTGGCTGGGAGGCTTCTAGGCAGATGCCGAGTACCTGAAAGTTACTTTCCCCTCGGGCAACAGCCACATGGCCGCTTACGTACACGCTTGGTACCTTGCGGCTTAGCTGCAGTGAATAGGTAGGTATCAAGCTCCAGCCAATCAAGTCAATGCACTCTGCATTTAGCCGTCCCCGCATGACGGTCGCCGGTCGGCAAGATCCCAGCTTCCTGATCACGAGAATACACGGACCTGGATGGTTGAAGCATCTCGGAGCAGAGCTCTGCTGACGATTGTGCTGGTCAAATGACACGGCCTTCTGACACGATTGGCGTGGTATCTGTTAATCTATCGCCTCACTTCTGAATCCACGCATCAGACTATTGGGATCAATGCATACCAGACTTGCACAAATGGCTGGCCGAAGGTTAAAGGTACCTAACTAGTAGCGAAGGCAATCGCCAGATCCAGGAGTGTTGGGCGAGCTCTTGCATGAACGTTTCAAATCGGGTCTGGCCGCCGTCAGAATCCAGGCACCAGGGCATGCGGACTCGGACGACCGCCCGAGGACTCTGGAAGGCTAGCAAGTGGGTGACCCAAATTGAAGACCCAAATAACCAATCAAATAAACATCAGAATATCTAAATAAATAGCTAGTTCTAAACAAAGATTACAGAATATTAGTACTTAGACCATGGTATTCTTTTCCTTCAATTTTATTTTAGTAATTCCATACCTACCTAGCTGAGTAGCTATGAGAGATAATAGATCAAGTATGTGCTAAGGGAGTGTTTAAGCTGTGCCAATTCCTATGTTACCCGTGAGCCGGTACCTTACTCAGGTAGGCTATGGGTAGGACAATCTCCCCAGCGTGATTGGCGACTAACTTCGGGGTACAGCAGGTATCCATATTTCAATCTCTTCGAGAACAAGCAGCGTAGCAATAGATTTCCAGGGTCTTTTCGTATGTGTATTGCCTCAGCATTGAGACGGGATTCGAATTAAAGCAGGACAAGGCTAACCACAGGGTCTATTTGGGATAGAATTGCTTTTCGGCAAGTCGTCCATCCACGCAATCAGGCCAAGCAAATGGGTCCCTGCTAGTTTGTGTTGGCTAGGAAGGCTGCTCTGGGCATTGAACGCGTGTTCCCTCTCAGACTTGTGCCGCCTTAGCGTCGTATCACGCTTCCCGCGGTTCCAGGTAGACTCTTGGCCTACTGTCAGACAGCGAGCAGCCCTGATGAGAAATCCATCCCTCCACTGCCTAGTCGCCAAGAGAGTTGAAGCCCTCAGGGCTGTCCGCGGTAGCCTTCAGCAGCATCTTGGCACGCGGCTAGGGGTTTTTTCTGAATCCGCCCCCCAAAGAACCCCCCGGGTGAAGTGGATCACGTCCCAACTAGGAAAGCTCATGACGACGCTTCCTTCCATCACTCTTGGCCTTTTCAATAATTCTCCTCCTCATGTCTCTTTTCGCATTTGTCGGTTTCTTCCATCTTTCCCTCCTCGGGCTGCGTCCGCCGTGATGTAGACCGTTCCCTGCGTTTTTGTTTTGATGCTCACCATATCTTGTATTTCTTCTTGTCCATCTCATCTCACCATTCGTCTGGGTGATTGCTTCACTTCTACCTAATTCAATACACCAACTGTCATTACCGAATAATATACTACATGTACTGAGCTTGGCTTCTTACCTGGCTATCACGCTCAAGAACTCACGCTCAACGCCCTCCACGTATCTTCTCAACGCCTACTTCTATGTCCAGATGCTCAATCTCGCCATCGCTAGGGTTACGAATTACCGGCAAACTTCTGGGCCTGAAGACAGGCCTTGCTTCTCTTAGCCCTTTCTAATAGCGATTTCGGAGACCTCTGGTCCTGCGAATGCAGGATGAAAAAGAGGCTAGGATATCTCGGGTTGGTGCCGGCGCTGACCCTAATGGCTATGGCGCAAGTTGTCACCTGGGATATTGAGAAACGGGCAACAGGAGAGTCACTGCAGCGCAGGTCGAAATCTGCCTTTGAAGAGATCATCCTCAATGAGAAAGGAAGGGGGGGCTACTTTGCTACAGTCCAAATTGGTAGCCCTGGTCAAAACATGACTATGCAATTGGATACCGGCAGTAGCGATGTTTGGATACCACACTGTGGTGCAACAGTTTGCAAGTCTGGCTTATGCATGCTTGGTTCATGTGCGTTTTCCCTTCACCCATGAAAATCATGAAGCTTGTGTGGGGTTCCTTTCCTGCTGACATGGTAATTTATAGTTAACTCAAGCAGCTCTAAAACATTTTATGAGATTGGGGAGGACGAGTTTTACGTGTCCTATATTGACGACAAGTATGCCTCGGGCGATTACTTCAAAGACAGGTTCCAAATAGGCGGCAAGGATGTCCAGAACCTTACAATGGGACTCGGTTTAAAAACTGACATCACTTATGGCCTGGTTGGGGTTGGGTATGCCACCAATGAAGCGTCGATGGCGAACAAAGATTCTCCCTACGCTAATCTCCCTGTTTCCATGGAACGGGATGGATTGATCAACTCGATAGCCTATAGCCTTTGGCTCAATGATCTGGATGCGAACACCGGCAACATTCTTTTTGGTGGTGTTGATACGGGCAAATTCGACGGCCCACTGACTAAAATCGATGTACTACTCGACGAGGACGCTGACAAGTATACCGAATTCGTTGTCCTCATGTCGTCTCTCAAAGCTACGAGTCCTAGCGGGACCGATGTTCTCGCTACATCTGAAAGTGCCATCGAAGTGCTCCTGGATTCAGGTTCTACTCTGAGCTACCTTCCCACAGAGCTGGCACAGGCTGTGTGGAAGGAGGTTGGGGCGAAGTATCAAGTGTCCTTGGGGATGGCCATCCTCCCATGCTCCCACAGTTCCCACCCGGGCCACTTCTCGTTTGGTTTCGCGGGCGATGGCGGCCCCACGATCAATGTCACAATGGATGAGTTGGTCATTGATTTGACGAATGGGGATCCGCCTTTACTCACTTCCGGCCCCTACGCAGGCGAGTATCTATGCGCCTTTGGGATCCAGAACTACACAACAGGAACGTATGTACTTGGCGATACTTTTCTACGGTCTGCTTACGTGGTATACGACCTGGAAAATAATCAGATAGGTCTTGCGCCCACGAAATTCAACTCAACCGAGACCAATGTTGTACCGTTCCCAAGTAAAGGCGCCTCAATTCCAGGTGCCACCGCTGCCCCGGTCAGTACAACTACCAGCCCTATAGATTCGGTGGTGGATTTCCCGATGGCCGAAACAACGAATTTGAAAGCGGCGGACGGGTTTCAAGACGGAGACAGTCCTGAAGAGAGCTCCGTTTTAGGGAAAGCCGATATGCTTCCCATCTTGCTCCCTTTGAGCATCTCACTGGCCAGTGCTGTTCTTCTCAACGTCAGGTTGCTGTAGACTGGGTCGCTGCACTTCGAGGATTCGATATCGTCCTCTTGTCTAAACCAAATGAGGATAGGTAAGAAAAAGGTGCTTGAGATATGTTTAGATGTATTGGGCCACTTAATTTAGGTTTGATATACCACAGGAGGCAAGGTGTTTTGGTGTCAAGGCTTTTTCTGGGTAAGATCGCCCTAGGTATTGAACGAAGGTTATAGAGATGAAGGAATGTATTCGAGCAATATATACCAGTATATAAACCACACCTTATTCTACACAATTTCATCCAAAAATGCCTGCATTTCATCCTCAAAATAATTGGTGCGCGGACATCCAGGCGATTATTATTAATAGTCCTCGAATGAATGGTTCGGGACACGGCGAGAGGCGGGAGTGCGATTAGAGTCTTATCGGCGGCGGATTTTTCCGGCACCTAAGTGGGAGCATGGAAAAAAAAAGATTGCCGTCAGCGCAATTGGTCGACGAGTGCTGGACAAGTCAAGACACCTCCTCGGCTTGTTTTCGACAGCAACCATGAGGGGATTAGGGGCAATCAGATGGCTTGACTGCCGTCTGATAGGAAGCCTCTCAGTTCGCGATGTCAATCCCACAATTGGTTCGTGGGCAGCTGGCGGCCGACGAGCATTCAGCCAGACTTCGCCCACTGCCAGCGCTGCTCAAGAAGCGTGCGTGCTTCAATCCGCGCCTTCACACCTCCATGTTGGACTTTTGCTGATGAATTGGTTACTTTTAGGTTGAAGAAGGCCCAGACCGATGCCTCCAGTCTTACCCCCGAATATGTGGCTGCCAACATGAATCCTGCCGAGAAGGCCAGGCTCTCCAAGGTTCGCAACATTGGTATTGCTGTAAGTCGACGACGCTTCTTTTCCGATATGGCACAGCGCTGATGCCCAGGGTTCTAGGCACACATCGACAGTGGCAAGACTACGGTTACTGAGCGAGTTCTGTTCTACACCGGCCGAATCAAGGCGATCCACGAAGTTCGAGGCAAAGATTCGGTTGGCGCCAAGATGGACTCTATGGATCTGGAAAGGGAAAAGGGTATTACAATTCAATCTGCTGCCACTTTCTGCGACTGGCAGAAGCAAGAAGACGGAAAAGAGGAAACCTACCACATCAATCTTATCGACACTCCCGGCCATATCGACTTCACCATCGAGGTTGAGCGCGCTCTCCGCGTTCTCGATGGTGCCGTCATGATTCTCTGTGCTGTCAGCGGCGTCCAGTCCCAGACCATTACCGTCGACCGACAGATGAAGCGCTACAATGTCCCCCGTATCTCCTTTATCAACAAGATGGACCGAATGGGCGCCAACCCCTGGAAGGCCGTAGAGCAAATCAACCAGAAGCTCAAGATCCCTGCCGCTGCTATTCAGATCCCCATTGGTCTCGAGGACGAGCACGAGGGTGTCGTTGATCTGATCGAAATGAAGGCCATGTACTTTGAAGGCCCCCGTGGTGTCAAAGTCCGCGTGGTCAACCAGGTCCCTCCCACCCTCGTGGAACTCGCCAACGAGAAGCGCCAGGCTCTGATTGAGAAGCTCGCTGATGTCGATGATGAAATTGCCGAACTGTTCCTCGAGGAGGTTGAACCCACCAACGAACAGATCAAGGCTGCCATCCGAAGGTCCACTATTGCCCGCAAGTTCACTCCTGTCATGATGGGATCCGCCCTGGCCGACAAGGCCATCCAGCCTATGCTCGATGCCGTGTGTGAATACCTGCCCAACCCTGCTGATACCGACAACCTGGCCCTGGATCGATCCCAAGACGAGAAGTCTGTCAAGCTTGTCCCGTACAACTCCTTGCCTTTCGTCGGTCTCGCCTTCAAGCTTGAAGAGAACAACTACGGCCAGCTTACCTACATCCGAGTCTACCAGGGAACTCTGTCCAAGGGTTCTTACCTCTTCAACTCCCGCACAGGCAAGAAGGTCCGAATTCCCCGTATTGTCCGCATGCACTCCAACGAGATGGAGGATGTCTCCGAGGTTGGTGCTGGTGAGATCTGTGCCGTGTTCGGTGTCGACTGTGCTTCCGGAGACACCTTCACCGACGGTGGTCTCCCCTACTCCATGTCTTCCATGTTCGTCCCAGATGCCGTCATGTCTCTCTCCATCAAGCCCAAGCGCTCCGGAGACGCAGACAACTTCAGTAAGGCCATGAACCGCTTCACCCGTGAGGATCCTACCTTCCGAGTCCACGTCGACGCCGAGAGCGAGGAGACCATCATCTCCGGCATGGGTGAACTCCACCTGGAAGTCTACGTCGAGCGTCTTCGCCGCGAGTACAAAACCGACTGCGTCACCGGCCAGCCCCGCGTCGCCTACCGCGAGACCATCGCCCACCGCGCCGACTTCGACTTCCTGTTCAAGCGCCAGAGCGGCGGGCCCGGCGACTTCGCCCGCGTCGCGGGTTGGATCGAACCCTACGAGAAGCCCGGCGAGAACTTCTACGAGAGCCAGGTCGTCGGCGGCAACATCCCCGACAAGTTCCTCACGGCCTGCGCCAAGGGCTTCGAGGCCGCGACCGACAAGGGGCCCCTCCTGGGCCACCACGTCATCGGCACCAAGATGATCATCAACGACGGCGCGACCCACGTCACCGACTCGTCCGACCACGCCTTCAACCTCGCCACGCAGATGGCCTTCCGCAAGGCGTTCAAGGAGGCGGGCGGCCAGGTCCTCGAGCCCCTCATGAAGACCACCATCACCGCCCCCAACGAGTTCCAGGGCGGCATCCTCATGCTCATGAACAAGCGCAACGCCACCATCCACGACACCGACATCGGCACCGAGGACTTCACCCTCACGTGCGACTGCTCCCTCAACGCCATGTTCGGCTTCAGCTCCCAGCTCCGCGCCGCCACGCAGGGCAAGGGAGAGTTCACCATGGAGTTTAGCCACTACGCGCCAGCTCCGCCACACCTGCAGTATGTTTAACCCCCTCTCTCCATTACAGAGTCGATAAGAAAACGGAGTACTAACAATCATTACAGGAAGGAGCTGATTGCCAAGTACGAGGCCGAGCTCGAAGCCAAGAGAACCAAGTAAACTTGTCTCTCTAGCTGTACTATATCCATCGATTTCAGCGCTGCCATAGAAGTAAAAGGATAGAGGCGTATGTCGCTCTTCAAGCACGTTGTTTCAACACCTGTACCATATCACTGTATGTACGAGATAAAAGAAAAAAATTAGATTAATGCCATGAGACGTTTTTTTGGATATTTATGATAATATCCCCGTACAGCTTGGTTGGATTGTGGGATTCATCATCCACATAGCTCTACATCGAAAGTTGGGTTGGTGAAAAGAAAGGAGCTTGGCTCAAAAATCAATTGTATACAATGTGACGAGTAAATACAGCGGTGGTAATCTCCTCTATATCATAAACCGCCCCAGCTTTTATACCATTCCTTTTTCCCCCGGTTCTCATAACACGTTTTCGAGTTCAAATCTTACTTTATCGGAAAGAGTCCATTCACAGCTTGTTGAGGATGTCCTCGACGACCTGCTCGGTGGTGGCCTTACCACCAAGATCAGGGCTAAGGAGCTTGCCCTCCTCGAGGTTGGCGTCGACGGCGGCGTAGATCTTGGCGGCGGCCTCGGGCTCGTTGAGGAACTCGAGCATGAGGGCGGTGCTCCTCAGGGTGGCGATGGGGTTGGCGATGCCCTGGCCCTGGATGTCCGGGGCGCTGCCGTGGCAGGGCTCGCCGATGGCGAAGCCCTCGCCGACGTTGGCGCTGGGGACGAGGCCCAGGCTGCCGACGAGGGCGGCGGCGCCATCGGAGAGGATGTCGCCGTACAGGTTGGGCGCCACGATGACGTCGTAGTCCTCGGGCTGGCGGAAGAGCTTGTAGACCATGGAGTCGACGATCTGCTCCTCGACGGTGACACCGCTGTACTTGGCGTCGGCGAGGGCTCGCTTGGAGGCGGCGCGGAAGAGGCCGTCGGTCTGGGAGAGGACGTTGGACTTGTGGGTGATGGTGACGAGGGGGGACTTGTGGATGCTGGGGGAGCCGGCCTCACGGAGCTTCTGGCGGCGCACGGCGATGTCGCCGGCCATGGAGGCGATGCGGAAGGAGGCGCGGTCGGAAATGCGCTTGATGGCCTCGGCAACCTTGCCATTGGGGCCGTCAAAGGTCCTCTCGTCCTTGACGTAGAGGTCCTCGGTGTTCTCGCGGACAATGACCATGTCAATGGGCTTGATGGCCGTCCCGACGGACTTGACGGGTCGGACGTTGGCGTACAGGTCGAGCTTCTTGCGCAGGGCGACAATCGGGGAGGAGTAGCCCTTGACGGCCTGGGTGGGGGAGCTCACGGCACCGAAGAGGGCGCCATCGCACTCGCTCTTGAGGACCTCGACGGTCTTGTCAGGAAGAGCCGCCCCGGTCTGCTCGAAGGTCTCGAAGCCGGCCTTGAGGTCGACAAAGTCGAACTTGAGGTTGAGGGAAGCCGGGAGAGCTTCGAGGATTCGGCGGCCGGCAGGAATGACTTCCTTGCCGATACCGTCACCGGGGATCAGACCTGTACCACGAGGGCAACACCCAAAGTCAGAAATCCGGGGTTCTTTCTATAGCCGATTGGTTCCTCGGGTGGTGCTTTCTTACCAATTCTCAGAGTACGAAACGACATTCTGGCGTGGCGGGTCAATTGACTAAACGTGCACAGTTGGATCGGATACTTGGTCGGTTCCTGGACGCCGAAGATCGGGCCTCAGACTGGACGAGAAAAAAAAATGGCGGCGGAGGGGCATTAGGTAAGCCGAGGCTGGCTACCGTGGTCTCAGGGCAGGTACTTTGGATTCTACAGGGAGCAAGGCCAGCAATTTGGTGTGGCGGGGTGCTTCCAAGGCCTGTAAGTACCGCCAAAGTACCGGCGGAGGCTTTTTGCCAGCATCAATTCGTTTATTCCACTTTACAGCGCCCGATGCTCCATATTGGCAATAGTAAAGTGAGCATCACCCCATTGCACGCTGCATCAATTAAACAAATCATCGCATGCCACATGCTCCTCGTAACTGCTGCTTGGAAGCCCGCGTGTGTCCTCGTGCAGTCGGATCCCCAGATTAGGATTTCTTTTTATGCTATGTACAAGAATAGCATGCATGAACATGAACATGCAAGGCGGCTGGGATGGGTCAGCTAGGGAACAAGCAAGGCTTCTGGAAATTGAAACGTCGAGCAGGTCCCCTACATTCACAAGTTTCATGCCCACCCCAGTTTCATGCGACATCCACATCCACCTTTCGATCCCTCGGCTTGGTCTTGAGTCTGGAGTCAGCGACGTGAGCTATGACATTCCAAGCTACAGGAACCGTCTTATTTTTCGTCTGAAATGACTAGCGAGAGGTTGTTGTTGCCCAACAAGCCAGCCAGTATGGAGGGCAGCCCGAGACAAGAGGGTCACTTATTGGACGGAGAACGGCCTGGTTTGGTGCATGAATCGCCGTGGAGGACAGCTCCTACATGGTGCGACCCCGTACGGCTACTGGCAGCCCCCGTGTAATATCAAATGCTGTGCTGCATCTGGCAGTCGTCGCTGCTGTGGTAGCACAAGTACAGCCTGCGTCGATCGCTGGCAGCATTGATGATGTTGAGTTAGGTAGGCAATAGGCTGAGAGAGGAGAGGCGGAGGTACTATCTATCGTAGGGGTTTCCGGCCTACCTTACCCAACCAAGCCCGGGAAGTGAGACGGGAGGACGGGCTCAGTGGATTATAATAGAAACAATATCTCGCCTCCGCTATAGCTGCATAGCACGCACGAGTGTATCGATGTCGATGCCAGCTGCATAAGGATACGTCAGAGCGGAAGCAAGTAGCTACCATCCATAGCTACCTGGGAAGGCATCCATGGCTGGAGATGAATCTCCCACTGTAATAATTAACATCCTGGCTCTCAGGCTGTAGCGTCCTCGGTAGCGTTGGTGCCGGTGGCAGGTAGGCGGCTGGCAGGTACCTGGCCGGTCTCCTAACACACCACCCCACCTGCTGTCGCCAGAAGGTAGCTACCCCTGATTTTCCTCGTTCCTCACTTTTATTAATGCTGGCTGGGCGGCTCCGGGAAGATCCCGTCCAGCACCACCTCATAAACCAGTCCTCCAGTCCATCCTGTCAGAAGCGTCGTCGTGTCCTCTCTCGACTGCCAGCATAAACCACCATACGCAGGACCGCCCCCAAGCGTGGCCATCACCATCATTCGCGGCCGCCGAGTCCCCATCCTGCCTCGCTCTTACATGCATACATTGCTCCATATATCACAGCACTACACTGCACCGCGACTGAGCACAGCACAGCAACGCACGCACCCGCCGACCTGCCGCGCAGCACTGCCATTGTCAGTCACTCACGCACCAGCTTGCCGAGGACAGAGCTAGCTGTGGCCTGCCCGCTTTTTCGCTGCTCAAATACCCGTCTAGCTCGCCGTCGGATACTGTAGCGACGCCACAATCAAACAAAACACACGCGCTTAGCCAAACCGGTCTCTGGCAGACCAACGGACCCAACGCAGCCCAACCCCAGGCCCAAGCCCAGAGCAAAGCAAGCAAGGCTCGTCCAAAAGTTGCCCCGATCGCTCCAGCCCGCGTCTTGCCCGTCGCGCACGCGTCTGGACCGACGCCTTCTCACTCACCCTCCTCTCCTTTGGCCTGATCTGTCTTTTTTTTTTCTCTCAGTAACTCCAGAGCTTCGAAATCATGAGCGGGGTCAAGAACCTGCGCGCCATGTTTGAGAACAAAGGGGACGACCCGAGTCCTCCTGACCGCGGGAGATCTCCTGGCATACCAGGTGCGTAACGCATGATGCGTCTTGAATGTCCAACTGTCCAATTCCTGCTGCTCCAATTCTTTTCTTTTGTCTCTCCTGCCACGCCGCCCTGCAGCTTTGACCCTTCGTGTCTTACCACGCCATATCCACAATGGTCGTGTATAAGACAAATATCCTTCCTCCGACGCTTCAAAGCTTCCTCTCCTTTCCCCGTTCCAGCTGGGTACCCCTCCATCACAGTCCAACTAGCCTGTTTTCTTGTTGCCACTACCTCCCTCGTCAAACCTTCCCTGTTTACTCGGTCTGGTCCAAGCTAACTCGACCTCTTCCCCCCCCAAAGGCAACAGCGGCTCAAATTCTCCTCGACCTCTCTCAAAGGTACGATCCAGCTTTGTAGCTATCGAAAAGGACGGCGTGATTGGTCTACGGAGGGATCCAAGCTACGAGCCTAGTCCCTCAAGACGCCCTCCCAGTACCGACATGGAGACCGCCTCAAATTCATCGGTGATTGGTGCCGATGACACATACAAGACCCCTCGCAAGCGCTTTGGAAACGATCCTATCCCCGAGTCGCCTCGAGATATTTCAGCTCCAATTGGCAGGGATGCCTTTCAAGAGAAGCTCGCTGCTGTAGCCGAGAAGTCAAACTCCAAACCCGAAAAGCCAGTGGAAGAAGAGCCTGCCAAGCCTGTCGAGAAGCCAGAGCCCGTCGAGAAGCCAGAGCCCGTGAAGCTAGAGCCTGCAAAACCCGTGGGAAAGCCTGTTGAAAAGTCTGTTGAAAAGCCCGTTGCTGCGGCTGCACCTATCACGAAGCCAGCACCCGCAAAGCCTGCTGTTGCAGCAACACGTGCAAGGTCGAATTCTCCAGTCAAAACTTCTGCTCCTACAGAGAAGGCCAAGCCTATTGCGAAGGACGCTTCAAAGGAGAACGAGAAGCCGAAGGGACAGGCCAGACTGGCTGTTGCGAAACCAGCGGTTGTCAGGAAAGCTGCCTCCACGATTGGTCTTGCAGCGGCCAACAAGTCAGCGGCCCCTACGAAATCAGCAGCCAAAGCCCAAGCCGGACCTACAAAATCAACTCACTCGACCACAGCAAAACTTTCAGATGCCAAACCCACATCCCGACTGGCTGAACGCGCCGCAGCAAGGAAACCGGCAACCACCACGACCAGCACCACCAATGCCAGCAAAACCACGAGGCCCCCTCCCCTCAAACCCACCCAGGCTTCCGACACGGGATTTGTCAAGCCAAAGCCCAAGTCACCAACCAAGCCCGTCAGTTTGCCAGCATCCTTGACTGCACCCACAGCTTCCTCAGTGTCCAAGGGGAACGCCGCACGGGGACAACCCAAATCTTCACTGCAAGCCCCTACGACCACAAACCGAGCTCCTAGCAGGACGAGTGTGACAGGCTCGGGAACGACAAGCAAGCCAACGAAACAGCCTTCCACCACCACCCGAAGCCGACCCAGCCTCGGCGTACCTCCCAAAAAGGTAGAGCCAGAAGCAGCCCCAAGGCGAGAGTCCCATGTCGACGAAGGTTTCCTGGCCCGTATGATGAGACCGACTCAGGCCTCATCCTCCAAGACGACCGAGAAGGTGCCCTTGACGCCGCCCAAGAAAACCACCCATTGGGTTCCGTCGAACGGCGCCAGCGGCTCCCGGCGAAGCAGCAGTGTCAGGGCAAGCACCCAGCCTGGATCGCCGTCTACGGCACGCAGCGTTGGATCCAACGCGGAGGACTCCTCACTTCTGGCTGTAGATGAGTCGGCACTAGAAATTGAAGAGCCTGAGCCTGCCGATCCAGCTCCAGCAAAGCAGACCGCCAAGGCTGTCGAGGTGGCCCCCGTGAAAGAGCCCAAGATCAACGCCCCTAAAGCTGAAGTGAAGCCCGAACCCGAGGTCGAGGCCAAGCCGGAACTCAAGGTGGAAGCGACCCCTGAGCCCGAGGTCAAGCCAAAGGTCGAGATCAAGTCTGAGCCCGAGCCTGAGATTAAGGTCGAGCCTGAAGTTGAGGAGGCCAAGCCTGAGCCTAAGATCGAGGAGGTCAAGCCGGAACCTGAGGTAGAAATTAAGACGGAACCGGAAGTCGAGATCAAGTCTGAGCCTGAAGTCAAGCCTACGCCCGAACCTGAGGCCAAGCCTGAGCCCGTGCCGGAGGTAGAAGCCAAGCCTAAACCTGAGCCTGAGGTGGAAGTCAAGACCGAGCCTGAAGTTGAAGTCAAGGCTGAGCCAGATGTTGAGACCAAGGCCGAACCTGAGGTCGAAATCAAACCCGAAGCTGAAGTCAAGCCCGAGGTTGCCATCACCTCTGATGCTGAGGTCAAGCCCGAACCCCAGCTGCCCTCCGCTGACGAGAAGACGGCCGACTCTACCGCCCAGCCAGACACTGGCAAGGATAGCATAAGTGCTCCCCTTCCAATCGAAGAAGAGCAGACGACCCTTACTGAAGAGAAGAAGCCCGAGGCTAGTGAAGTGTCTGCAGCTGCTTCATGAGCCTGAGTTTGATCAAGTGACGGAGCATACATTTCGACGGTGGAGGTGCAGCACGGCCAGGTAAGGCAAGGCGTTGTGATTAAGATACCTATAGAGCGATGGCGCACTCTGTGAATTTGAAAACACAAAATTGATTTCTACCTGTATCTATTTATTCTACTTACTCTTTCTACTTCTTGTTCCTGTTCTTCTACTTCTGTTTCTTCTTCTCTACTCCTAGTTCTTAGTGCAGCGGTTCGTCACATCCCACGCTGTACATGGAACTGAATGGACGTGCCTTTTTCTACAAGCTGGAGGCTTGATTACAATGTGTTTTAATAATCATTGCTAGGAACCATTGGCCTGGAGGGTCTCCTTTTACTGTATATAATTGTACATAATCATCTTTTTTAATTCTTTACAGCGTATGATACATTATCAAACCAACCACCACATCCCCGCCGCAGCAGTGTAGAAACCTCATGACGCCCGGCATATCAAGACGCCTCCCACTTTCCGCGCCAGCGCCTCCCTGGCCTCGAGGACCCCCTTATCGGTGCCCACGTACATGCACTCCCCGAGGTTCAGCCCTTGCACGACGCCGCCGTCCAGCTTGGCGGAGAACCCCCTCGTCAGCTTGGCGAGCTGGTCGATCCCCACGGTCATGATGCGCTTCGGCGTGCTGATCATGGTGACGCTGGACAGCACGGGCTTCCCGTCCCAGTACTTCATGCCGAGCCAGAGCCGCATGCGGGCGGCGTTGAGGTTGGTGACGACCTCGGGCTCCTTGGAGACCATGTCCTCGAGCGTGGGCGGGGTGGGACCGCCGCGGTAGACGTTTGAGATGAAGCCGGAGCGGTGGAGGGCGAGGGCGAGGCGCATGTTGTATTTTGTGTTCTTGACGGATGTGATGCCCAGGCGGGCCTTGGAGACGTTGCGGAGGTGGGAGGCCATGTTGGCCACGTTTAGGATGGAGGGCATTGTGGGCGGTTTAGGAGTTTAGGGGCCCGGAGAGGTCAATTCGGTTCGGTTTCGGGGTGGGTGAATTGACAGCCCGGGTACGATGGCCAGTTCGGGATCTGGTGGGCTGGCGAGGTCGGATGTGTTCGATGGTCGCCTGCGAAGCATTAGCATTCGAGAGGTCGTATGTTTTCAAGCCGTAGAGAGACGCACCTTTGTCAATCCAGATGTCTCCGTATAATTAAAAGTATATCCTCCCGCCACGAAAGGGTATCAGGACTGGAAGTGGCGCGGATGGGCTGTTCACACTACCTCTTCGACGTCGATCGCGAATCGCAGCCAAAATTTCGATGTTAGAGTCAGACGCAGCATCAAAAACGAAGGATGACTAAGCCCCCATTGAGGATGTGCCCAGCCAATTGGGAGGCCATCCACTGCCCCACCTTCTGCCCTTCTACATGAGGTTCTTTGATAGCATCACGAGTGAATGAACGGAAATAAATATATGGCTGAAACAAATTTGGTGTCAATTTTAGAAGGGAGTAGCGTGCTAGTCTATATGTCAAATTTCGCCTATATCTCAATCACCAGTCGCCCAAAATAACATCAATTCCCTTAACGGCGTTGGAACAACGCCTTAAAGATGCCCCTGAAGCATTTCCGGTGTCTATAACCCCAGTACGCAAGTGTGCCAATGAAGGGGCTGGCAACTAGTGACAGGAAGCATCGCACGAGGATCCGGCCCTGGTGATCGCTCCTGCGCACAATCTCGCTGTAGCCCTCGTTGCTGAAGCTGACCCTGGCATACTTGGTCTGCCAGCCCATGCTCGGGAAATAAACGCTCACAGACTCCTCGAGGAATTTTCGGAGGCGGTAGCGATAGGACAGAACCGACGCCCGCATCTCAACGTAGTTCTGCAGGGCGAGGTCGTTGATGGCGTAGGCGTCGGCAGCTCGCACGGAGGAGTACTCGGCCAGTGCCTGCATCCTGGCGCCAACAGCTGGGTTTTCGTCGTCTCCAACGGGGCTGTTCCTCTCGTTGAGACTGGCGTGCTTGTCCAGAATCGAGAATAAGATCCGGACGTCCTCCATGCCTGCGTTCATGCCCTGGCCATAAAAGGGTACCATGGCGTGTGCAGCGTCGCCAATGACTACACCGGATGCGCCGTAGTGGTAGGGCCGGCATTTGACGCTGATCAGTGGCAGGTGCGGGTTGGTTGTGAATGATTCCACGAGTTCTTTGCCTGGTATCAGGGATGTGACTCCCGGGAAGTGCTGGTCGAAGAAAGCTGGTAGCGAGGATGGGTCGCTTTCTAGGTAGGCAAACTCCTTGCTAGGCATGAAGAGCGTGCATGTGAATGAGCCATCCTAGAATACCACGTTAGAAGACTGTTTCGAAAAGAGATAAATCGATACTCACTTCGCTGGGGATAGCAATGAACATGAATTCCTTGCCGGGCCAGATGTGCAGATGATTTGGAGATATCAGGAACTTGTCTGATGGGTTCTGGGAGGCTGTGGCAACCTGGCGCGGCCCTAGGTTGAATTCGCACCACAGAGTATCAATATACTCTTGCTGGTAGTCCATGCGCGTAAACTTCATCAAGTGGTAGCGGACCGCAGAGTGGGCGCCATCGGCCCCGATCATGAGGTCAAAGTCGATTTCAATTTCCCTGGGGCGTCCATTGGCGGGGTTCTTTTGATCGCGGACTTCAAACCAAGCCTTCCGGCTACGGAAATCAGCACCAGTCAGTTTGTGGTTGAATAGTAACTTGACGTTTGGTAGACTGTCCAGAGTATCCAGGAGACGCTTGTTGAGGTCTGACCTGTCTATGGCATAGATAGACTAGTGATTCGCGTGAGCAATTGCTTCAATGGGACAGATAATGGTTGACTAGCTGAATGGAATCATGAATACGTACTCTTCCTTGGATGTCGTAATCCTGAGACTGCTCATACAGCTCACCATTGGGGAGCCTCCCATGAATCATGCGCCCCCTCATTGCGACGGTGTGGCTCATCACATGCTCGAGTATGGTGGCATGGCCAACATTACGCAAAGCATTGATGCCGCGTTCTGAGACAGCAAGGTTGATGGACCTTGTGAAGTTGAGTGGGATGGTGCCGGGATTGCGCAGATCTATTCGCGAGAAGGTTAACCGTGATCAGAGACAAGGCTAAATACCCCCGTTGAGTTTACACAACGGCGCGCCATAGTCTAGCATGCGCGCAACAAAAGGAAAATAAAATTAAATGTATCAAGCAAGATAGCAGGCTTCAATGACAGGATTTTGCGTTCATGAAGCGGGCTGGAAACGGAGACGGAGCACGCGACAATTTTGCAACACCAAGTCCAGGTCCACCTGTGATGTGCGCACTCAGAAAGACAAACAACGTACCTGGTCGTAACTCGTACAACTCAACCTGGTAGCCTCTCTCTGCGGCATAAAGAGCAGCCAGAGACCCGACTGGTCCGGCGCCAACAATGGCTATTTTCTGCGCTGGGGCAGCCATGGAGGTTGAGCAGGGCTCCTACGGTCCTAGTCGTACGATTTCAGTGAAGAGGACGGATGGTTTCAGCGAGAGTGAAAAGAAAAGAAACGGGCTAGTTGAGGACGGTTGTAGCGCATAGTCTATTGCTAGTAGTGATCTGGGGTTGAGGGGATTATAAATTAACCAGACGGGCGAAAGCAAAGGGAACGGAAGGCATGGATGTCCTTGGCTGTCACACGGGGAACAGCCATATCACTTGCCCTCCGTAACCGGTTCTGCGTTCCATTTGACCTAGACTGACTCAACCAGCGAATTAGTTGGTTGCCACCCGTTGTAGGGAAATTCTCGAAAGGCTGCACGGATGGATGAATAATTATTCAGAAGCCTTCTAACAGAACAGAGACACGTGTGGGGGGAACCTCCGCTAACCCGGTCCTGTTAGTGGTCCCAAGCCTCAACCACCGCTAAACTCTAGAGTGCTGGAAGTTGGTGCGTGTAAATCAGAAATATCCCTGTCGGCGGTGTTATGAACCGATCCATAAAACGGAACCCTTTTGAATCTGAGACCAGCCAAGTCCAATTGTGTAGATAGTGAGAGCCGTCTGTAGATGCTGTACATATATAAATGCGTGTTGCCATGGGACGGAGACACAACATCCTGTCACCATCAGATCTGACCTGTTTGTTCTCGGGCAACTCGCCATGCGAGATCAATTGGCCCCACCATGACAACGGCAGCGATGGAGGGAGGGGCAATTCTCCGTCTTGGTTTTCGATTTTTGATTATTTATTTTTATTTTGGGAAACACATTTCGCGGAGCTCTCCTCCAAACTTGCACGCCTAGACGACCAGCTATCTCCCCGCGGGTGATTTCCTCCCTCCTTGCCGACACTGCTGTTACTTTTGCGCATTCTCCAATCCGCTATCGCCATGACTTCTGAGCCTCCCACCAAGAAGAAGTGCCTGGGCGTCGACTGCCCCAATGACGCCGGCTCCCTGCAGTGCCCGACCTGCTTGAAGCTGGGTATCAAGGATAGCTTCTTTTGTACTCAGGACTGCTTCAAGAAGAACTGGGTATGAGCAAGCCTGGCCAGTACCATCTACATCGCCCATTCACATCCCATGTGGGTGCATGGTGCTCCGATTCCGATCTCTCCAGTCTAACATACTTTCCACAGAGTGACCACAAGGTGTTACACAAGACCCTCGGTAGAAAGCTCCCATCTCCTTGCTCAAGTGCCGTTATCTAACACACTACACCCCTTCCTAGGCGCTGCGACGTACGATCCGTTCCCCAACTTCCACTACTCCGGGTCGCTCCGTGCAGCCTATCCGCTCTCTCCCCACCGAACGCTCCCCAAGTCCATCCCGCATCCCGTGTGGTGGGAGGATGGCAATCCCAAGTACAGCCGCTCCATTATCAACCGGAACAAGATTGATATCCTCGATGCCAAGGGTCAGGCTGCTATGCGCAAGAGCTGCAAGCTCGCCCGTGAGGTTCTCGACCTCGCAGCCGCTGCGGCCAAGCCTGGTGTAACGACCGACGAGATCGACAGGATCGTACACGAGGCCTGTATCGAGAGAAATGTGTGTTTGTCCTAACTGTCTCGTCCAGTCCGGGGACCTCTGTCTCCGCTTACGATTGCTACTGGCCAAGCCTGCTAACCGCGGCCCTTGCTCAAGTCCTACCCTTCGCCGCTGAACTACAACCACTTCCCCAAGTCATGCTGTACCTCTGTAAACGAAGTGATCTGCCACGGCATTCCCGATCAGCGCCCCTTGGTTGACGGCGACATCCTCAATATCGACGTTTCCCTCTTCCACGAGGGCTACCATGCCGACCTGAACGAGACCTACTACATCGGCGACAAGTCGAAGGCGGATCCCGACAACGTGCGCGTCGTCGAGGCGGCCCGCGAGTGTCTCGACGAGGCCATCAAGGCCGTCAAGCCAGGAACCCTGATCCGAGAGTTTGGCAACATCATCGAGAAGCACGCCAAGACCAAGAACTGCAGCGTCATCCGAACGTACTGCGGCCACGGCGTGAACACCCTGTTCCACTGCCCCCCCAACGTGCCTCACTACGCCAAGAACAAGACGGTCGGCGAGTGCAAGCCCGGAATGACATTCACGATCGAGCCCATGATCGCGCTCGGCAAGTACCGGGACATCACTTGGCCAGATAACTGGACCAGCACGACGATTGATGGAAAGCGCACCGCGCAATTCGGTAAAGACCACACGGCCCCTCCCCCCACACGCACCCACATTGCCCTCGCGATGCTCTCACATTCAGGTACACATGGACTACGCATGCTAACTACAAGTTCATAGAGCACACGCTTTTGGTAACAGAGACCGGCGTCGAGATCCTGACGGCAAGAAATGCAGACTCTCCTGGCGGTCCTGTCCCAATGCCCGGGACTGAGGAGGCGAAGAGCGAGGCATAAGCCCACCCTGCGCTCAATAATCTAGCATTGTAGAAACCAAGCAAAGAAAAACAGCAGAAAAGACTATAGAAATCACAAGTCAGGACTTGGGTGACTGAAAATGTGGTGACAGATATGCTAACCCCACTCGCACATGTACATGTAGACAAAGTGCGTCACACCACACATGGCTAAAAATGAACTTGTCAGCACTCTGTCTGATCCTGTGCACGCGGACTGCATATCGACGGCAGAGGCGCCGGGCTTGATTACTGAAATCTGGCCTGATGTGTTGTTACACCTGCTAACCCTGCCCTGTATATATGTATGTATGTATGTGTGTGTGTAGACTACGTGTTCAGCTTCTGCGATGTTTGCCCCTGCCCCCCCCGGCGTCCATTGGCGATGATACTCGAGTGCCGTTGACGAGACCGAGGGGCGAGCCGTTTGTGAGCGGCCGTGCTGGCTGACGGCGCAGAGCAACGTGCGGCCTGTGGCGATCAACCTGCACTGACTTGGCGTGGCGGGAAGCTTGGTAGGGCATGTGCCTAGCGTGCGATGTCATCATCTCGTCCCGACTTGGGTGGGCAGGCAATCGAGGGAAATTTCTGGCCAACCACCGGGCGGGCGCACTGGAGCTGCCCAGCTGCGGCGCTGTTGAAAACGACGACAGCGGGTAAGGTTAGGTGAGGTGCACCTGGAGGTACGGCGACAGGTACTTGGCGTGGCTGCAGGCGGTACATTGGGGCGGGACACCGGTGGTGCATGGGCGCACCTGTCTGACAGCCCCCCGGTCAGTGGTGACCGAAAAGCACCAACCACCGGCCGAGCAATGAACCACTGTGGCCAACTCTAGCGCGCCAGCGGCGACCCGGCCGCAGCGACACTTGTACCTGGGCCTCTCCAACACGTACTGCTTATGTCCTGTCCGACTCCACACGGCCTGCTGCTACCTGTAACCGACAGCACTCACCAGCACCACCACCAGTCCGTTGCCAGCCTAGCCTACCACCGCATCAAGCCTTCTCTCGCTGGTTCTTCCTAGCTCTTCCTCCTTCTTCTCCCCCGCCACCCCTCCGGTATCAAGCCTCGTCACAAGTCAAGAGCCCTCGACCAAGCTGAGCCTGTTGATCGCTTCACCTCCCTGTCGCTGGCCTCTCCCTCAAGCCACATTTCCTCCCACCCGAGAACCCTCCTGCTGTGACGCCTCCTTTCAAGACGACCCTCTGCACAACCACATCCGGCTTATCGCTACGTATCATCATCCGGCCTCTCTGACCTCGCGCGCCACGTCCGGATCCTCGTCGTACAGCTTCACCTTTACATCAATCTCCCCCCGTCTCACCACAACACCGGTCCAATGATGTCTGGCGAAGCATGGCTGTTTTTGCTGGCGGTGCTGGTTAACGCCGTCAACCTGTTCCTGCAGGTCTTCTTCACCATCATGTACAGCGATCTGGAATGGTACGCACCGCATCACCAGCTCTCCGCGGCTCGGCAGCGCGCGGCTTCCTGGCCCCGGGCTACCCTGCCGTGCTCTCGTGTCTGTATGCGCAACTAACTGAGCGTTCTTAGCGACTACACAAACCCCATCGACCTTTGCAAGAACCTCAACAAGTACATCATTCCCGAAGCCGCCGTCCATGGATTCCTCACCTTCCTGTTCCTTATCAATGGCTACTGGGTACCTTTGATCCTGAATCTGCCGCTCCTCGGATGGAATGCGAACAAGTACGGCCTTCCGCCCAGTCTACCACGCAAGTCCTTGTTCGTCTTGCTAACTAAAGCTCCAACAGGATCATCAATAACACCCATTTTCTTGACGCAACTGAGATCTTCCGAAAGCTAAATGTCCACAAGAAGGTGAGACACCTGTCCTCGCCCTCTTCCGTAGATGTGCGGAGGCTAACGAAAAAATCCAGGAATCTTTCTTCAAGCTCGGCTTCCACCTCGTCATGTTCTTCTTCTACCTCTACAGCATGATTGTCGCTCTTATCCGTGACGAGTCCTCCTAAACGGCTCCGGTTCGCCACGCCGACGCTCTAACACACTCACGATTTAGACGGCGTTCGGTTTGGGTATTTGCAACAAATGTATGCTAGGTGAAAACCCCTCCCCGAGAAAATCCTCGCTGAGGTCAGGCGGGGGGTTGCAGTAATGGCGCGCAGAGGAACGATGGGAGCACAAAGCACATGATGGATGTTCGGGTATATTCTGTTTAAAGAGCATGATGAGCAACGTCACGGCGAAATGGGGTGTAGCAAATTAGCACAGAGTAGGGGCCGGGTTATCTTCTTTGGGACACAGGATCTCTTGGGGCGCATTCATCTCCGGCACAGCTTCTTTTTCGGCTCAGTGGTGGACCGTGAATTCTCACTTGCAGAACTATGTGACTACTGGGACTGGGTAGAGAGAGACTGTCACCATGGACTAATAATACATAAAAAATATATAAACCTGTATTTGGATCTTTCCAAGTTCTGTTCTTTCAAACTAAAATGAAGCAAGAAACAGTCACAATGATATCAAAATAAGTAAAAGAATAGAAAACCACAGGAGGAAAAACCGCATGTCCTTATGTCTCACGAACCTTGCTTTGACCCTGCAAGCTTGTGATATCCAAAGATGACATCGCAAAAAATCTTGGAAATGGTCACGTGACGCTTGACACTTTCTAGTAGGCGCGCTCAGGCGCCGCATCGCGTCGCTTGCATCGCATCCCCCGACCATTATCCTCAACCTACATCCGACGGCGGTGACGACGACGAGCGCAATGGCAGACTTCGGAGAATACCCGCCCAATATGGCGCCGCAAGATGCGCTGGTGGTGCGCCAGCAGGCCGAGGCCGACCACGCGGTTGTGCCATACTCGGCAGAGGATCTCTCGAGACCCGCGGCCGGGCCTCTGAACCCTTTCCGGGATCAGACGACGGCCCTGAAGCGCAAAAACGTCCTCACGGGACATGCTGAGGAGACTTTCATCAGCGAGCACACATTCCGCGCCAAGCACCGGGCGGTGGAGGGCAGGGGCGGGCCCGAGCGAGAGTATCAGACCAACCGGGAGCTCAAGGCCGAGGCTGCGAAGATCCGAGCGACGAGAGAAGGCAAGGGGAACGCCATGATTGCCGAGGGGGCTGGCGCCTACGTGGGGCCCTGGGCGAAGTACAAGCAAAAGGAATACGAGATTGTCGATGAGGACCACGAGCTCGCTAGCGACGAGGAGTATGAGATTGTTGAGGAAGAGGAGGGCGACGACGAGGTTATAGAGAGCGGCACGGTCCTCCAGGCGCCTAGCGGCGCTCTTGCGCGCCGGGAAGCAGAGGAAGCGCTCGGCGACGAGACGTCGACGTTCCACGGCGCCGAGGAGCACGACTACCAGGGCAGGACCTACATGCACGTTCCCCAGGACCTCGAGATCAACCTGCGCAAGGAGGTTGGCAGCATCAAGAACTACATACCCCAGAAGCAAATCTTCTCCTGGAAAGAGCACACCAAGTCGGCCGCCAAGGCCGTCACGGCCCTGCGCTTCTTCCCCAACTCGGGCCACTTATTCCTGTCGGCTGGTGCTGATGCCACTGTCAAGATCTGGGACTTTTATCACGAGAGGGAGCTCCTCCGGACGTACTCGGGCCATTCCAAAGCCGTGTCGGACATTTGCTTCAACACCGATGGCACTCAGTTCCTCACCGCATCTTATGATCGCATGATGAAACTCTGGGACACGGAGACTGGCAAGTGCCTCAACAGATTCACGACGGGGAAGACGCCGCATGTTATCAAATTCAATCCAGACCCCGAGCACTCGAATGAGTTCCTTGCAGGCATGTCTGACAAGAAGATTGTGCAATTCGATATCAGGAAGCCCAGCGAGACGATCCAGGAGTACGACCACCACTTGGCGGCCATCAACACGATTGTGTTTGTGGACAACAACCGGCGGTTCATGACGACCTCGGACGACAAGTCGCTCCGCGCCTGGGACTACAACATCCCCGTGCCCATCAAGTACATCGCCGAGCCCGACATGTACCCCATGACGCGGGCCGCCTCCCACCCGAGCGGCAAGTACGTCGCCTACCAGAGCTCCGACAACCAGATCCTCGTCTACGGCGCCAACGAGAAGTTCCGCCAGAACAGGAAGAAGAGCTACAGAGGGCATAACAACGCGGGCATGGCCATCGACCTCGAGTGCTCGCCCGACGGGCAGTTCCTCGCATCGGGCGACTCGGCGGGCTACGTGTGCTTCTGGGACTGGAAGACGTGCAAGATGTACCACAAGCTCAAGGCGGGCACGCAGGCCGCCACGTGCGTCCAGTGGCATCCTCAGGAGACGAGCAAGGTCATCACGGCCGGGCTGGATGGCGAGATCAGGCTTTGGGATTAGAGGCGAACCGTTGGGACAAAAAAAAAAAAGACGAAATTGTAATAGTTATTATTGAATTGCATAGCATGGCGTTATTTATGAATAGAGTAAAAAAAAATGAGACGGCAGAATCTCGTCTTGGGGTACACACAAAGGTCCCATTGCGAGGGCAGCCCAGGATTTGAGAAATCTAGAATTGGGGTTTTCCTGTGTCTTTGAGTGCCCATGTGTTCCTTGCTTTACCGAACAGCTTGGTCAACGAACATACCAGTGGCCTTTGGCATGATCGCCGATGAGGCATCCGTTAGGACAATGAGACCAGACACGCTGCTTGTTTATAAATTCTGTATAGTCTCGCTAGCGGTACTGGAAATAAGGGGCGGTGGTTTGTTGACAAATCAAGAGCATGTCCTACATCCTTGGTCTTGGCGAGAATCAGGAGTACGCGTGCTTCTCATGATAAGTGCACACAGTAGTAGTAGACTGGGTAATCTGAAGAGGGTAAAAATGAAGGTCGGAGTTTTTAATCCAGGAAGCTAATGTTATGTATATCGATTAAACAACACAGAAAGTTCAGCACTACAAGTGTTAACCACAAGAGCAGTTCTTTGGCTGCAGGCTACCCTATGCATGTGCTGAGCAACAGACTTCTCTCAGTTGGAGCACTAGAAGTGTCCCAATATAGACGCTGTAAAGATATATTCCATGGATTATTATATGAGTATATGTTAATTAGTGTATTTTCTACTCCAAGCTCGCATAGATAATGTTATCATAGGCCAAAGGACCATCATAGTTTTAAATGGCCATTCACCGTTCTCCGATTACGCTTTGTTCAATCTTATTCCCGAACCTACCCCACACGAGACGTGCCTCGGTCCCCACTTTGACCGTGGAGAATGCGGGGGAGCAGCCGCCAGCCAATCACGTTCTTCTTGGCCTCCAACTCGAGCTCTGAGTGGGATGTATTATATGTATAAAAACTCTGGATGGAACCGATTTGTAGAGCGGGGACGATGAATCGGGGGACTGGTCTCCAATGGGATCGCCATTATAGTCCCCATCTGCGTGCACAGACAGAAATATCGAGCAAAGGTGAAGGTACGCCGGAAATCGCAACTCCAGGAAACCGGTGAGGTGGTGTGGAGAAGAGTATCTCAGCTCTAGCCTCTGTTCCGGGTAATGACATCCGTTTGCCTTGGGATCCCCCCAGCTATCAGAAGCAAATGACGCTGGATTATCAATACGTGAGACGTGGATCCTCCGGTGGAAACATCCGGGGTGCTCCGGCTCGGAGGCACCATACACACCTTGTCCCCAGATGCAATTAGATGCCAATAGTCTGTTCGTGGGAGCTCAACCCCATACCCCGCAGTTTCAGTCCATGGAGACGGCCGAAGACCGTTTCATCCTGTTTTCCCTTCTCCCCCATCCCCTCTCCGATGCTCCATTGTTGGCCTCGTCTCCTCTCCAGCGCTTCTCCCTACGACATCCCCAGCACAGGCGCCTTTGGCTTCACCGCTGAGCTGCAATGACATCTACCGTGGTGTCTACCGTGACAGCCGCGGCCGCGACCTCGGCTCCGGCGCCAGCCCCCTCGACAGACAACCCCAAGCCGAGATCCCAAACAAAGACCAGGAAGAGGGCCTCCAAGGCCTGCCTCTCCTGCCGCGCCAGAAAAGTCCGCTGCGATGTGTCGCAACGAGGACGCCCGTGCATGAACTGCTACCTGGATAGCGAGACCTGTGTTGTTACCGGACGAGCCTCTAGATAGTACGTCGCATGCTGTTTGTTGCCATCGTCGAGCCAATTGCCCTCTCTGATCGCTAATATTATATCGTCGTAGTCGCCGTCCACGCGAGTCCGGTGAGGATGTCGAGGCCTCGTATCCTCCGTACCCCCCTTCCGTCAATGCCGATAGTCGTTCTGCTGAGGATGTCGTCAAGTCGAGACAAGATGAGACCACTGACTACGCGATGGCTTCTGCGATCGACCAACGACCGGTCCATCACTCCAATACAGAATTGAACTCTGGGAACCACAACCATGTGTGTTCAAATCCTGGCGCAGATGAGAATCTCAGTCTGCCGACCACAAACTTGAAAGTACCCGCTCAAACAAGTCAAATGCCAGGTGAGTCCGCCCCTGGATATGGGAGCTAAGCAAAGGATACCCCAGCTTTAGATCTTCTCTATTTCTCTTTGAGGTTGACATTGGCGTTGTAGATCCTCAAGCTCGGAATAATGGTGGTGGCATACTCTCCAACGCCAACTTCAGCTCAACATCCCATTGCTTCGCAGATGACTCCCAGGGGATGACCTCGGACATTGTCTACTCATACTATCCCTTCATCTCGGCCAGCAACATTGCCAACATCCCACCGCAAGATGTCAACTTCCTGGAGCTCCAGGGCTGCCTGCGCGTACCGATCCGGCCTCTCCTCGACGAGTTCCTCCAGCAATACTTCCTGCACGTCCATCCCATGCTGCCTCTGGTCAACGAGGGAGACTTCTGGGACCTCTACAGCCAGAACCCAAAAGCCACATCCCCAGACGACCGCCTGTCTCTGCTCCTCCTGCAGACCATCCTCTTCGCCTCGTGCAACTTCGTCTCCAAGACGACCCTGAAAGCCCTCGGGTTCCCCAACATCCGCGCAGCCCGGGCCGGCCTCTACCGCCGCGGCAAGCTCCTGTACGACCTCGAGGCCGAGTCCTCGCCGCTGGCGTCGGCGCAGGCGGCCGTCCTCCTCTCCCTCTGGGCGCCGCCCTCGACCAAGAAGCCCAACACGTCGTGGCTCAGCCTGGCCATCCAGCACGCCAAGAGCGCCGAGGCGCACCACTACGCCTCCATGCCGGTCTTCTCGGCCGAGACGCACCCCCTCCAGCACCGCAAGCAGAACATCCTCAAGCGCGTGTGGTGGTGCTGCGTCATCCGCGACCGCACGCTGGGCCTGCTGATGCGGAGGCCCATCCAGATCACCCGCGAGCACTTCGACTTCGAGACGAGCCCCGTGTTGGGCTTCCCCGACCTGGTGGGCGAGTTCGGCCGCTCCCAGGTGTACAGCTCGGACACGAAGCGGTGGCTCGCCGAGATCCTCGTCCAGCTCGTTGAGCTGTACGTCGTCCTCACAGACATCATCGTGCTCGTCTTCCCGCTCGACGACACGCCCGGTTGGGGCAGGGACATGGCCCCCGAGGACGTTGACCGCATCCGCGAGTGCAAGATGGCCCTCCGCCGCTGGTACAAGGACGCGACGCTGCGCTTCCCCATGTCCGGCCGCGGCCAGCAGCAGCAGCAGGCTGAATCTCTGCCGTCATCGCGCCGCCACGGCTCCGTTATTCTGTACACCAACCTCATGTACATGTACTACCACTCGACCCGCGTCGTCCTCTGCCACCACGAGATCCTCCACCTGGCCATCATCCAGGCCATGCCGCGCAAGGAGGGCGGCAGCAACATCACCCGCGACCTGTCCATCATCTACGAGAACCGCCACGAGCTGCAGGACGCCGCCTCGGGCGTCACCGAGTGCCTCAAGGAGCTCGTCCAGCTCAAGCTCGCCCGCTGGCTGCCCATCTCCGCCGTCGCCTGCACCGCCCTGCCCCTCGTGCTCAACATCCTCGACGTCAAGCTGTCCAGCCGCCAGCAGCAGCAGCAACAGCAAGCAGGAGGAGGAGGAAACCTCGACAGCAACGCCGCCGCGGCGCTCAAGCAGCACCGCCTCAACATCCTCATCGAGGCCATGAAGACGTACCAGCCCCAGTACGACGGCGTCGACTGGGTGAGCGAGATCGTCCGCCACATCGTCAACCTCGCCCAGATCGACGACGGGTCGGCGGGCGAGGACGGCACCGGGGCCGGCCAGCAGCAGACGAACGGCATCACCGACTGGACCGACATACTCGCCTCGAACCCCAGCTCGTACCTCCGGCTGGCGCTGGCCCTCGACCTGAGCCTGAGTAAAGGCCGGTTGCCCGAGGACGGGGACTTCCCCGTCAGCCTGAGGGGCCTGTTCACGGGCGGGTTCAACCCGCTCAAGGGGCTCGTGGAGGCCAACCGGGCCAACGGCAACAACGTACAGGCTGCTGCCGGCGGGAACATGGGCGTTCACTTCCAGCAGCAGCAGCAGCAGCGGACGCTGTCCCAGGAGACAGACTCGATGTGCTCGCCCACCGACTCGCACATGACCACCAACTCGGACGACGCCGCCAACGAGGCGCTGCGGGACCAGGTGAGCTCGCGCATCAGGTCCGACGCCGCGGTGAACACGGACGTGCCGCCCTCGGAGGGGATCTGGGGCCTGGGGAGGGACCTGGGCGAGGTCCTGCCCATGGACGACCACTCGCCTAGCTCCGGCAGCCACGAGGGCCTGTACATCGACGGGCCCCTGCCGGACATCTCGGCGGAGTGGCTGGAGAACCTGTGGGATGAGATGGGGGACATGGAGGACAAGACGGATAGAGACACCGCGAGGCTGTTACTAGAGGCGTTGAAGGAGGGGGAGGCGTAAAAGATATAGATATGACTTGGGGAGTTTTTGGTTAAATTTATTATGAGACCCGGATGCTATAGAGCATTTTTTTTCTAGTTTCCGCTTCAGACAGAGCAGCAAAAAAATGAGTTGGATAAAAACATAATGCAAGAGAACCGCTGTGGCGAGAGACCGCTGTGGTGAGAGACCGCTGATCAACATCCCCATTCCCATTCCGAGGCGAAGCTGTCCATGCGACTTGTGTGGCAACCTGTTCGTCTTCTTGACTCCGTTCCGTACAGACACTCACTTGTAAACAGATCATATTCCCACCGGCAACAAACACCTTTCCCTTGCAATATCTCGATGAATAAGAAGAAGTCCCATGTAAAGATGAAAGAATCTCGCTTGCAGAAAGATAGGTATGTTCCCCCCCTTCTCCTCACCAAATGCTGCTCATGGAGATCTCCTCGTCGGTGAGACCAGCGCAGGCACCGCACAGGCAGCGGAACCCATAGTAGCGGTACAGATCTATAGGCCGAAGCCCGAACCCGTACGATATGGTGAGCTCGTCGCCGTCCTTGATGGGTTCCGCGCCCACGCTGAAGATCATGCAGCCCGTTGTTGGGTCGAAGCGGTACTCGAGGTTGTGGGAGGGCGCGCAGGCATGGTTGAACCTGGAGGCGACGGCGAAGAGACCCTGGCAATCTGGGTTGATGGAAAAGCTGCTTGAACGACTTGAGTTAGGATTAAGTGCTGGACTTGCAGGGCGGGAACATGGGGGATGTGAGAAGGACTGACCAGTTGGTTGACCAGATGGCCTCGACGGTCACGCGCTTGGGCTCAAAGTGGTTACTCGCATAAAGCTGGAGGAACACGTTTCTCGAACTTGCGTCAAGGCGTTGAAAGTCCCGGAACAGGCTATCGTAGTTGGAGCGGAGGATGGGCTGCTCCAACAGGACAACTTCACCTGGTGCGAGATCTCGGCGTGCGAAAGCGCCTACACCCGACATGGAGTACGGCCGGACTTCGAAACAGTCGTTCTCGAAGAGAAATCTACTGGACAATGACTCGACGATGTCTCTGGAGCTGAGGAGCTTCTGGCTCGAGTAGGGTCCTTCATCGATGTGCGCCAGGCTCCTTGCATCCTTATCACTGTTGTCATCGTCGATGTAGTCTGCTTCGTTGGCCGAGTCCTGGTCGCTGCTCGCGGCATCGCTAAAAGGAGCTGATGTAGATCTGAGGGAAAAGATGAGCTGTCAGACTGTGCATTTCAGAGGGCATAGTTGTTGCCAGAACAACCGTGTTAATGTCTTGTTTCGCTTACACAGTATCGCTGCTAGTTGATGAATACAGTCTGAAGCCATCCGCCAGCTCCTCATCGAGCAGAGATAGCGGAGTCCAGCTTTCATCCGACATGAGACCCAAGTCTAGGTCCCCGTAGGCGTTATCTGGCATGTTGGTTCGTTTGCTCGGAATAATGATGCTGAATAAGTCAAATATTGAAAGCGTTTAATCTTGCGTCCGGATTTGCCCTATTGATCATGAGAAAGAAGAGCTTTGGGGCGGTTTGGGTCCTCAGGAGGCTAAGTTGTAGGATATTGAAAATTTCACTCAACCGCAAACCTCCCAGGAAACCCGGGCTCATATAACTGAGCAAAAAGACATGCGAATCACTAAAATTTGGGTGCAAATGAGTTTCGGGAGTGTGTGCGGGTAGATGCATTCACATGCAAGGTTCCTGCTTGTGTAAGGGACCAGAGTGGGCTCTACGGCGCGCTGCTTGTTTGCTCTGCATCTATCCTAGCGAAAGCTGGAAACAAAGAGCAAGTGTGTTTTGTGTGAGACAAAAATTCCGAGCAGCTACTGATTGCTGGCATTGGTCAACTATTGTGCATATTTGGAGTTATCAACGCGGCTGGCAGGGGCGACGGGAGGATCGAAAGCTGCTGCTCCTTCGTACGAATAACTCACGACAAGGAAAGAGGTGGCGGGAAAGAATGACAATATTATCAAAATAGTACTGGTCCCGAGTTCCGTGTGCCATTCACCATCGCTAAAACTGAAATAATAATCATCAGGTCCCCTCCCAGAACAGAAACAAAGAAAGCGCCTACCCAATCATGACAGTACCGACCGCATATTGCCGACTTGTTGATATGGAAGTACATGAAACACTGCAGCCCCTAAGCGAGCGCCGCCGCCTCGGGCACCTTGGATGCGAGTTGCAGGCCATGTTTGCGAAGGCGGAAAGGGCATGTATCGCAGCACACGGAACACTTCAAAACATCAGGCCGTGGCCACAGCTTCCGGCACTTACAGACCCAGAATTCGCCACCAGTCTTGGTAGTCAAGGAGTCTGAGGGAGCGTGGAGCCCGGTGAGCAGCCCGCACTCGATACAGAACCGACGGAGGTATACCCCCATGACCTTGCTGAATGGTGATACGTCTCCTTTGACCACATATCCTTGTTCGTCTATGATTGCATGCTGAGCCTGGTTCGCGTCGAAAAGGTCTGGTGATCGGATCCGGAAGCAGATATAGCACTCGAAGTTTCCGGGATGGGGGTTTGAACCTCTCTCCTTGGGCCAGTGCTGGGGGAAATTCATTGCTCTCCCGACGAATTGCAGCATCTCTAATGGGTCTGCGAGGGTTTGGGGGACGACCGTCCGATGGAAGAACCGGCAGGTTGTTGACAAGCGGATGAGTGAGTGATAGTCCAGAGACGAGAATATCATTCTTCGGATCTCCCCCGGTAGTCGAGCCAGAGGGCCGGTCTTCCCAGGCGCTGGCACCTCGGTCTTAGGTTCCACTGCTGCGGCGGTCTCGCCATCGGCGGCGGGAGGCGCAACCTGCTTTAGAAACTTGGATTTGCGTGGCTTCGCAGGGCGATTGTGCGGCACGAACCCTGATATGGTAGCCATTGAGGGCGAATAGTCTTGGGATGGGGGTCTGTCGCTGAAAAACAGACGGCTGGTGTATATATGTCCCTGGGCGGCAACAAGTAGAGAAGGATGATCGAGTGGTAGCAGGCGGCTTGTTGTTGTTTATTTGTCTCGACCTGTCACCCTTGACGAGTGGGGAGGTGTGAGTCAGTATAGTCAGAGACGACAAGCACCTTGTATAGCTGTGCACAAGGTTGGAATGTCCGTGAAATGCGAGGTCCTGGGGCCGGTAAAGGCTGATATTTATACAGGTCAGCGTCCGGAGGCGAGCAGCGCTGCTGTGAATTACGAAAAGGGAAATCTCACAAGACAATACGGTCGAGGGGGAGCAAAGTGACAAAAAGCAAAGGGCCGGCTGGAAGCGAATCACGCTACTCGACTGCCTTGCATTGTTGCTGAGAAGATACAGAGCCCAGCCAGCCATGGGTGGGAAATACGTATCCTCCCTGCTGGCTAGGTAGAAAATTGTCTCATCGAACGGCTGAGACAAGACAGCCGCCGGCCCGGGTCGTTTTCTCTCTTTCATTTATGGAAGAGAGTTCACTGCAGTGGTGAGAGATAGCTGGGCCAGTAAAAAGGCCCGGCGAGTTGCTCTCCGAGAGGGTGAGGGCACATATCAGGTTCCATCACATGCGATGGCATCCTACCATATCCTGCAGTCGATCAGTGCAGAACCATTCAGAGCATGGGATATCTATGCTCGAGGTTGCATGTATGCACATTGGGAAGGATTCTAGCGTTGGAGGAGAGCTCGAAAGAGCAGGTACTTCCATCTTTCCACTCCCTCTCTATAATCCACACCCTCCCTCCCCACCAGATTGCCGCCTAGGATCAGGCGCAGACACCCGCTGCCCCCCCCTCATCCAGATATGGGGCAGCTTAGGACAATATTGATCGGTCGAGATCCACCCATGCCCTGCTGCAACTTATTGTCCGTGAGTTAGGTACTCTACGATGTCGGATAGAGCCGTGGAAGGCGTCTTGGTTAGTGACCACTTATGTGACACGGCACGTCGTCGACGTGGGTTCCCTGGAGTCGGAGATGGGGGCTCGCAATGCGTTGGGCGAGGGGGTACCGTCCTGTTGCATTCTCCGTATGTTACCTTATCGGCTACGCTTCATCATCATTGTCGTAAACTCAAGTGTGATGTAGACCCACGCCATGCATGTATATGCAAGAGCTAGAGTGATTGTCACAAAAAATACGATAGACGGCGGAAGAGGGAAGAAGAAAATATGACAATACAAAAAGACAGCGGAAAAAGAACCTTTTACCCCCTCTCTGCGAGGAAAGAGGAAACAAAGATCTGAATGGGTGAGCTGGAGGCCGCGCACGCAGATGGGATGCGCGATCGTGGGGAAGAGAAGCATTCAAGCATAGGGAAGGGGCGAATCCACCACGAAGAGACGAGTCAAAGAGGAGAGATGAAGCTCCCGTCCTAGACGCTAAGGGGGATAACCTTGCTAATACGGCAAGTTCCTAAGTTCCCCGACCACCCTCACAAAATCATGTGAGGTGGATGGAGATGCGGCCACGGCATGGCTATCACTGTGATGACCCAGACTGTCGGGACATTGGTGAACGGCTAGTCACCTGAATCGCCTTTGCTAGACCTGAGGCCACCCACCCAATGCTCTGTTTGCTATAAAATAAAATGAATAAGCGAGTGGCAAGCCGTCTAGGTGCATTGGGTGGTCGGGTGTCGCGTCGGAACTGGCCTGGTGCGTTTATTGTGTCTTGAGCGCTCCCCTGTATTGGCTAGAGGCTTGGTGATATCACCTTCAGCTTGAATGCTGCTCGCCCGATTTAGATAGAGATGCTTGGTGTATACGCCCAGCACAGCGATATGAGCCTGTTGATCCTTTGGGAGGGTGGCGCGGTGGGGGATCTGTCAGTATTCATTTGTTTCGATTTTAGGTAAGATGGAGCTCTGCACAGGAGGCAGTGCTGATCCCAAAGCTGATGTAGGCGGATGTGGGAGGCGAGGCATTGATTGACTGAATGCATTGGTCATGTCGTGGATAGAAAGATGGCCCAAGCAGGCCCCTGCTTTGATGCCCAATATTGGCTGTGCTCACACCAGACCTGTCTCGTCACAATGGGAATCGGGAGCTGAACGACATGAACAGCTGAGATCTTGCGGGAGCATCGAGCTACGGCTGAGGGAGGCAAGTGGCAAGCAGCAAATGGAAGATGGACCGCTGGGACACGTGGGTACAGGTGTGTGGCTTCGTGTTTACACACGAGCTAATAGCAAGTGAGGCAGACAAAAGCAAATCCGACGAAAATGCACATCTGCAGATGGGAGCGATCACATTGCGTGTGAGAGCGATGCATGTGGATGGAAGGAGCGAGGGTACATCAGGTACCTGCCGCCTTACCGCTTGGGAAGAGGTGTCCCCAGCTCCTGCCGAGCACGAAACCAGCGCCGGCCGCACCTACCTCATCACGCAAGACGGCCAGCCAAGGAGGCGTCAATGGTGTTACAAATGGGCACAATCTGGCAGCTGTGACATCTCCGAGGGGTGGGAGATAAGCCGATATCTCGACAGATGACTGGCATCGGCGATAGAGAGATAACGAGCAGACCAACGGCGAAGGGATAGGCTGTCAGCCATCCTTGCTGCTTTATCTGCTGCAGCTTCAAGCCGATCCGACGCTGTCTGGGGATGCATGTCTAGACTCTGTGGGTGTCTGTTTGGGCACCCACCCGCAAGATATCCTCTGTCTGGGGAAGAGAGCATGCAGGGAGAGAAGAGGGGACCCAACACACCCTGACACCCACCGACATACACACCGAATCGATGAGCATCGGGGTTTATTTGGAACGAAGATGGCGAGCTGCAGGAAAGTGAGACAAATGGAGTGACTGGTCGTCAATTGCCCCCCAGGCTGCTCGCCAGTCACAGTCGGCACACGCACATCACACACGCTCGCAGTCGAGACATTGGGAGGCAAGCAGACAGGAAAGGGTCGCATTTGACCACCGGAGCAACCCAGCAGGGTTTCATTTGGCGCCGATCCCTCGCAATAAGGTAGAGTGAATGAGGACCAACGGGACACAAGCAGGGCTGGATGGCGCTTGTGCGAGTGGTCCTTCTCGTTCATTAATTAGGCCCCTGGTCTAGCCGTGGGACTAGACAGCCCCACGATGTGATCTTGTCATGCAGGCAATGCCGCCTGTAATAATAATAGGTCGCCTGGGCGTGAGCCGTGGGTAAGCTGCACTGTTCGAGACGCAAGGCAGGCAATATTGGGTCTGAGCTGCAGCAGCCCGCAGCGAGAGATGGAAGCGGGCATATGACTGCGGCCATCCAGGAGACAGCAGAAGTCGTCTGCTGGCCACGAAACGGCCAGGCCTGGATTGAAAACACCTCTGACACGGCATGATGGTGCGCTCTCATGACAGACTCTGGCCCTGCACATGGGCCAAGCGCCCGACCCTCTTCGGTCCGGCCATGATGTAAGAGCCCCACCATCATCTCCTGCAGCGTTTCCAGGCTGTGCTCACTGCCAGCGAACCAATCCAGCGCCCAAGCCCTTATACGAAGCAGCAACCGCCCATCTCTTCAATGTCTGGTCTGCAGTGACGGAGCAATGCGACCTTGACAGGCAGCGGGTGGCAGGAACCTGGAGAACCATTTCCTTGATTTGAAACGAAGCCCTCTCGTTGTCGAAACCCACGCTCTCTTCAGTTTTCAATCGAATCTTCTTCGCCGAGCGAGGACGGCTTAGATTTCATTCTTCCTCCCTTTACTGTTCCACCTCGCCTGCATATGTGCGCGCCCACGCACGCGACTCTCTTCTTCTGCCCATTCGACCATTGCCCGCCATGAGCAACAACACCCTCTTTCAGCCGGCAAAGTGCTTCGACGCACCGGATTCGACCCCCAGCGACGCCGGCGTTGCTGGGACTGGTGTAAGTCGCCCGCGTGCCTCGCCCGGCCACCCTCCGCGCAAACCATCTGCATTGTATCTAAATACGTAAAAAATCGCATCTCTAACATGAATTCATCGCATAGATCCTCCTCTCCTTCATGATCACCGCAGGTCTGGCCATCCTCCTCTCCATTAGCATCATCGTCACCGAGTTCCGCGGCAACTCCGCCTCCATCCGGAGGAAGATGCTCGATGGCTACAGCGACTCCCAAATCATGCAAGGAATCGGCATCCAAAGTGAGTTTCCTCGCGGCATGTCGAGCTCACATGCAAGGAAGGAAAAAACAAAAGCCAGGACAATTGAGACTGACTCATTAACTAGGTGTCGGACTGGCCAAGATGAACACGCTCGTCCCCTACCACTTCTTCCTCATCTGGATGCTCTCCTTGCTCTCCATGGCCACCCACAACGCGACCCTCCTGGCCCTCGTCAACGACTACCGCCGTGACTGGGTCGTCCGCTGGCTGCGCCAGTTCCTCATGTTCGTCAACCTTGCCCTCTCCTCCGTCTGCGGCGTCTTCGTCCTGCAGTCCGTCTCCAAGGGGCTCGGCGAGGGCACCCTCCCCATCGCCTGCGTCTGGGAGGTCGACGGCGGTGGGCCCGGACCGTCCGCCGGCCTCTCGTACGCCGGGACCATCGTCGTCATCGCCGGCAACTGCGTCGTCTTCGGGCTGGCAACCTGGTTCCTCCACAGCAACTACCAGAAGAGGTGGCACATGATCATCCAGGCCGTGGGCATGTTCCTCATGACTGCCATCGCCGTCGGCGCCGCCATCCGGATCGGCACCCTCTCTCAGGCGTTCGGACAGCCCTCGGTCAAGCTGAGCGACGAGGGCGAGAAGGACTGGAGCTTCGGCCAGCTGCTGTCGCTGATGCTGGTCATCCTGCCCCTCGTCTCGGCGATTGAGATCTACCGTGGCGAGATGAGGGTCGAGCCGAAGCACTGTGTTGTCGACGAGGGCCGGCAGCGTATTCTCGACAAGGAGATGCAGCCCATGAGTTGAACTAGAGGGTCCTCTCTACATAGATGGTTCTCATCTGCCCGAATAATGATACATGGCAAGGAGGGTGGTCTGGCGTTGCATATTCACATCACATACATAACTTGGGCGTTCTGGTTGTCTAGACACGGCCACTTACTATTTCTTTTTCTTTCATCTTTTCATCGGGTTCTAGCGAACATTATAGAGGAAGCGTCACCGTCTGGAGAAATGGAGATACCAATTGAAGCAAACTCGATGAGGGTATTATTGATTTTTTTGTATATATAATTAGGCCTATTACGTTTTTATCATGACCAATTTTTTTCTTTCAGAAGTCAAAGGAGACGTTCACAGCACGATGCACTTGCTAGGCAGTCCGCAGGGACCGCCCTTGGCCTCGCCCTCGACCTGCTCAGCGGGCTGCCTGGGATGCTCGCTCTTCGTGGCCGGCCCAGCAGCAGCAGCAGCAGCCGGCTTGGAGGCCTCGTTAGACTCCTCCTGCTGGCCATGTAGTCACCCAAAGTGCTTCTTGACGGTCTGGGCGAAGACCTCGCCCTGAATGGTGGCGATCTCGAGCTCCCTCTCGGAAGGCTGGCGGGAGCCGTCACCGGAGGCGAAGGTCCCCGCGCCCCAGGGGCCACCGCCGTGGACCTCGGAGAGGTCGGTGAGCTGGCCGAACGCCTTAGCGTAGCCGAAGGGGACGTAGATGATGCCGTGGTGGGCGAGGGTGGAGATGCTGGCGAGGGCGGTGGACTCCTGGCCGCCTCCCAGGCTGGCGGTGGAGATGAAGAGGCCGGCGAGCTTGCCGTAGAAGCCGCCGGACTGCCACTGCTTGCCGGTCTTGTCCCAGAAGGTCTGCGAGAGAGTAGTCAGCTGGATGCGCTTACACGGACCTGAATGGCAGGAGGGATATTCAACATACCTTCCACTGGGCGGGGAAGTTGCCGTAACGGGTGGGGATACCAATCAGGAAGGCATCGTACTGCTCGAGGGTGGAGGGATCCTCGAGAACGGGGATGTCGGCGGCCTTGGCGGGAGCGTACATCTTCTTGAGGACCTCCTCAGGGAGGGTCTCGGGGATCTGGTAGACGTCGACCTCGACGCCCTCGACCTTCTGGATACCCTTCTTCTCGGCCTCAGCCAAGGTACGGATATGACCGTACATGGAGTACTGTCGTCAATTGGTCAGCATGGAGTGGACAGACAGTAGTGGTAGAGGAATGGCCAATCTGGGAGGGATGGGAGCACGTGCGTGAAGCTCATGCTGGGAGAACAGGAGGATTGGAGCTCAACGAGTCGATTGGGACCCATCAAGCATGTGAAGGAAGGGCAAACGAGGACAGAGCTAGCTCCCAAGAGCTGTTTTGGAGCTCTTCGAGCTCAGGAATGGAAGAGGGGCAGGAGGTGAGGGGTCAAGTTGGGCGAGCGTGCGTGAAATGGGAGGGAGACTATTCCGAAGACTCACGTAGACGATAGCAATCTTGGCCATTGTGATGGATCTGAATCGAGTTCTGGAAATGGTATAGAAGAGGATGAGAGGATGAGTGTCTGGGAACAGAAAGCTTCGAGAGTTGGGGCTAAGGGAGCTCTTATATCTCCCGAAGCAGCAAGGGAGGTGGATATGGACAAGCTAATTCAAGGTCCCGGACGGGACCACCACACCCAACAAACTCTGGCCCGTACAACCAGATCGTCATGCATGTAGGCTCGAAAGATTATTGGGCAGGGGATCCGGGACTCGGCCAATAAAACCGGCTCAGGCCATCGGTGATCTGGAAGCAACCCCTCTGCCAGACACGCCGGGCTGGCCATTGAGGGACACTGGCGATGCAGGAAGCTCCAGCTGATCAAGAGACGAGGTCCTAATGCTAGATACTGCCCATTCGACGCATTCCAGCTGTCCCCCCAAGCTCGGTGGACAGACAAGTAGAGCAGCCCGACCTCTCTCTCTCTCCCAATGTCTCGCTCGCCTCTAGCTTCAAAGCGGTGCCCGCCTGCAGGTGGTCGCACCACGAGTGGGACCTCCAGATCTTGGCCTTGCTGGAACGGGGCAAAACACCAGCATCTCTGGCCCTGCGAGCTGATTACAGATGCTGAAGAATCAAACAAATGCCATGGCGCTACGGCCGTCGACTGGCGACGGCAGCGAGGGCAGATTACCTGAGCCTGACAAAACATTTGTCGATAGTGAGACCAGCCACCCCGCACTTGGCCTAAACCAGGCTCGGCAAGGCGCTGGGTGGGACCTCTAAGGCTGATGTGCTGCCCGCTGCTGCCCGCTGCACCACGGTAAGGTTGGGCGCGCGCGTGCTGAATAACGGGCAGGAAATCAGCTACTTGCAAGCTGGGTGATCGTGATTTGTTAGCCTGAGTAATAGAGAAAGGCATTGACCTATGATGATGTTGACAAATGCTGGCCGGAACTGCATTGCCGCGACCCAGACTACCCCCGTTGTCGTGGTCATCTCATCACGATTACATCGTGCTCGCTTGCCCCCTCTCGTAACAAACTCTAAAAACCTTCCAACCGGACTAGACATGCACATGCACATTCCACATGCAACTAGGAGCTAGCACCACGGATGAGCACGGTTAGATGATGTTGTTTCTAGCGAGAGATAGCAAACGATGTGGTCATGTTTGATTAAACACTATTGCTCCTCCTGCAACCCCGCGAGAAACAAGTGGTTTTGCTGTACTATACAAAGATGAAAAGCCCCTGAAGAACCGAAAGACCCCCGTATGTATATATGTATGCGATTTTGCCCAAGAGAAGACATGATGTATGATGACTGGGGGATAGAAATGAAACCCTCCAAACAAAAACCTATAATATCCAAGCGAATAAGAAAACAAAATGCAATGGGGAAAAGGATTAATATGTCAGCACACCTGCCATGAGACCAACGCCCAAAATAAAACAAACACCAGCGCCTTGCTACCATACTCATTCGCCCTTGTTTACCACGAGGACGTTCCCCCACTTTATTTGGCCGGCCGCACACCGCACCCTGGAACTTTTATTGGATCAACGAATTGACAGACAAGCCATGAACGACACAGGCCTCCCTCTTTATCATGGGTGCTCTGGTATGTCACGGTTATCACCTCTTTGTGGGTGACCACTCGATGGCTCAATTCTGATCTCTGGCAGCCTGCTGATCCTCAAGCTGGGAAGCTGAGGAACACCTCCCACTCCCCGTGCCCGGGGCGTCCTGGCACCGTCGTCAATCTCGTCGTCTTCGTTTTGATTTTGCTCGATTCCTAGCCCCAAGCCTGGCCCCTGATTTGCTGCTGGTCCGCGACTGCTACGCTGCGAGTTTGATCGGTATGGTCCGGGGTAATCCGGCGGTGGTTCAAACAAAGGGGTTGTTGAGCGCCCGGCCTCCTCGTCCAATGATACGTCCTCATATTCGGGAGGCGGCATCGTCGCAGACCCCAGGTCTGCCTCAATAGGTCCGGAAGGGGAAGCCCTGCCGGGAGAATTCCTTGTGGGGGTGGTAGATCGAGAAGCACGAGAGGCTGCGCGAGGGCGTCCGTAGCCGGGCGATGGAACGTCGCTGCCGAAACTGGTGACTGAGCTGTGGCGTCTATCCCAGAGACTGGGAGAGTTGGCACCTGACCGGACTGAGGGTGCTGAAACTTCCGCGGCATTGGATAACAGACCCATCCTCTCGCTTTCCTGACTATTAGCTCGAAGCCTGGTTCCATCATGGCGAGCAACACCCAAATCAGCGTAAGAGACACTAGAGGCTGAGCGCTGGCGATTCTCCTTAGCCCGATCGATATTCTGGCGAAGCTCATCAACCAAGCTGTTGTTGCTGTTGCTCGCAGCTCTCTCCCTCCGCCTGAGATCTGAGAGCGCGGCCTGGTCATTTCGTTCCCGAGCGTCTTGGCGCTCTCTTCGTCTCTCCTCGCGCTCATTTCGTTGTTGGCGGCGGGCTTGCCTTAGCTGGTATAGAGCCTCCATCTCCTGATCACGTAGTTCCTCCTCATCCTGCTGGGTTGGGTGCTCGATGATGATGTCGACGCCATCCCGCTCTCCCTCCCTGCCGATGACTTGTTCGTTCTGCGCGGCTGCGAGGCTGTAGGCGGGGAGAGTCATGATAGACCTGACCGAGGTATGCCGATCGACCGCTGCGGTGTTTTGCGTCGTGGCTTGCTCGACATCGCGGTTCTGTCTGGTGGATGTAGATGAAAGCGCATGAGAATTCCCATTGTCGTCGGATGCCGCCGGTTCGTATGACGGCTGCCAAAATTCGCGGACACGATTTCCCAAGCTCTTATCTTTCTTTGATCCCTTTGGCTTGTGCCCACTAAGCTCGCGGTCGTGAACGCATTTCCTCCAAATGAAAAAGGCAAACGCTAACACAGCGATGCCGCCAATAACTCCAGCAACAATCTGTAAATGACAGGACCCGGGCCCACGTTAGCTTTCTGTACTACCCGCTCTCTCACACTAAGATAGGGCCTAGATAGTGGCGGTGGTGGTAGTGGTGTTGCGAGAGCTGCCCGGCGCTTGGCCTGCCTTGGGGGGGGGGGAGGGAAGACAGGACATCAGAAGCAGACAGCTGGAATAATTCATGCGGACGACAACACGTACAGGGAATACATTGGCACCTTTATTCTGGCCCGAGTCGTCTCGTGGGCGGCGGATCAAATGCGACGACGGGTGATTGCGAAGGTGCATCCTGCCTGTGACCCAGGGCGCAGCAACGGTGCTCCCCAAAGCAACGGAAGCGCTGGGCGGCCAGTAATGGCGGGGTCTGGCGATGGGGACTCGGGTGCAGCGGCGGCTGGAGGGTGGTCGAGGGTCGCGGCGACGGGCGCTGAGGGTGAATTGGATGGTTCGTTCCGCCAGCCGAGTCTTGGGATTGAGGGATTCGCTTTTCTCGAGAGTTGAGGAGTCGAAGCAAGGCAGCCTTTGCGGGAAGCGTGGAGCACTAATTCACTGATCAAGCATGGATCCATGGATAACATAACTGGAAACAGGCGGCTGGCCGCAGGCAGGTCATCGCTGGTTGCTTGGCCACGGGCAGGTACCTCCTCCGCTCTTTCCTCCAAGCCAAGTCTAAGTGCCCGCCACCAGCCCCATTTGCTTGGGGCTGAGCTGGACCCGCCGCCCAATCACATGCGCCAGTGGGCTGCTGTGAGCCATCACTCCCTCAGACTTGAGAGCTCCAGCGGCGGCCAGCGTGTTGGTCGCTTCCGCGATACTCTGAGCGATTGACCCGACTGACGTGGACACCAACTGGTAGCTAAACGGCTCAAGGGTCCCCGGCGCTTGCTCATTGGGTCCTGGGCAGGGCAATTGGTGATCATCACGATAGCCGACCTCGTATGTCTCCAACGTAAGTCCAGCCCTCGCTCTGGTGAATACGCAGCCTCTACAGACCGACCTGCCTATCGCATCGTCGCCCGCTAACTTCCAGCCCATCCCTTGACCCCGTCTACGCAGCCGAAAGCCTGCCACAATGACTACACGATGCAGCCAGGACGAGTGAGGCGTTAATTATGGCCCAACAGCTTAGTCTAGCCATCGTCTCAGGGAAACTGGTATCAACGACGCCCCTGCCAGGCGAGGGATTCGCCGAACGGGGTCTGTCAGTTGGGGGCCAGGGCTTAGCCAACTCCAGACATTTCTCAAACCTTGCATGGGGGTTCCAGGTCTCTGGCAGCAGCATCGGACGTACGACGTATTCACCGCAATACGGCCACAGCGGACGTAGTTTCTCGATTTGTTTCTCTCTCGTGCATGCTGGCCCGTCCCTGTGTGCATACTCAGCCATTGCCCGAGGGCTTCAATTAGTGCCAGTAACAAGTACGCAATACACTCTATCCGGCGTGGCCTTTCCCTAATCCGTCAATGGACCCGGTCAGCCCGACAGCCAAGGCGTTGTTGCGTGCGCGTTCTCGCCATGTGTCTGTAGGGACTGCGCTATCGAGTAAGAAGTGCGAAGTGGGTGGTTGATGTCAGTGTCAGCGGCCGGTCATCCTCGCCATCGCCCGTCACGTCACTGACCACTCGTTCCTGCGTTTATTCCAGAGGTACCCGAGTATAGTTAGTACCTGGAGACAGGCAGAATACCACCCTCATGCTGCGTAGGTTTAGGTTAAATTCTTACAGCCCCATCGTCTATGCCTACATTGAGAACCAAAGGTCCATCCCATGACATGCATCTCGAATCCCATCGAGGACATGTGTGCATTCGAGGTGCTGGGCATCGATGCGGCCTGGGATAAACTTCCCATGTGAACGAGGGTACTCGTCGCACCATGCCTGCGCAATGCGTCCTGTGTACTCTGTACATTGAATCCGGTAAGTCTGTTGACAGAGGTTCCAATACGAGCCCTGGTTTCTGGGCTGAGCATTGACCTCGCCGCACTCCGTCATTCGATGGCTAGATGGCCGTTTCAAGTAATCTTCCAGCCACAGCCAGGGGAGGGACCTGCAGACATGCATCATTCCCATTGCCCTGGGCCCATAGAACAATGCAGTTGGTAAGCTGCCGTTGAGCAAAAGAGCCTAGAGTCTCTAGGTAGTCCCGCTGGGCTGAATATCGCCTCTAAGCTTGTCTGGAGTAGGCAGGCAAAATATGCACCCGTTTTTGCAGGACCCCTGTGGGACGAGATCAGGCATGCATGCGAAACATCCCGATGCTAAGCCTTGGGAATGGCTGGTGACTTGCTGGAAATACTTTGCATTTAGTGAATTGAGAAAATTATGATAACAGTACTAACATAACACCCTCGGTGGGGCACATCTCCTATGGAGAACTGACCCTTACACGTGTTGGATCATGGCAGTACGATTAAGTCCCTGATGGCCCCCTCCTGAGTAGTATGGGTATTCATGCCCTTCCAATCAAGCAAACTTCTTCTCAAACTTCTTCAACATACCTGAGACGCCCCTTTCGAACCTGGCCGCGTTCTCCCCCATCTTGCTCTTCCCCTCTTTGGGTCCCTCATATCCAGCTCCGACGATGGCCTCCTGTTCCGTTGGCCGGTAAAGTTGCTGGTGGATCGAGTAGTCCGACTGACCAGGAGCGGCCTGAGTCGGATGGCTGTATGAGTATGACGAGAATCCTCCGGGAGGCGGTGGTGGCAGACCTGGGCTAGAGACCGGAGGACTGGCCTGCTGTTGCACCTGAGGCTGTTGTGGTTGATACGGCTGCTGAGCTGGCTGCTGGGTGCCCACTGGCATGGTCGCCGAACGTTGGAGCCCCGGGTGTGGAAGTCCTGGTGTTCCAGGTTGTGGTGGTAGGCCCTGAGCAGCACCAATTGGCCGAGCAAAGCCTGGGCTGGCAATTGGCGGTGGGATTGGCGCCTGCGGAGGGAATCCCGGAGTGAAGGGCTGTTTCTGATAGTCGTATGCTACTGCAACGGCCAGAGGGTTCAGCGGGTCTTCATCTGGCGGAGGGGTCTTCTCCCGAGGCTGGAACGTCTCTGGAGCTGCCGGCGCGGCTGGGTTATAGGCCATGGGCACAAACGATGCCGGTTGTTGTTGTGGTGGCGGGGGAGGCGGGGGAGGTGGGAGCCCAGATGCTCCCACCGCCGGGGCAGTTGATGAGGACTGTGACGGCGGGTTCGGCGCCGTGTTCTGTGATTCCGATATGGCAGCGTTCTCGAGCTTCTGCACGACCTGGCTCATCGCGGCTGGCTGCGGAGGCGGTGCTGGTTCATCCAGTATCTCAACCTGCGCAGGAGGGAGAACTCGCCTGACACCATTGATGAATTGCAGAGCGTCCTTTTGTGTCCAGAAGTAGATATCGAGCGCCTGGAGCTTGTAGTGGTACTTGTTCTCATTTCGGGGGTCAAATGTTGGTAGATGCCACTCGTTCTGGTTCACTGACTCGGCAACGGTGAGAGCCACCATGCAATGCTGTTTGTACGAATACCGCACGTGGGTTTGGTCCAGAACTGCGCCGTTGCCGTCGCGGTTAGCTCTTTGCGCCGGCGAAGAAGGAACCGTGAAGTTCGAGCGCTCACTTACACCCATCAAAAGCGTCTTGGTCCGGGGTGCCTGCGTGATTGGCGATTTCGATGCGACATCTTCTCTCGTTTGCATTCTCAAACAGGTACACATAGGAGCCCTTGTCAAATCGATGATGCCTGGGCTTCACCTCGGGCCCTGAGTAGAAATAGTGAATGTCCCCAAACCTGCGCAAGTAAAAATACCTAGTCAGAGTGTTTGCGATCGTGTGCAAGGCAAGCTTAGACTCACAGGGTCGCCACATTCTCCTCTCCTGGTCGCGCGGCCATCTTCACACAATAGAACGAGGCTGGTGGGCAGCTCAGGCTGACGTCAATATGGTGCTTTCGCCCTCAGCTGGGGGACATAAAATATGTAATATTCCTGTGCAACGTGAGGCAGAGGGCATCAAGCGCGCCAGAGCCGACAAAGAAGATGATGAAGCAGCGCTTCGGCAAGCCGACAAAAGCTCACCCAGCTTTTTGTACGGGCGGCTTAGGCGCCATGGCACCTTGGGCAGCCCACTTGAATACCTCTGCCATTGATCCAATTAACCTCTCAAACACCCTGGCAGCACGTTGGTTGTACCGTCTGTCGGCGCTTAACTGCTTGGTTTCGAGAGGGGAACCTGCATCACGGACCAATAGAGTTGCCAGTAACCTTGTCCGTCACAAGCTGGGCACAAGACCAGGGACATGACATGCTCCCTGCCCCGCCATGCTAAGATTAGTCAGAATCAAGGGTCCAGCTGCCTCAATTCCGAGTCAGACTGCTCTGTTGCCTGTGTATCACGTGACACCGTGTCTCGACCGTGAAAGGCCAAAATCGCGAAGATGCGCTGACTGCGCGTCTTTCAAGTCATCACCCTCATCATCACGGTCCCAGGCGACCAGAGAGCGCTGGAGCCAGAAGGCAATTTTGGAAAAGGCACGATGCCTCTCATTCGAGGCGGCCCATCATTGCGCTATTTTCATTCTTACCGTAAGACTCTTTCACGATGACGTCTCCCGAAAACTCAACCGATGCCCAGTTGTCTACAGAGGAACAGCCGTTGCGAGAGGTGGAGGACACAGCGAAGCAGGAGGATGCATCCAGAACTCTCAAGTACCACCTTTTGGGGCCTTCTCTAACCAAAGCTGGCCAGGACAAGGTTGACCAGACCAAGGTTCGTTCCTCGTTATTCTGTTTCTGTGGAAACATTTCTTCTCCCGTCTGTGGATTGTCAAGTAACCAAGCTGTAAAAAGGTGTCTGAAATTATATACAATGCCTCAAAAGGTTCCAAATATTTCAATCGCGAGGAATTGCGTGACAAAGTACTCAGCCAGAAGATCGAGCAGATCCTAGCTAGAAAGCGGAGGCTGGAGAAGCTCGATCTCACTCGCGATTTGCGAAACGCCGATCGGCTGCTCGCTGAACTCGAGGCCACACGTGACCTCTCCCAGCACATCGTCCATGTTGACTGTGATGCATTCTACGCAGCTGTGGAGCAGCTTGAGCGGCCCGAGCTGAAGGACGTTCCCTTCGCTGTCGGCGGAGGGGTGCTGACGACGTGTAACTACGTTGCCCGCCAGTTCGGCTGCAGATCCGGAATGGCCGGGTTCGTGGCGAAGAAGCTCTGCCCCCAGCTCGTGCTCTTGAAGCCCAACTTCCAAAAGTACATTGCAAAGGCGAACGAGGTGCGGGAGGTCCTAGTCGACTATGATCCACGATTCGAGAGCGCCAGCGTCGACGAGGCTTATCTCAACATCACCGAGTACTGCCGGGAGCACAACATGGAGCCAGCCCAGGTCGTCGAGCAGATGCGGAGAGAGATCCACGAGAAGACGCAGGTCACTGTTTCGGCGGGGATCGCCGCCAACGCTAAGCTGGCAAAGATTTGTTCCAACATGAACAAGCCCAATGGCCAGTTCCTCCTACCCAGCGAGAGAGGTGCGATCATGACTTTTATGCGTGACCTCCCCACACGCAAGGTCAATGGGATTGGGCGGGTTCTCGAACGAGAGCTTTTGGAAATCGGAGTCAAAACCTGCGGCGACATCTTCGCCGAGCGACAGTATCTGTATCAGCTCTTTGGCGAAAAGGCATACGACTTCCTGCTGAGAATTTACCTAGGTCTTGGGAGGACATCAATCCAACCGGCCGAGGAGTATGAGCGGAAAAGTGTGGGAACTGAACGCACTTTCAGCGACCTGTCCGACCCGGCCAAGCTTAGGGAGAAGCTGCGGTCTATTGCCGAGGAGTTGGAAAAGGACCTGAAGAGAGCCGAGTGCAAGGGGAGAACTCTCTGTTTGAAGGTGAAGCTGCACACCTTTGAAGTCCTCACCCGGCAGGTCGTTACCCCTCGGGCATTCTATCTCGCCGATGATCTCTATAATTTCGGCCTCCCAATACTCGCAAAGATTGAGCAAGAAATACCAGGTCTCAAGCTGAGACTGATGGGCCTGCGATGCACACACCTCGTGAGCACCAAAAAGCCAGATACCATGGCCTTCTTCGGGTTCCGGCCACGAGCCGAGTCTCCTGCCGGACCAAGCAACCACCCCAATGCCGCGAAAAGGAAGGCAGTCGACTTTGAGGATGGAGAGGGCGATGAGTTGGAGGCAGACCTGCTGGACCGAGAAAGTTCTCGTGACGATACGCCCCAGGCAGAAGAGAACCTCTCAGGCCTTGGATTTCGAAAAGAAGTAGCCCCCAACCCAGCCAAAGCAGAGCCTGTCGAAGAGGAGCTGTGGGACTGCCCGATATGTGGCCGGCCCCAAAATGCGGACGAGCGCGCCTTCAACGAGCACATAGATCTGTGCCTCTCCCGTCAGGCCATCCGCGATACACTACAGACGGATGTGCCCGAGCGTGTGACGCCCGAACCCAAGAAGTCTGAGCCCAAGAAACCCGAACCCAAGAGGCCCAAAGTGGCGGAGAAGAAACGCGGCCGCCCGCCGTCCGTCGACCCAAAGCAAAAGAAGCTCTTTTTTGGATAATGAAAGTTACGACTACCTAGTCCCCCACCCAACCACGTTTTCAACCAGCTCCCACTATGGCTGTGATCTACGTTGACGAGGAGAAGGACAATTGATGCCCTAGGCACTGCCGGCACAGAAGCCGCCCCCCTTCCAAGAGTCTGCCAGAGGCCTTTTACCGCCATTGCACCGAGCTCGAGTACCAGGTCAAGAAGGCCGGCGAGGAAGAGTTCAAGCCCGCTACCAGGGCTGCCCTGTTACGTAGATATGAGTATATAACACACATAGACCGATGTAGTTTAAAATATGGACATATTAAGCCGCATTCTGCTCTGGATATACTTGTTAGAGATAAGGTAGTTCAAGAACTGCGGACATCACCATGCACTCTTTCTTCATAATGGCAAGTTTGTATTTCTAAGGCCTCCTTTCTAAATTGGCCATCTGGAGAGTTGTTAACTACCTGCTTATTAATTCGAGAATATCCTGTCCGTGGCAGACAAATATTTATTTGGGATGTGGCTGCTATTTTGCTCTAAAATAAAGCCATTGATCCCGTCTATCAGTGTTCAGTTGCTCTGTATGCAATGTGTAAAGAAAAAAAATCAATCAACGCCAGACCCGGGAACGTATCCAGCGTTCTCAAGTATGTCTATGCGCCCCATGTTTGGCATCGGCCCAAATGTCGACACGCTATGCCTGTGACTCGCGGCTCATCATCCTCTGCATCGTCTTAGTCCGCCGGATTCTTGAGTCCTCCTCTTCCTGCTTGATCAGCTTCTCTCCTGGTAGGCGCACGGCGCGATCAATGGCCACGGGGAGCCCCCGGTGTCTTCCTCTCAGCATGACGAACACCAAGACCACCTTGCTGCCCTTGTACAGACCGCCCGAGAAGCTATATGATGCTGTTGGAAGACCTGGCGACAGCCCGACGCAAGCGTAGGCCGACGTCGCCTCGAAAAGGATGTTGAAAACGCTGTATGTGACTGGGTCTTCCAGGAAATGTCTGGTTTCGATAACAACAATAATTAGGATAGCAGCCACAAGCCACCACAGATCGTGAGCCAGCTGGCCCCGAATTTGTTGCCTTACGAAGGAAATCCGGCTGGGACCCTCGTCGGATTTCGCGGGCGCTGCAGCACCTACCCCCTGGAACGACGTAGTGGCTCTCTTGAGCTGTTTTCCAATCACAGCGGCGGTCTTTCGGCGACGGAGGGATTTAGGCTTCTGGACTTCGTCCTGGTCGGCGAATAGAGAGGTGGGTGCTCCTAGTTCGATGACTGAAGGGTCATCCTCGTAGATGCCGAGAGAGCGCTCTTCATAAACATTTGAGCTTCGCATGGTGACAATGACTGGATAGGCTGCGATGTACATCATGACCAAATAGAGAACCTGCACTCCGATATAAAGGGCGGTGATGGAAATCACAGTAAAGCCGGCCGCTCGAACAACTGGCTAGGGGTTAGATGAAACAGGAAACAAAACAGCAAACTTGGATCATAGGGATCTTACCAACTCCCTGAAACAAACCATTCATAATCTTGTCACCAAGGGAGAGGGCTGTGACCGCGGGATTGCCAATATTCAACACCTCAAATGCCACCCAATCGGAAATGTTGGTGACGAAAAGGACCAGAACCAACCACCACGTCGCCCGAGATGGAAACAGGGTGGTGTACACTCGTCTCGGGTATTTCAGAATAAATTCCAATGTCTCTTTCCAAGGAGCAAAATTTTCATCGTCTTCCCCGGTTGTGAGGCGAAGGATCTGTAATGTGCTCCAGAGTGAAAATCGAAAGAAGACGGGATACGCCGTGTTGCCGGCCAAGACGAGTAGCGCAATGACGAGTTGAACAAAGTAGTCGCTCTTGTATGGAATGACGCTGTCGTCCACCAAAGACATTCCGATATTATTGAAGGCGGACACAGCATAGAAGATGCCTGCCCAAATCGGATTTTGGCTATTAGCTAGAGCAGGGTCGGGGTGTCGAGTGCCTACCCAACAGCCCAGAGCAATGGCACCCGAGATTTGCCAGAAAGCAGAGTATAGGGGAACAGCAATAGAAAGCATCTTGAGAGCCCGATACTCACAGCCACCCAAATGTTCGCGTTCATCCGAACTGAGGTCGAAAAACTGGCCCTTCTTGGTAACATTGTGGCTTCCCAAAATCTTCTTCCAATGCAAGAATCCATCATCCGAGGAAACTGATGTCGCAACTGATTGGCGTCTGTCGCGAGCCTGAGGAAGGTGGTTTCCAGGTTGATATGCCGATGTATGCGCTTCGCCGCCCTTTGGCGAAGTAGGCTCCACAAAGGAGATGCGGTCTCTAGGTATCTCTCTAACTGTATCGATACGTAGCTCATTTTGGCCGGGGCCCTCCGAAGTCACTGTTTGGGTTTCGCTACCACTATCGTCGTGATTCGAAGCAGCGGTGACTTCTGGCGGAGCAGGGGTGGTGACGGGGTCAACCGGTCGCGCTTCGACAATAGCAAGCTCCGTAGCAAGTGGGCTTGGTTCTGCATTGGATCGAATCTTCGAGCCTAGGCCTGGAATAATGCTCTGCGAGGCACTAGTGAAGTGCTTGCCGAAAGAAAGCATGCTCCCAAGATTGGGCGCTCGAAGGATGGACATGTTCTTCCTTTTCTCGCGCTCACGCTGCACGATGGCCTCGAATCTCTTCTCAAAAGCATACCTTCTGATGATGACGGTCCAGAACGATATCCAAAGCGGACTCCCAATCATAAACAAGAACCATAGCTGGACTTGTTGCCAGGTGGTGAGCTGGCTGAGGTTGGTGGTGTTGAGCCCAGTCGTCGTCAGAGCGGATGTCACTAGAAATAAGGAATCGACATAGTCGACACTGTTAAACGAGCTCGAGGAACCCCAGAAGATGAGCGAGGAAATGACAATGACAATGATGAAGTAGGCATAATGGATGGTGATGTAATTGAGGGGCGGGAGCAGGTCTTGAAGCCATTCGACGACCTTGGCAACCTTGGAATGCTCTTCGAGGTAATCCCTCCACCTGTCTTTAGTCTTCTCCAGCATAGCAAGCGACAATGTCTTAGAGCATCCGGAGTGTTGGTGGCGCTGTGGTGCAGCTTTCTTTAATCCAGGAGTGAGGTGGCGCAAGCAGATGGCTGAAAGAAGGGCTGCGGATCGTCGTAATCCAAAGGGGCAATGGAGAGTGGTTGTATGTAAAGAAAGGAAAGGAGCAAAAATCTACCAGGGGGGGGGGTCGAAACACGCAGGCTGTGGTATCGAAGGGAACGCGAGAAAACACAAAGAAATGAATAGCTAAGCAGGGAAGCGAAGACAACTAAATGGCCAAGGGAAAGGGGTCGTTTGTGAGATGGCGGAGGGAAGATGAAGAGGCGCTTGGATTGTTCCGAGCAAGTAGTAAGCAAGGAAAGTGCAAGCTAGCATCGATTGTTAGACAAAGCGGGCGCATTGTTCGCTGTTCTTCGACAACACCCCTACGTAGCACCAGGCAAGGTCACCCAGCACTTCACCTTGGCTTAATTGACACCTGGGCCACCATGCCTTGGTTATGGAACGCGCGGAGACGCAGCATTGGCTGGACCGGATCTTTTCATGGATCGAGGGATACTACGGCGGCGCGAGCCGCGTGGTCTATGCTCATTCGCGTACCTAACTCACTGTCCAGGCCTTAATGGGCGCGCTAATGTTGAGTCTGATAATGGCCCGGCACAATGGCTTCATCCAATTAACTTAGATTGAGTCGGGATGTCGGTGTTTCGACATGGAAAAGGGCTCGGGGCGGACTCACGTATGATATGGATAGTAGTATCAAGCTATTGGCGGCCTCCCGGCTCATGCACGAATCATACCTTCGCCAAGACCAAGTCGTGATCAAGGCCCAAGCAGGGACCTGCAGGTGCGTCCAGGATCGTCGATGTCTTGTACAAAGGACTTGCGGTCGGCACTTGACAGTGATATGCAGGGGCTGTACTTGTCCCAAGCCCCAGGGAGGATAATCACTTCGTCTGTAAACTCGAGCTTGAGACGCGATTTCAGAGCAAGTAACCTTATGAGATGAGATAGGGCAGCAAATTACTTGCAGGCTTTCTCTCATCAATTTCAACCTGGGAGCGCGGTACTTTCCAGGGATCTGGCAGGGCTCTGCCGTATTCCCGAACATGGAAACACCCTGCTTGGCAGAAACGGAACCTCATCCGCTGTTTTATAGACATAGCTTCATACCAAACAGCAGAGGACTGAGATTCCTATCTAAGGAAACAAAAAATTAAAAAAAATGGTCGTCTACAATTCACAGCTGTCACTACCCTATTCCCAGCGCCCTCATACCTGGAGCCACGTGAAGGCACTTTGGTAGGAGGAGAATTCCCAAGCTCTACCACGCCAAGAAGGCGGCATCTCGCAAACCCTAGCCCATTGCTGACAAGTTAACTTTTGACAGTAGACCTGTTTGCCGTTTCTAATCTAGCCCGTCGCATGAGAGTAAGCTCACCTCACTAGGAAGCACAAGCTCCGGCGCCGGCTTGACATGCTGGACATAGGAATAACCATTGCATCTCATCCAACTCTTCAGACAAGCGGTAGGTATGGAAGTTTACGCGCCAACTGGTATCCCTTAATTGGCGATGACAATCCCAACAACGTTGCAAAATTGGTATCGCATATTCTCTTGACTTGTGTTTGGTGTCTGATTCACGATACGACCTAGTGCACGGAGTAGAGGGATTCAGTGAGCTTGGTTAGAAAGCTTTGCGACTGTCAGTAGAGGCCAAAGCAACCTTTCGTAAAAGTGGTCTGGTTTAAACGGAGTCTGCCTGGAGCACCAGACACTCGCCAAGGCAGAAGCGTCGCGCATCAGCATTCAGTTAGTGGAAGAAACAATCACGACTAAAAGGAATCAGGGCGAATGGGGCTCTCGTATCATAAGTAGAGAAAGAGACGAGCGGAGATGTCGTCAGGTTCATGTCTACCCCACGCAAGGCCACACAAAGCCGTAATGGCCAAACAGTTCGCATTCCCGCCAATTGTATGTCATATCGCTCAATATCGTATTTCCATCATATCATGGGCATGCAGCTGTTTACAGCTCCCCGTGGACCGGGTCATCGGTGTCGGCAACGACGGTCTTGAGAGCCTCCGCAGCCTCGGCGGCGACGCTCTGAACCTTCTCGGCAACGTTGGCCTCGGTCTCCTTGGCAGTCTCATCTTCCTTGGCCTCCTCCTTCTTCTCCTCACCCTTCTCCTCACCCTTCTCCTCTTCTACCTCGATGATGTCCTCGGGGTTGGGGGTTTCGACGCCGGCGATACCAACGAGCTCGGTCTTGAAGACTGGAGGGTGTTAGCATTACACTGAGGCGGCAGCAGAGGTGAGGTTCATACTGAGAGTGGCTCCACCAGGAATTGGGCCAATGCCACGCGAGCCGTATCCGAACTCGGGGGGGATGGTGAGAGTACTAAGCAAAGCGGATTAGCAGAGGCTCGAGAAGCCGCATCCTGTGTACTCACCGCTTCTCTCCAATGCACATGTCAAGAAGACCCTCGTCCCAGCTATACAGGCCAATTAGCAAACTTAACCACTAGGAAGCAACAACTCCGTTGTCTGAGGGGCTACGAACCCCTTGATGACCTGGCCGGTGCCCAGCTTGAATGCGAGGGGCTGTCCACGGTCGTAGCCTAGATACAGATCAATTAGCGACCATTGATGAGGCCACAGTCTGAAATGAAAATTCCCGCGACAGCTCGAGACATACTAGCATCAAACTTCTCTCCGTTGCTCTCGAGGGAGCCGTGATAGTGCATCTTGACCTGGTCTCCCTTCTGGGTCTTGCGCTCGCACTTGACCTTCCTGGTGACATCAATCTTGAGCTCCGCGCTGGCAGCGGCAAGCGATGCCAGAGCAAGAACCAGGACGGCGGACTTCATTGTGGCAAAGGGGGGAAGTGGTATGGCTCTGAAGATGAGGTGTAGGGTGAAGAAGGTATGGATGAGGTTGACTTTGGATGCGGCAGCGCAAATAGAGTGTGGAAAGCAACGGGCCACGAATCCAGAACGAATTGGCGGCTGGCACCCAAACCCGAACCCACCCCCGCACCGCTGGCCCCAGTGAGGCTGCTGCATTGTTTAGCCTTTTGTTCCTGGAATTGGAAACACGCAATGCAACGGCCTCCCAAATTGGGCGTCGGCCTCCTCCAATACCACCCCACCACCAGCCGTTGGGAAACTGCACTTGCAAACCTTATGGCAGAGTGAGATTCAATATTGGTGAGCTTGGGCCGCTGTGCATCTAAGCAGAAGCGTCGGCCAGCCCGCCAGTGCTTCTAGAATGACCGACGAAGAGTCAGAGCCAGCCCTATGCCACATGTCAGACACTGCCGGCATATGTCAGAGGGTGCATATCTGGGTGCCCTGCAAAAAGCCTGCGGAAGTCATTGGGCCAGCCAGTCAATCGAGCTTCAATTGGCGCCAGCAGCTGACGTCGACTCACTCGACCTGCATTGCATCGCTTGCACATGATTGTGGGAAGTCTCGGAAGTAGGTGATCGGTGGGATAGACAAATGTGAGTCATGCTGGGAGCATGCCAATGGTTCGCGCGGCTCATGCCAGTGAGAGTGAGTAATCACCATGATGGTTTTTCCCACCTTTGTTCTGCGCAAATGCATTGGTGGGGGCTCCGAGGGCGAGGGCTGGACAAAGTCGCGAGGCGATGTGGCAATGCGATTGCAATTGTGTTGTGTACTCACTCGTAGCTTCCTAGTATTACCCAGTTGCGGAATTGAATACGAAAACATTCTTGTCTGAAACAATTGTGCGAAGGTAAACTCTCCTCCATGACATACGTAGACCACAAATGAAGGATCGCGACTGGGCGACGGCCCCTTGCGCGCTTACACTGCCATGCTGCCTCGTTGCGTCAGGTACTGTGGATTGGTCGCTGCGACGTTTACAACATTGGAAGCTGAGATGAATCAATTAACGAGAGAGTAACTTTTCTTCACGCAATTTCTCTGTAATACCTACTGCGCCGGTGAATGAAACAATTGCGAAAAAACCAACGGCCAACGCAAATACAAATTCCAATCCGGTTTCATGATTGGATATAGCGTCGCCTGCCTGGAGGAGGTTGGGAATTCAAGCAATCTGATAAGTCGGCGAGCAAGACGGGCACCACATCCCTACCCGAACCCACCGGTACGAGTATAGCTTCAAGGTGTATGATTAGAAAATGACATGGTCAGGTGGACGCTGATTGATGGATGGCGATCGTGTTTGCAGACCCGGTTCGTGCTCCTGGTGCTCACTTTGCTGCACCTGCAGCCGTGGCTTGCAGCAGCAGCAACGAGGTCCATAGGTTGTAGTCGACGTCAAACCAAGACACCCATTCGGGGTCTATAATTAGCAGAGTGTTTTGGGGGTGGGGGGACCAGCACGTTTGGGGAGATTTTGGGGGCTCTCGAGTTCCTATTTGGATGATTTACACGGCACTTCGCTCCAATTGCGGGAGGCCGACGGACGTCTTCCTGTGAGGCAAGGTACTTCCTTCAGCCAAGAGAGGTACATGGAGACTGGGGGAAATCCAGGGCCCTGCTCGTCCCTGATACCTATCTCAGATACCGCGCATTAGCTGCCCGATTGCGCGCCCAGGTGTGTGGACCCTGCGGTCACATCACAGTCGTGACCTCGCCAACACGACTGCAATTCACGATCCGATGCCCTTGCCCTGAGCAAACCCGGTGAATCGGCAGGTCTTGGCTGCGAGCAACCAACAGCAGAAACCATTCCAAGCCCCACCGACAGCCTTTCTCTTTGTTTGATGTGATCTGGCGGAGACTGATGCCTGCAAATGTAGCACCTTACCTTAGGCAACAACACGGCTGGTTCCACCTAACCCAAGTCATCACCAGGCCAAGATTCCAATCTTCCTCGAACCAACCTCGACGCCCCTCGGAGGCGGCCGTTGGTCGACTCGGGGGGGGACTCACGGAGCAGAGCTAAGCTGGGCAAAGCCGGGCAGTGTAGAATTCCTGGTCTGTATGTGTGCTCGGTCACA